ATGTCTAAAATGCTTTTTTAAACTATCATAGTCATGAATAAAAAAACCTACAATAGCTGATTCTGTTTGGCCACTTGGGGGCAGCAGAAACAAGTTGTGAACAAACACTTACATTGTTACCTTTTAAGTTGAAATGTTGAACTTTGTAGCAAACATATACTTATTTTTTAATTATATTTCTTTATACATATTTTGCATATTTACACATCTAGCAGTCGCCATGAAACAATGTCATTCATTTGGTGTGGCCACCTACTCTTTTAGCTCTGCTTTTGGTCTCTACCAACTTCTGAGGGAAATATGTGACCATAAAGCTGCTAAACACTGCACTATCCTCACCAGCTATAGTCTCAGCAGGTGCATGAAAGCCCTTTTAACCAGAACTCCTTGCTGTACAGCCACTGAACAGTGCTGGTGCACTGCATTGTTGGGCGACCTGATAGTCAAATGGTTAGGGCGCGTATGACATGGGCTCCTACGGCCTGAGCAGTGGGTCCTCGGTTCAAACCCCAGCCTCTCTCTCTCTCTCTCTCTCCCCCAGTTTCCTGTCTGTCTCTACTACGCAATCCAATAAAGGCATAAAATGGCCACAAAATAAATAAATAAATAAAAAAATCTATTGTTTGAATTACTGATCCCTTTTAAATTACTTTCTGACAGGGTGGGATTTAAGAATGTTTCACTTCAGGAAAAACATGATTCTGTTTGTCATTCTGATAATAAGTCATTCATTTTCAGTTTTTCAGTAAGCCCCCTGATATTTGCAGTGGGCATCCAACCATGGCAGCTACGTCTAGAGATGACACCTTGTAGCTTGATGGATCTGGAAACCAGTTCCATTCCTTCTAGAGAGGGAGGGTTTACCTTGTCACACACTGCTACTGATGCATTGTGAAACTCTGAAATGCTCATTAAATTTATCTTCCCCGGTCCTCTTATTGAACCCACAGCTATTCTGACTGAATTTGACCTCTGTGAAATCTGCCTCGAGGAAAAAGTGCTTGCCTTATCATGTTGATGTCTTCTGAGGATTTTGCAGCACAAGAGCTAAAAATCAACTTAACGTGTGCATCAAAGTTTGACACACAGCAATGGCGGGATGGAGGGTGAAACAACTGTTGGCCTGGGTCAGGAGCTGAGAGCTTAGAGAGGGAGAAAAGAAGACTTAGGTTTGCCTCAGGTGAATGGCTTCACTTTACTTTATCTCTGCACTTCTCTTTCTGTCAGAATTCTTTTCACTCTCTCACAGCCTCACAGCCACACACACACACACACACACAATCCTCTCCCTCTTCACACCCCACTACATCTTGCCTGTGTCCGCTCTGTCTCATCAGACAGGATGATGGACTTTAGCGAGGCTCCAGCTCCATCCCTGACCAGAGGACCCCCCCATTTCTCAGCGCTTCTGCTGAGGTGGATGTCTCGGCCTTGCATGCATGGAGGCCTCCATTATTTTGAAGCTTCTCTAAAGCAATATGCATACAAACTAAGCCAAGAAAATCCAATTTGTTATAAGAACACCATATAAATCTCAGAGTCTGTGATCCATGGCAGTGTACTATGGGGCAAACCTTGTTTGAATGTAGAATTTTAATAAAGAGCTCAAATGTCGGCTGCATTATTTATTTTGACCAGTTATGTAGTCTCAGATATGCACACACACTTGCATGTGCACACCTAATGTTAAAACCTTAACAAATCTGTGTGTGACTCCTGAGATCAGACATATTTCTGCTCTTGAAGAGTTTTGAAGACTTGTTATTATATATAATGTATATAATATAAAGATCTGCTAAATATATTTCTGGATTCTCTGAGGCTGTACGAAAGTCCCAAACTACTTCAAAAATACATTTTTTGGAAGTCTAGATATTGTATTCTTGAATTACTTAATGGCAATAATTATGGATGAAAACAAAACCTTTGAGTATTATCCACAATTTGCCCATTACTTTACCAAGTAGTCCAATGACTTGAAAGTCTGTCCTTGAGCAAGCTATCAATACAGTTCGGAAAGGACATTTGCCTTGAGTGACCCTCCAGAATTTGAGGGGTTTTTAGAAACAGAGCATTTATTAAATCTGTCTTGTTTAAAAAAAAAAAAGAAAAAAAAAAAAAGAAATCTAAATCAAAGTTGTCCACATTCAAGAACTGCCAGACCTTGTGGAGAGAAGAGAAACGAGAAGAGCTACAGCAAGAAGTCACCTGTCAACCCACAAAGGGCGACCAAGTAATGACAACAGGGCAGGAACAGTGAGCGGCTGCACCGAACAACAGTCAGAAGTTAAACAGACGGGGTGATGGCAAAGCTTGAAAAGCATTTACCGATGTGGCCTTCCATCCCTCTCTGAACAACATACACCTCCTGTTTGCAGTAGTGTTGTTCTATCTGAGCCGCGCTAACTGCGTCTTATTTGCATACAGGAAAAACACACAATAATGTCATTATCTGTAATAAGGTGTACGAGGGCTCTGTGAAGCTGTGCTTGTTCATATAAAATATTACTAAATGAATAATTTACCCAGAATGATCTGAATAATGACATTTCCTGCAGAGACAGCACGGACTGTAGCTCCATGTTCACTTCATTTTGTTTGTATTCTGGAGCTAAACGGCGGCTCGGATGGAAAGACGTGGATCTAAATCTCATTCATTTAAACACCTCATTAATCAGTTATGATGGAAAGCGTCCTGTAGCTTTTGTAGAAGATGACTGAGCAAAAACATTGAACGACCCAGTGTAACTGCTATTGCTGCTTAAACACAGCGGGGAGAAGATTATGAAATTTCATCGTATGGGGGGGGGGGGGGGGGTTAAACTTTTGAGTGAATGGACATAATCTCTCCATCTGCCTGTGTCCCACTCTCCTACGCTCTCCATTACTTTCTCTCTCTTTCCTCACAGTCCTTCCTCAGCTGAATGTGTAATTGTGAAGAATGACTTCTGGGAACAGTGGAACTAAAACTAATGACGACATTTTTCCATCACTGATTAGGAGTAACAATGGTGGAAGCTTCCAGTTTCCGCTTTGAGTTAGCTCTTCTGGACAGCAACAGTGTGCATCAGTCATGTTACTGTGGTTCCAAGTTGTCTCTGAAAAATAAACTTTTTGCTTTAACAATGCAGCATTGAAATTTAAACTTATACTTTTTAAAACAAGAATAGGACGTCTTATTACACCATTCTCATTTCAACAGTCATTACTGTTTAGTGCTCAGAAAGAAGTGCTGTTTCATTGTTTTGCCCCTCTCAGTGACATTTATTCTGAAATCATCTAATGAAATTTGTGTGTGCTGAAACTAGACCTGAACAGTACACAGTCTAGTACCTTTGCTTTTTGTTTACCCTTAGATTCATGAGTTTATCTTAATCATAGAACCAATCAGGCAACATTTACACGTATATTTGTTCAAGATTAAGCATTTGAATAAAGTCTTTTGCATCTTTATGTCTGTGAAGTAGCTGCAGATGCATCCACAGTAGCTGACTGACTTGAGTTTGTATTTGAATCATAGACAGAGCAACAACAGACCAGGGCAGGACCTGGTATAGGTATATCTCAACCCATGAGATTATTTCTACTTGCATCCTGACTTATGAAATGTTTATTAAGTACACCCAGCTAAAACTAAAGCATTCAAATACAACAGCTCTGTAATAAATCCTGACTTCAATAAGGTTACGATGTTCAGTTTTTATTGAAATTGCTTCTAGAGAGGTGTTGAATCATCTGAATTATCATTTTGGACAATGCAGTTTGTGCTGCTGTTGAACTGTATTGCATCATACAGAGAGGTGTTTCTGTTAGCCTATCGTCATTGATAGAAATGTAGTGGGAAAAATATCTGCAGAGCTAAAATGTCAAATTGCTAAAAAAGAAAAGTAGTTTCTCATCCCTCCTATCCGTCTCTCTTCGTTTCTTGTTTACATCCTCATCTGTTTCTGTTTCTTAGCTTCCAGTTCTATTTTTCACCGTCACTGCACTTTGTCAGATTCTCCTTTACCTTTTAATCATTCTTTTCACACGGCCAGCGTTTCTCCCCTCTCCTAAGGCTCTACAAAGTTTTAAAAATTTAACATTAGGTTGGAACTCTGTGAATAATAACTTAATTTATTTCATAGCCAGGTGCTCATGTTTGACAGATCACCTATGAATACAAAGGTTCTTTAGATCTGTGTTAGCTGTGATCCTTTGCAGCTTGGAATTAAAAAAAAAAAAGAAGTACATTCAGTTTACAACAATCCTGGGACACAGGCTCTTTAAAAACTCTTGTGTTCCAGAAATAAATGTCAGGCTTCAAATCTCAGCGCTCTGATAGGCAGCATCGTCAGCCTCTATCAAGCTTAGCAGGATATACTCCTTCACACATCTACACTGTATCTACTTTGCTCCCCATGTTGCTAAGCTAAGCTTCACTAAAAACATGTAGCTCAACCTGTACTTAGCACCCTGCCTGACATTTATGAGAAACACGACTCCTGAGCAGTCAGAGCTATTTAGACAGACTACACACCGAGACCGTGTGAACAAGGAGACAAATGTGCTGGAAATTTCTTTGTTCCTTTCAGTTTTTAACCCCCGTCTGCCTTCACTCCTTCTCAAAGCTCGCCTGGTGATCTCCACTGAGCATGTGCAAAGCATGCGTGTCAAAATAGCAGCGCTGAGGGATTGAACAGATTCACCTTTTCTCAAGTTCACATTGGTGGCAGTGCCGGGTGAGTTGTGGGAGTTTATTTGGCACGCTGGAGCAACGGGAGTTCTCGGGTTTCGGCACACACAGTAACACACCTGTCCCTGTCTGTTAAGGCACACGGAGGCCGAGTGCTTGGTGAACGAAGGCGGAGGGAAAGAAAAGAAAGCAAGAGTGGGCAAATGTTGAGGGGTCTTTTTTGAGGGGTCTGTGTCTCATCCAGCAGAACTGGCGGTCGTTCAAGAGAAACTCTGGATTGTGTTGGTTCTGCAGGATTCAGAAGAATATTGAGCGGCTAGTGAGAATGGGTGGGGTCGGGTTGGGAGAGGGCAGGGTCAAGTTCCCGCTGTACACTTGGACGCTGGGTAAAGCAGCCACCCAACCCTCACTTACCTCCTCCTGCCACAGGCCAGGACCCTATACATAGTACTGATGCTGCTCCTTAGCTGTCTAGCAGATGGTCACACTGCTGCTGCGAGGATCACTTTGCCTCAGATTCACTAGATTCTCTGGCTTGGGATCAAGTCAGAGGTGAAGAGAGTGACAGAAAGTGTCTTAATAAAGTGTCTTGGCTGTGGGTACAAATGGGCGTTTCATTCGTTTCTGAGCTCTGATCATAGCGATTGGATTTTTATGAGTTAATGCCACCATGCATTCACCCTTGACATCAAACGGCCCCATAAACGGCGTCTCCTGTGGCTGTATTTATTTAGAACGACGTTGGCATTATCATCCATTCTGCTCTTCCTCCCATTGCTTCACACTGCTCAGATGACTGGATGGCATCCAGTCTATGTAGTGTTTTGATCCCCAGTGCAACTCTGACCACTTCTGGTTCTGAAGCTGCTCTATCATAGTGAGAAAAAAAAATCCATTTTTGTGCATCTGAGCTCTCCAGTGTGGTTGCCCATTTTCAAATTCCAGTATGCATGAATGTAGACTCAGTTTTCAGATCATTTGGTACGCCTAGCTTAAACTAATGCAGTGTAATACAGCCCTGCAATAAACCCTATCCCCTATCATGAAGGTTATAATGTTCAGTATTTATTTATTCAAACTGTTTTAGAGGTGTGTTGATCTTTTTGGATGCTGCAGTTTGTGGTGTTGTTGAATTGTGTTGTGTTCTACAGAGTTCCCCCCTCATTGATAGAAAAGGGGTGGACAAAATAATAGTGACACCTGTCAGCATAAGTCAATACAACTCAACAGCACCATAAACTACATCCTTCAAAATGACCGCACAGTTGAATCGACGCCGCTCTAAAACAGTTTCAACAAACGCTGAGCCGTATATTATGTCTCTTCGTAAGCCTTAAGAAAGGCGTGGTCCAGTACATATACATGTAGACAGGGTATGTCAGTGAAGTAACGGTGCCAGGACCTGGTGCCAAGGCCACCACTATCCCAAACAGCTGTAAAGAAAGTGGTGTATTGACTTGATTTTAAAGAGGTGACAAGTCTTCGGTCATCCTGTGGCCATATTGAGTTTCCCTGTCTGTAGCCTGAAACAACAAGCTATCACAAAACTACCAGGAAAGCTGCAGCGGTGATTCAGAGCCAACACTGATACTTTCTGCGATCAGTAATCACCCCCCTGAAGCCCAAAGTCGGGTTGTGGGGTATTTAAAGCGCTGCTGGTATGGACCGTTGTGCCAGCTCGGCCCTTCATTTACTTCGCCATGACATTTAACTCCACTGTGCTTCATTTTATACATTAAAAGTGCCTCTAGATAGATTGTTATCGTGCAACACAAACGGACCAAAATATACTACATCTTTAATAGAGGTTGTTGGTGCATCCTTAAATATTCCAGAACTTTTCCTTTTCATTGGATCTTTTCTCATTAGCTTCTGCTCTGATTAGCTGCTGTAAATGCTCCTTTAACCTTAATGTGTTTCGCCATCAGTTTGCTGCGATTACATCTCTGAGGTAGAAGTTACATCATCTGTTAGATGTGATGAAGATTTTGTTTATTTAGGTATTCAGTGGTTATTCTTTTGAGCATTATCACATATGTTCATTTTTGTTCTAGCCTTGGACTAACAACTTTCACAACAGCAGCTTCATATTGCCCGGTTAATTCATTTAAAGTGTGCTGCTGTAGTGGGAGAAGACTGTCCACTCAGTACCTTCTCCTCCTCCCACATGTAAGAACCAAAAAGACTGAGGATCTAATTTGTGGTGCAACGCCGACACAAAATGAAGCATCTTCAAGAACTATGAAACAAAGAGAATGACTACAGTGTCTGTTTGAACTTTGGTATTTTCTGAAAGAACAGAAAAATATGTCCTAATTCCCAGAAAATTGCCCTGGATTCTACGCAGGAGACATTTTCTCTTGTTTCTTTGTTGGATACACGAGATGGTGCTGAGTGCTTTCTAATGCTGAATAAGGTCTGACGGTATAATGGAGTACGGTGGAAGGCTAAAAAACCCTCTTAAATTATTTTCATCACATGGTGGCGTTTACATTGCAATCACTGTAAAATTTTCTAGTTTAGTTTCAGAGCGTCTTTGTTTGAAATACTGTCAGGGCCCGTTATCTTGCCTCCTGAGTCTGTGGGTGCTGTGCAGCCTGTATCTAAATCTATTGAATTAATACTGCTGTGAAGGAGGTGGGAGCCAGAACCATGGCAACCATCAGCTCAGATTAGTGTGGGACGTGAGCTGGCAGGAGACATGCACAGACCACATACACTACACACTCACTCACACAAACAAATCAATATCAGTGTGTGTGTGTGTGTGTGTGTGTGTGTGTGTGTGTTTCCAACTAGAGCACAACGCTCTCTGCCCTGACAGATACAGATGTTCATTTATTGGTTGCACTGATTGAATAGAGGTCTTCATCTCTCCCACAGAGATACCAAAGTCTGCGTAACAGGTTTAGAAATGATATTACTCAAAGCTGGACTGCCCTCACTGCTATTGATTAATGCATTTTTTTTTTCTAATTTTTTTTCTTCTAATTTGTCAACAAGACACGTCTTTGTGCTTCCTTTCCATTCTCTGCCAGAACATTATTGGTCGCAGTGTACACTTTTTATTTGATTTCCAAAACAGTCTTGTGAAAGAGAAACGTCTTCTCCATCCTGTCATCCTGTGGGGAGGTGTTATTTCACTTTATCAATACATGATAAAAAATATCTGGAAAAAACCGTCTTCCTATAGGCAGTGTTTTTACCATGTGGGATCTTACTCTTCTTGGCACATTCACAATTTAATATGATTATTGATTTTGAGGAAACCCAGTCTGCCCTCAACCTATAACATAAATTCTAAGGTTTATCTGTTATGCTGCTTTTATCTAAGCAGCAGTGACTTCTGTAAGTCAAATGTGCCGTATCTGGGTGTGCAGTTTGAACTGTTGTATATTTGAATTTCAAAACAGGGAGGCAGAGGAAGCAACAAAAGCTAGCCAATATAGATTATTAGATTCTTGTCCTGTCTTATTTACTTTGGATAGGCCACTGTTGAATACTTTCGGCTTTAATGCTCCTCTCCTCTCTGGCAGGATGATGAGGTGGTGCTCCAGAGTGTGGCCACCATCCAGAAGGAGCATCGCAAGTTCTGCCTGGCCGCTGAGGGACTAGGAAACCGTATATGTTACCTGGAATCCACGTCGGAAGCTAAGGTGAGGATGGGAGACAGCTTTCCAGTTTAAAATGGGATATTTTAAGGTTGCTGTAGATATTACGTGGAAATGACAAGTCTGTGATATGACCTTTAAGCTGGGGCAGTACTCTGGAGATGTTTGCCTCTGAAAATATTTCAGCTGACAGCTAGTGTTTACCACTGTCTTTCAAGTTGAAAATGGGTAGATTTTTCTTTACATTTTTTGTGTGTTGGTGCAGTGGCTCCTGACCTTCTCTGTCTTTGTAACCTCAGAGCCCTATTAGATGAGCTCCAGTACCCCCCTGTTCAACACCAGCCATCATGTTCAAAATGTGTTCGTTCGAATCATCTTGAGTTGGATGTTATCTAACACTATTTTTAGTATAATTATTTTTTTTTTATAAAATTGAACTGACAATATGGTCAACATTTAGGTCTGTTTGGTCTGTTTTGCATTTGTACATTTCTATCATTTATCCCTACTTTTAGCTAACTAAATGACAGTGATTCCATGAGCCCCTGCGACTGCAGAAGTACCCCATGTGGTATGAGTACCCCCGGTTGGTATGAAATATATTAGTGGACACCCACCATGCTGATAAAGGGAAGCTGCTCTTTCGCTAAGATAATAAAATGGGGATTTGCAAGATCTAATATCATGTCCAGCAAACATCCTTCAAATGTAATTAACTATGTGCAGCTTATTCAACTTCTTGAAACTGACCCAGATAAGACTGTTCAGACATTTAATTATGTGAAAACTAGACATGTGGTCTCATTCTTTGTTTAATCCAAAAGATCAGTGGATGAATTAATAATTAATTAATTTTGGATGATGGTGATGTTTTTGAAAAGACAAAAATGTTGGCGCTGTATTAGTATGTATTATGTTTGTGTCCCCTCTCAAAAATTAATTACATCTCCCAGTAATTGGATCCTTGAACAATTAAACTGGGACCTATCCTCATTTGAAAAAAAGATTTCTCCTGCATTGTTAAATAGATGCACAAAATAATATTGCATCCAAATATAGTCTGCAGTCCAGTTTTGCCCCTTGGCAGTCTTTCTTCCTGAAAACAGTATAAATCAAAGAGACACTCTGACTGAAAACCATCTGTTTATCCTCTTTCCCGTCCACCTGCTATTATTGAGACGAGCTGCCCTGCCTAATGATGGGGTTGAATTAGGAAGTGCAGGTTTTGTGGTGTAAACTACGCTCACATAGATTTAAAAAAAAACAAAAAAAAACAACCTCAAAATGAGTGCCTTGGTGGTGCAGAGGGAAAACACACCCCCACTGCTGCAGCCATCCAGGTTCAGTGGCCGCTGTGATGAATCCCAACAAACACAACTGACAGTGTTTATGGGGTCAGTTAGGGATATTGCATTTGTTTCTGCACTGGTGCATCCCAGTGGTTGGTCATGGAGCTGGGACAAACAACACAACAACAGACAGGTTGTATAGAGCATGGTTGTCACCACTTGTGCTGCATTATTGTAAGAGGAGTGAAAACTCTCATTATGACTGAATGATGTGAATTTGCATCTCGCTATCGGTGGTGATGTAACAACACAACAGAGCTGTCAGTACTCTGTTACACGTCTCATTAATTTTCTTTTTGACAAGATGTACTGTATGGTCTTCAAAAAAAAAAAAAAAAAGAGGCATGTTGAAATGAGGCAGATCATTTTTGCTCTGGAGAATATGTTTCTTAATAGGAACATAATCATTGTATATCATTATGTGCATCATTAGTCACAACATTTTCTGTGATAAATTCTGAGACGTTTGGGGAAAGCAAGTTCGCTGCCAGTCAGTAATGCAGATGCATGTAGGAACGACAATGCAGCAAATATATGGTGACGTGCTTACTGTTTTAATTTTGGCCTCACCCTTCCTACAACTGTTAAACTTTTCACTGCCTGGTTCGGATGTTCTTAATGAGCTGTGCATATCAATTAAAGCCTGATTTTTAATTGGGCTGAACTGAGCAGTAAGACTATGAATAAAATTTGGGGAAACGAGGTCATGTTTTGGCTCACCCACCTGGAACTGTTGTTCAGCTACACCTGCAGAGCTCTAGAGGCAGCCGGTCACAAACACTTCTCTCCTTTCACCTTGGTACCGGTGACAATGCTTTGGACCTCCTTGGGTGTGAAATGTGGCTGAGTGTCGACGGTGATGGCTGTGGTTTGGCACCTGGGAAGGAGCTGTCATTTGCTGGCTGATCTCAGGTGTTGACACCTCATTTCCCAGACTCTAATGAAGCCTGGCTGCCTGCCGCTGCTGGAGGTGGAGAGAAATAGGAGTCATTAGGTTCAGTCAAAGAAGAATTCTGAGTGTTTGTATTGTTTCACATATGATATACTACAATGGCCTTTTGTAAGCTTCCATTGTGGTTATGCTGTTGCTCCTTCTTGTGAAGACAGTAATTTATATATCGAAACTACTAACAACACATCTCATGATAATATAAATAATCAAATTAGATTGTGGAACATCTTGCTGCAAAAAATTGAGTTCATATCCTTGTCATCATAACTATTTCTATTTAATATACTGTTTTGATTATTTCTGTTTAGGTTTTGATTGTATTGACGGATAAGGCTGGCGATATTCCTTATTCTTTTTACTGTACACATATCCCATGGAAATACCAAAACTATCAAAGTGTTAATTGACTTTCCCACTGTCTGTGTCTCTCCCTCAGCCTCATGTCCTTTGGTTCTTACGGCTGTAAATCCTTCAAAAAGGCTCATGAATATACTCAAACATTTTTACATTACAAAAAGGCAAAATTGTTGGGGACTATTTTCAGCTGCAGATTTGGTGTTTTGGTATTTACAGCAGCAGGATGGTATATTTGGGACGGACTCAAAATAAACTGCAGTGGCCATGTTCAATGTAATGAGGGGATGCGTCACCCAGGGAAATGGTGTGGCTCAATAATGGATTTTTAATAGTTTTCTACCAGGCTTTGGTTGCATAGACAGTGCTTGGTAGAAGGATCAGTTCATTGTTGGTTTTGGTCTTTTAATGAATTTTGTTGACACCAAGAAAAATCTGGAATATCACCAGACTGATCCTTTAGCAAGGTTGTTCTATTCATTAATTTCTGCTTACATGCCTTTTTGTTAGGGAACAAGTGGAAGTTAATGGGATTTACAATAGCAGACAGCATTGAGAAGATTAATTTATTTCACATTATGTGATCTCCTTTGAATAGCCTGCATATTATGTAATAATCTAGACTGTCAAATAATACTGTTTGATCTTTTGAAGAATCATTTCACCCATTTTTACAGCTTATATCATTGTACTGTCTCAAGCTCCCTGTAGAGTATGGAAAAAATAAAGGTCAGTGTGACCATGGAGACAGTCTTTTCTATTCACAGACATGGCAGAATGTTCAGTATGTCTGACCAACCCTGGAAGAAGTATGATAATTGGAAAATTGGCGGTGAATAATTCATAAGAGGTGTAAGGTCTGCAGCAGGTTGCGAGTTATCACTGTAGAAGGTCGTATGACACCACAGGTGTAGCTGCGTCATGTCATGTTGCATTCGCTCGAAGGCAAAAGTAAATATTCATACGGCCCTTTCTCAAGTTTTGTGGTGAGATGAATAGATTTTGGGGCTGCAAGACTATTATAAATGTCTTTTCCCATTATAGTTGTTGTTTTTTTTTGGTCACTGGCAAAATGTTATCCGGGTGTAAATGCAATTAAATGATGAGTATCCGAGTGGACAGCATTTGTTTGCAGGCCGTTGGTTTGATCTGGACACACACACACACACACACACACACACACACACACACACACACACACACACACACACACACACACACACAGACACACGCACACACACACACACACACACACACACACACACACACACACAGACACAGACACACACAGACACACACACACACACAGTGGTGCTGGAGGTTCCCTTGCATGTTTGTGTTGAGTTACAGAGCAGCGCCATCCTCATTATCACCCAGCAGCCCTCCCCTCTGCTCACATTTCTCACTTCACTGCAGAGTTCAAGGGTCAGCCGGTTGTGTTACTGAGTCAGGGCAGGCACCCAACACCTTAAATCATTCCTTGTCCTCTTCTATGTTGGGGAGAGATGGATAGTCATGCATGTTATATGATGCCAGCTATTGTTATGAAATTGGAGATAAACAGTGGTAAGTACGTATTAAATAATATTAGGATTATTTAAAAAATAAGAGGGAAGGGATTTGAAACGATATGACGGTGTGAGAGAACTGGGCTACGGCTACGTTGTTTGTTTACATGTCGTTTATGTGACATGTCAGCAGTGTAATGTTAACAGTCAACAGTGCCATCTAGCACATCACCAAGTAAATAAATTGTTCATACTCTGACAAGCAGATGCTATTAATGATCAAGTCCCCCGGTCTGACTGTGAACTGCTTTGAAGAAGAACGTACAAGCATCAGACGCCCTGTCTTTTTCTAATTACCCAAATGATGATTTCAAATATACAATACACTTTTTTATTCTTCAGTATCATCTCTATGATTTGTCTCTTTGATAAACCTCACTTTATTATTGCATCCCAGTAACAAACACCCTTATATTACACCGTGCCCTTGTTTAACAGCCATGCATTGAAAGTTTACAGACAAACAAACAGTTAACTGAAAGTGGAGGACAAATCTTCAGCCTTTTACAGCATAGGGCCAGACAACCCTGTGTGCTGAGGAATACGGCCGACCCAAACTAATTATTGGTCGTTGCAGTTTCGGGCCGAACACCTTTTGACAGCCCTCCTCATAATCCCCAGCCACTCGTTAGCAACACACCAGGATGGCAGAGAAGTTGGAAGTCATCAGAATTATTTATGAGCACCACTCCTCACCGAGCAGTTTAATCATTTCACTTGGTCTCTTGTCTCAGATCAGGGCCTGCAGTTAAATCTGTATCCAATTACTGCAATGGAAATATTCATTAAATATGAGACTGTAGGTGAAATGCTACATACATAAATGTGTGCGCGCATGTGTTTAAAAAAATCAACAACATTTTCATTTCTTTAAGATGCATAAACATAAATATGTGTGTGTGTATATATCACATCGTCACTACAATGAAAGATAAGGCAATGTCTAGTTGTCCATACTCTCAGATGGTTTATGGATTTGGTAAATTAGAATTTAAATATCTTTTTGATGTCAGTTCAAGAAGTTTTATCCAAAAATATATAATTATATATTTCTTTATTGAGCCATCATCGACTTCAGTTGGGAGCCTCTTTTGGCCGACACTGCAATTTTCGTAGGTCACTCACTTTCTGCATGTCACAGTCCATCAAACCGCTTGGACGTCAGCTTTTACAATGTCAGTGGGAATCATAAAGTTTGTTTATAAACTGCATTTCTGAAACCATTTTTTCTCTGAACTCTTCAGTCTCAAGTTGTAGAAAGGTTTATTATCAAACCCGACTCAAGTGCTACCTGGTATTTTCCTCTCAGAGATCAGAGCTCTGTAGACCAGGGGAGTTGGGTGTAGCTGCTTCCTTACAAGGGGAGCAAAAAAAATAAATAAAAGGGCGAAAACCAGTTAAGGAATTTCAAGGAGAATAAACTGCTGGCACATTGTTTTTGTACCCAGGAGAGGAGTCTGTCATTGCCTCTTCAACTTCAAACTGTTTCTTTCCCTCTGTCCCTTTGTCCTTCCCCTTGCTCGCTCTCCTCCCTTTTTTCCTTCCCTTTCTTTCCCTCTATCCTGCAGTATGTTCCTCCGGACCTGTGTATTTGTAACTTTGTGTTGGAGCAGTCCCTGTCAGTGCGGGCCCTGCAGGAGATGTTGGCTAACACTGGGCAGAGCAGCGAAGGGGTGAGTACCTCCCTTATTCCCACTGACACCCCCCCGCCTCTCCCTGTCTTGTGCACACAAACACACTCAAACACTTGTATACACATACATGCACACTCTTGTACACAAACCAATCTGTAGTCTACTGGCAGCACAAAACGCCCTTGAGTTAAGTTGCAGTATCATTCTGTATTTCTATGTGCTATGATCTATAAGAGTATAATGGAACAATATTATTTTAAACTGTTTTCTAGTTATAGTAATTTAGCTGAAGGGATATTGATTGAAAGAACTCCCTCATTGGCAGAACAGTCACTGCATTGGAAGCACAAATGCCCTGAATCTATTTAAAGGGGCTTCTCAGTTCAAATCCTGAAAGCTGTCCTGATTGGAAATACATCAGAGTTTTTTTTGAGGCCACCAAATCAAGGCCAAGTCCAACTATGGTGCTTTAGCTGTTTAGCCTAAAGTGATTTTTTTTAGGCTTCTCATGAATACAATATTTACAGATGGAAGCAGCATTTCAAACCCCTTTAAATGTCAAATTGGGAAATCAAATATAGGTCCAGCACAGCTTTGTGGAGCTGTTAATTGACATTTATTATTCAAGAAATGCAGCTGCATTTACAGTAACTGCAGTTTAACTAGCAAGTACCTGCTGGCTCCGCTACAACAGCAGGGTCTTGGTCGTGTTTAATGTCCCGCTTTCCTGACTTGGAAATCTGCAACAATAGATGATTTTTCAAGTCAATAATTTTGAATTTAAAAATCTATAATTTGTCACATTACAAAGATACTGTGTGGAGTCTGTGTGGAGATATTTTTTAACAAGAAACTATATAATTGTACATGAGGGAGGGGGGCAGCCTGGAAGGTCCATCAAGATCACAACTGAAAACTGAAAAGTGCAACTTTGAGAAATTAACTTGCAACTGTACTGTAATAAGTGTACGGGTAAGTATAATAGTGCATTGGCCATAACAATGTGTATGAATGGAGTAATTAACAACCGGAAACAGGTACCTTTCATTAATAAGGTTGTCACATCTAAGATGTCAGTCTAAACTGACAACTGCTGAATTACTCCTGCAGAAACAACTGTTTCTGCAGGAAATATTGACTTTGATAAGTGATAATGTCAAAAACCAATAAGTAGGTTGGATCGAATCCCAGTAGCATTTAGGGTAAGCAGACAGACTACAACTAGCAATACTCTGAACTACTTAAACACAGAGAACTGTAATTGAATTCTCTTTTCATTCTCTGTAACACGTTCCCCCATTTTTTGCAAAAAGAGATCAGAAGGCTCAGGAAATGAAAGGCCGCCGGGTGGTCAAAGACAGGGGGGAAATTATCTGTGAGTGCTCTGCTGCATTCACGGCCGCCTCCTCTCCTGGCCCTGCGCTCTCTTGATTTACGCCAAACAGTGTGCGAGCCCCTTCCTACCAGCTCCGCTCCAGCTCACTTGGCATGTTTATTAGAGCAGGTAAGTAATCTTTGATCGGGCAGATTCTCTGTAGTGACACAGGGGTGTCATCGACAGCACAGTGAAGCCATCCGGCGGGCTACGTCTGCTCTGTAAACCCTTGTCAGATGTTCATTCACTGGTGCTGCTATGCTCTAATAGAGTCATTTCATGTGTCATTTAATCTCATCACCCAGCAATTCTGCTTTAGAGCCAAATGAAGAGGTCAAGAGATGGGAAGGGATGGCATCGCCTTCATTTGGAGGAAATTTTAAGCCCTTTCCTCCTAACATGTTTTGGGAAAAACAAAGAGAAAACAGCACTTAAATCTCATACATGCTAGGATTACATTTTGATGAACAAACTGCATACAAGAAGTTGTGTCTTATTGGTGGTGTTTTTCTTTTCTTCCCATCACTGTTCCTTTTGGATACAAATGGTCTGTATTTATTTTGAAAGCATTCCTCAATTCAACTATTATCATTAGCTAATACTTAGGACAGACTGCTAGTATTCCTGGAACAGAGATGACAAAGCTGTGGTTGCATGAATCATTGTGCAGTACAGATGTAGCTATTAGAGAAACCCGAGCACTGCACAGCATTACGGTGTTCTTTGCAATATGAAATGAGATATAAGATAGCCCAAATTGTGTGCTTTGATAGGTTGCTCTGGCTACCACTGTACTTTCATGCACAACATAGCCCTCTGGCACAGCTGGTTCTTTAAGTGTCTTATTTTGTATACCGCTTGGGTCCTCTCCACTGGAGATTCAGGCCTGCATTGTTATTAGCCTGGGTAGCAGATTTGTTTGGTGCTCAACAGAGCAACATTGTTGGCTGGCCTTGTCTGGCAAGACAACATGATGTTGGCTAGAATACAAACTCTCTGGTAGCAAGGCTAATAAATCACCCTCCTCTTCCTTTCCGCAGTAAGGGCCCATCTCTCTCTATTGTTGCTCTCAGATTTGTGTAATTGACTGCCATACATCCCAATAACACATTCTTTTCATTTGTATTTGTGTGTTAATAGAGTGCTGACCATGAAAAATGGGTAGGTCCATCAGTTTATTCATCCATCATGTTGTCAGTGTGCATGACAGATGTACTGACTGCCCAACGAAAGGGTTTAACTTTCGTCACTTTCACTTGAAATGACGCCTATTTCTTGATTGTCATAAAAGCTGCATTTATAGCTTGTACAGCACTTAGTTTATACGTGTACGACAGGAACTACATTGTAGGGAGATATTAAGCTAATGGCAGTACATTTCAATTTTTCCACCTCACCACATATTGTACAAATGGATATTGGAAGACATTTATTTCTGTGCAGACTCCCCCAGGATAGTAAATTAAGCTTTCACCTCACCATAGTTCAACATATTCTCTTTCCTTCAGCCAGTCTGGGGAGAATCAATTAGCTTGTCACAGATGTCTCTGAACTTTAACACATGACAATCTTGAAATAGACATCCATTGGTGCTGTCACCTTGTGCACATGAGTCAAATGTTTTGCCTTGCCTCTTTGAATACTACTTTGTTTGCAAGCGTGCAAGCACCCTTTTTTTTTTGCTTTTAATGCAATAAAATACAAGCTTAGTATACAGCTTAACATGTCTGTGCTGTTAAAAATTGCATACATACATATTACACTAAACTCTTGCTTACCAAAAGTAGGAATGAGCTCTGATGATTTATCTAGTGACTGAATCTAAATAAAAAGGATCTGAAAACCCACACGTTGGAAGAAAACTCACTTTGTGGTTTGGGTGTGCTGCTCTGTTTTCTCTAGGTTTGGTCTCTAACATCAGTTAATTTTAAGGGTATTGACATGAGGAAATGTCCTGAAATCCATTTTGATTTCAGAGTGTTAACTTAACATGCAGTAATGTTGAGCAAAGCTGTTGGTTTAAATTTTTAGTATATGGTTGGTATTTCTTTGTTTATTTTAACTTTCTGTAACTGTCACATATTACACACGGCAGTTACATCATACTGTATCTTGATGGATTGTTATCAAGTAAATCTAAAGCAAATGGTGCATGATCTCTTTCTCATTATCCAGATGATTTAAAGGACAGGGCAATCAATATATCAGAGGGCACTTAGCAAATGTGTCAGGCATGAATCTCTTCTACATGGCCTTGAAAGATGGATTAGTGTGCCATTTCCCATGCTCAGGCCGTTCCACATAAGGTAGGCTATTGATATGAAGTGAACATTGGGGTAAATTACTTAGTCATGGTTTGATGTAATAGCTCTGGCAAAGAGTAAGCAGACACTGTTTAATCCTTGTAAAGCCAAGCAGGAACGAAAATTAAAGTGTTAAGGAGATGAGTGTTTAGGACATAGACACCAAAAAAATAGACACCAAAAACCATCCATGTGTTTGGGGTAGTTTGACTTTCTTACTGGCCTATAGCAATGCTGCTAAAAACTATTAACAGAAAATAAATCAATAATATATTCTGTGATCATCATCAGTCATTTATCAAATAAATCAATAATATATTATGAGATTATCATCAGTCATTTATCAAGTAAAGATATTGGGCGGGTTGTTAATTATAATAATCAGGACGTTTTACACTAGCAACACAGATGTGGCAGTGTGTAACAGCTCATGGAGGCAAGATTGCCACAATTTCTGTCATAAATCGGAGTCATTAACTCAAAACTGTAAAAAATATGAACACAGATATAACACACACATTTTTAAAATTCTAATAAACGTCCATCAACCCGCTTAGACATCACAAAAAAACACCAGTTCAGAACTTGCCTGAGAATCATCGGGGTTTCAAGTTTTCTTGAGTAACAAAGTAATCCAGTGATAGGTGTTAGTACATCCATGGGTAAACAGCAAAGAGGAACTAATTATAACGAATTCGAGGCGCCTTAATTTTCCAAAATACAAAGAATTTCGGAGATAAAAACGGGGGTCATGTTGGAGCAACCATTTTAACTCACTGTGGCAACATATTTGTGTTAATATGACATGAATATTTCAATATTTTCTTTCTACCGCATGGGCCCATTTTGAGAATAAAGCTCGTTTAAAAAAAAAAAAAAAAATCATGGTAAAATTATACTTCCTGTTCCGGTTGCTGCGGTTGATGTTTTTTAGTTTTTATCTATTTATATAAGTGAAACAATTTAATGTTACATTATATAAAAGATTTTGTAAGGGAATATTTAAAATATTTAATTAATCAAAAATATAAAATGATTTAAAAAAAAAAAGAAAGAAAGAAAACAAAAGAAGAAAATTTGCGACAATCGGGTGGTTTCTTGTCACTGATTTGGTTACAATCTGTGAGTCAAGTTTGGCAACGGTGTCCGTCATGACACGCGGCACCTGTGGGTATACGAAAATGCGAGATGCTGTATAAACGGATGTCGTACCAGTTATTGTAACCGTTGACAGAACTAAACATGTCCAACGCACGAAAGCTAACCGCGAACTTTCCAGCATTCAGCGCTTATTAGGTGAAAACAAACAAACGATGGTGCAGGTGAACTTCTCAGTGACTTCCGGAGAATTCACATCGGGGTCGGTGTCTTCGGGTTTAAAGTAAGTTAACAAAACTAGGAGTAGAAGATTGGTTTTATAATACATCCATGACTAGTAGTGGCGTAGTTAAATCTTGGAATCATGAATTTCAAAATTTGCGCATAATTAGATTCTACAGAAATGTCTAGAAGGTTACGCTAGCTAGTTGTACATCAACTAGTAGCTTATTATAGCTTCTACTCATTGTTCAGTTTTCTAATTGTTGTGAAAAATATATCTGTCCCATGGTGTTTTTTAGAATATACTAACAAGCAGAAACTTAAATGCTATCAAATGCCTGTAATGGGTGCCTCACTTGGATAGCTAAGTCATCAAGGACTATGATGACCTGCATTAGGTCTAGTGTTAGTAACGCTAAAGCTAAGTAGTTAATTATATGGATTTTACTGTATTTAACTTTGGTGGAACAGCAATGTCAGACAGCACAACGTATTGTGGAGTACTAGCATGGAGTGTAAAGCCAACTATTTACCATGGCATATGATCAATTTTGGTGTCTAGCTATGTCTTTGTGACTAAAAAGGAAATATTTACTAATGAGCCTGTATTAATAAAAACGTGGATAATCAATTAAGATACAGCTTACACCTCCTCCCCTAACACACATGTATGCTTTGAGACACATCTGCACAAACTTCTCTGTCTCTGTGTCTAACACGAATTCACTCCAAGCTCTTTAGGATACAGTACTTACAACCGGAGGAGCAACAAACCAAAGGTCACAGTTCCTGGCAGTGATGTGTCAGCATGACAGCAGGCCTGAAATACAGGCTGGCTCTCTCTCTGTACCCCCTCCCTCACTCCCAGCTGTTGCTGGATACTCTTCCCATTTTTCTTTTGATCGAACCTCAGTTTCCTTTTTTGTCTGTCTTATGCAAGCCATCTGGGAGAGCCTTGGTAGCCAAGAGAGAATTGGCTTAGGGTCATGTTCAAGGGACAGTCGGGAGTTCCCTTTAGGTCGGTTTAAATGTGACCCCACGAGAAAACACACAAATTAACGCTGACAACTGGTCAAGAAAGAGGATAGCCTCCATGTATTGCTTGTTGGATAAACACTACAGTGTGTGGCACAGTGGTGAGCACTGTCCTAATCTTGGATTTGGTCCCAGCTGTTACTGTTAGGATTTTAAATGTTGTTTACCACCAGTCAAATCAGGTAGACTGGACACTCTGAATTAACTGTAGATAACAAAGTGTCTGTTATTAGCCCTAATAATAGAAATTTCCACTGAGACAATGAGAAATCTTTAACAAGTGGAGAATGTATGGGCAACATACTCACTCACTCCTATCACAAGTGATTTGAAAGTGAACTGACTCCATTACTGCTTTAAGACTGTTCCAGATTTGTAGCGTTTATCCAGCGCACAATATCAAAACCCAAATGGAAATTGCTGATACAGTGATGGTTTAGATGTCACTGCTTATGGTATCTTTTCTTTTTTCTTCTGCTGCTAGAGGTTGATTAAAAGGGTAAGTTGAATTTTCTTTATTCACCACAGTGATGAAGAAAAAAAATCTCATCTTTATTATTTGTTGCTCAACTATGTCCTCACATTTCCTCAGGCATTTTGCACCCGAATGTCACAGTTATTGTTTGTCACAAGAATGGGCAAGCTGTCTAATGAGTGTGGTACTATACATGTTTGTGTTTGTTTGATTGTGTATGTAGTTTTTTTTTTTGTGTGTGTTTCCCTTCCTCCGTCTTTGTCTGTTATATGCTTGCACTTGGAATGGAGGTTTTAACTAAAAGATACTTGATCCTTTCAGTTCCATGCAGTTTACCTGGGTCCAGAGGTCAAGGATGCTAGGACATGATAATAATCTGTGACCTGTTTGTTTCCCGGCAGGCGGGTCAGGGGGGCGGACATCGGACCCTGCTCTATGGTCATGCCATCCTCCTACGCCACTCCTTCAGTAGTATGGTGAGTATCAACAATGTTATTTGACATAGGAAACTAATGTATATGTTGTTTTTTTGTTAATTAATTGTTTAAAATGTTAGAAAATGGGGATTTCTCAAGTGCCCAGCAACCATTGTTAAGTCTTCAAATCACTTATTTTGTCTGAGCAGCAACTGAAAAATGCAAAAGAGGTACACAACAGAGAAGAAGCTCCCAATCTTCACATTTGAGAAGTGGGAACCAATCAATATTTGGTTTTTATTATTGATAGAAAATTCCTTTTCTCAATCGACTAATAAGTCAATAAGTATATAATATATATTTGTATATTTGTATATTTGTAAGTCCTGAACTGTTTATTTTTTGATTCATGAATAAATAATTTAAGTCATATTTTATTGCATATTTGAACAATAGCTGGTTCCACAGCCCGTTGAGGTGTTTCCTTTGACTTAACACTAATATTATTTTTCACTCCCCAGTACTTGACCTGTTTGAAGACATCAAGGTCTCTGACAGACAAGCTGTCGTTCGATGTCGGACTACAAGAAGATTCAATAGGTACAGTGTGACTAACAGACACTTGACAGAGTTGACTTGGCTTTTTGTTGCTTTTAACTAAATTCAATTTTCCTGAATAGCCGTTTCAGGTCAACCTAACCTTGAGATTAAATAAATACCCATGGGAGAAACACTGTAACCATGCATTTGCTGTGTGTGCACAATAATACTATATTTGACATTTGAACTACAGAAATGCTTCAGGGCATTTATCAAGTGGAAATGATACTTCAATTATTCCATCAGTCATTCTCAGATGAAGGATAGTTATATGCTTTTTGCTACTCAGAATAGATGGACACTTAAACAACAGAGAAAAGTCAGGACTATCAAAAATGACACATATATGACTGTGTTGGACAATAGATGTGCTCTAATGCTATTTTCACAAATTTGATTAATATTTTCATGTCTTTATGTCAATAGGAGAATCCTGTTGGTGGACCATCCACCCTGCGTCCAAGCAGAGGTCCGAGGGAGAGAAAGTCCGCATCGGAGATGACCTGATTCTTGTCAGTGTGTCAACAGAGAGATACCTGGTAGGTCAAGTCTGGTACCTTCTGAATACAAAAGATCCAAAATGACCTGTAACTGAGAGGAAAAAGAGAAGGTTAAGGTTTTTTTTATTTTTTTTTATTATTATTTGTGCTAAGCCTGTAGGGTGAGACTCTTTTTTTACTCTTTTTTGGATAGAAGGTTAATAACCTTGCTAGCTAGGTCAACAAATATACACACAATAAGTAAGAGAAAACCCCCATTGTTAATCATGAAGCTAAAGCAATCAAAGATTATTAGATGAAAAAAATATGTGGAATTGTTAATTATTATATAAATAATTATCTAAAAATATTTATTTCCTATGTAACATCATTACTAAAACCAATTCAGATAATTATACCTTGCGGTCATTTAGCATTTTGATTTTTGATGCCATTCATCAAAGACCTCCCATAGTTACTCTTCTTCAGAAGGTGGGAGGCAGTGTTACAGCAAAGCTTTATCAACAGAGACTTAAACTCAGTTTTAAAAGATGATGGTTTATTTGCAGCTCAAACAATTCTCATTGAATCAGCAGGCGTCCATTCAGTTTCTCACTTTCAGATAAGGTTTTTCTCTCATGAATATTTACTGTTTTTCAGACACATCAGATACATCAGATGCAGTCTCTTGTTTTTGATGCAGACTGTATCATCTCTCATTTTCTTTTGTCTGGTTTTCTGTCAGATCTCACTTAATTCAGATTTGCTCTATTGTTTTGGGGGCTGCCAAGTGTTTTCATGTCAGAATAAAATTGTCTGGCTCTAAACTCGGACGAGAATTGTACAATGCACTAAATGCAAAAAGGGAGGGTTGTATTTTTTTTTCCGAGATTATTTGCCCCACATAGCTTGAGTTATCTGCTTTGGTTCACTGTCTGTCTCAAAAGGCACTTTGGAAACTTTCATAGCTGTCAGATAGCTCTGATACCCGTCTCACTCCAGCCAACTTCAGAGTGACAAGGCAATTCAAGGGGAAAACTTTAAAACTTTACCCTGCTATCTGTAATGGAAATCTGATTACCTGTAAAGCCCTCCTGTGCAGGTTCTTTTTAAAAATTATTTTTAGGGAAGGCATCCATCTGACTGATGAGCTTAGAGTTAATGCTGTCTCCCTTATGCACAGCTATACACCCGACCTCAATTAACTTACTTGGTAAAGAGAGAGGAGAGGGGGATTTCAAGAGGGAGACTGAGAAGGAGAGAAAGAGGCAGAGAGAGAAATGGTAAAAGGGAGGGACAGAGACGTGCCAGGCATAGGAGAGTGGGGAGCACTAGCTTCCCGTAGCTGCTCTGGCCCCTCAGGGAAGGAAATGTGCAATTAAAGCAAAACTGGCAAAGAGCCAGACTTTCATCTCCTCCAATGGGAAATCTTCACCTGATTTGGCCCGACAGAAAATCAGCTTTTGAAGAATGGGACACAGAAATTCAGGCAAAAGCAATCAGTGCTCAATTACTGTGAACAATCACACACTTCGTGATGGAGTCTTTTTAGGATGTAGGGGTTTGTTGCTTTGTCTCTTTGTGTCCAGTTTGGCTCAATTGTTTCAGCAGTTACATTTTGTTCTGCATCGAGTGTTCAAGTCTGGTGCCCAACTATCAGGACAGTATAAAAAATCCTATTAGGCTGAGCTAGTGCACAAAAAGTTCAACTTTATACAATCATAATATTTTTTGCACAACACATATCAACATGTAGGAAAGGTTGCACTGAAATACATGGTATACTGTGCATTTCTGAAACATTGTCCGAGACAGACTAATAAAAACACTAAATGGATGTTTGTAGTTGTACTACCTTTATTTACATATTTTTGCCAATCAGCACATCAGCTCTTGAGAGGATGTAGCTGAAGGCCAGGATAATTTCAAGCTTCCACCCGCCTCTAAATTCTGCCTGTAGGGAAATGGGAGCCACTCCAAGAGTTTCTGCTGGAAGGAGTTATTGTAGAGTATTATCTGGACATTGCTGCAAAGAAAAACACTGATGCAGCAGTGGTTTTTAGCCCACAGTGTTATAACACTGCAGCTCCAGAGGACAGACGTTTTTTAATCTCTTTTAAAATGCCAACTCTGGGACATCTCGCTCTTCTGTGCAGAATTGCTGAATCTCAGTGTTTATCTATATTTCCCTCCTGCTAACAACTACTTTACTGCCCATCTCCACCTTTATGTCTAAAGCCCTGTGTAACCTGCTCCTCTCTTGCAGCACCTCTCTATCTCCAATGGCAACATCCAGGTGGATGCCTCCTTCATGCAAACTCTGTGGAACGTCCAGCCTACCTGCTCCTCAGGCAACATGGCTGTAGGCAAGTTCATGACAACAGCAGCAACTGCGATAACAACTGTTTCAAGGACATTTAAATACATTTTTAAAAATGTTTTCAGATACTGTGGCTGTCTTTACATCTAATGATCTTCTGAATATGTAAGCAATAAGGAAAAAAGCCATTTATGTTAAACCTGAGAACTCACGTTACAGTATTTGCAGATGAAAAAATAAGCAACTATGAAAAACCCACTGTTTCACTGTATGGTTGGAGAACAACCACACAATGATAATAGAAAATTTCTGCATAATCAAAGAGGAAAACAAATATTTTGTAACCCTTTTTCTTTGTCCTATTAGGGTATTTGATTGGTGGACATGTGATGCGTCTTTGTCATGGGCATGATGAGAGCTTGACCATCCCTGGAGCAGACAAGAATGAGGAAGAGCAGAGGTTAGTGGGTAATTACTGGATCTCAGTAATCCAACTAAATATTAGGAAAGTTGTTTTGTGACCAGGGAGTGGGTATTTAAAAAATTCTGAACAACAACTGAGGCAGTAGTTTTAGGAATGATAAATGAGAGACACTGTCCTTTTCTGCAACAATTACTCAGGGCCCAAGTGTTGTTAAAGTGCAGATTAAGTTACTTCTCAAACCTGTGACAGTAAAATTGCATAGTGACAACAATATAAGGCTCATAGCTCCCGTGTGTCCTGTGTATTCATTAATAAATTGATAATCTAGTGGAGGTAAATAGAGATTCGGTCTGCCCTACTGCAAGATGTCAATCAACCATGGAAGAACTTCTTGTCTAAATGCTTTAGCAGTGTTGGTATTTCCTGTGCTAGAACAGCAGCAGTAGCAGGAACTCTTCAAGTTATATTATTCCCATCGTGACTTGAAATACTCCTCCGCTGTCTGTTTGCCTCCAGGATCGTCAACTATGAGGCGGGTAAGGGAGCGTCTAGGGCTCGCTCACTGTGGAGACTGGAGCCTCTCAGGATCAGGTGAGATCAGACTCAAATACACACATACTGAATAAAATACAGTCAGGAAAGTAAATAACATAAAACCCTGACATAACTTGTGTATTTCTGAGAGAAAGCTTTCTTTTTTGAGTGGGATCTCCTCATGAAGAATAAAAACAATTGGTTCTTTATGTACAAATGTTACAGCTACTCTACTGTAGGTCATGTACAAAACTCACCTCCCTCTACTCTGAGCTGTCACTACAAATTAGTTGGCAGAGTCCTTCAGAGAGTGAGGTTCTGTTTACCATCCCTTTCAATCTACTTCTCTCTGTGTGTCTATCATCCTCCCCTCTTCTTCCTCGCTTCCTTTTCTTTAACTGGCCACCCACGCGATTTCCCCCCAGTCCCATCGTCTGCTAGCTCTCACTGGGACTGCCTGTCAGAGTCTGTACACCTTGAAATGGCGCAGGTGCATCTGTTAAGGCACATGTTCCCTCTCTTCAGCTTAGGGAGGAATTTTGAACTGTATTTTCTACACTGCATCAGTGAAGAAAAACCATATTGCTTTCTCACTTGATCTACTCATCCCACCTGCAGATATGTTTTACAACCTTTTTGAAAATATTCTACTCAATGTAGATTGAGTAGTGTTTTTGCTAATCTGTGCTACGAACACATTTCAGTCAGTACCAAAAAAGTATTTAGGTTTCGGTAAATGGTCCTATTCCAGAGAGCAGGAACATGGGGACAGAATATGCATATTTACATTATCTGCCAGAAACAATATTATTAAAAAGTCAGAAGAGTCTGATGTTGTCATTGTTATTAATTGCAGTCATGTGAGGTTTTCAGTGTTGAAGAACGTAGAATATCCAATGTAACCTTATCTAAAGTTTGTGACACCAGTTCTCTGTGTTTAGCTGGAGCGGTAGCCACATCCGGTGGGGCCAGGCCTTCAGGCTACGTCACCTCTCTACTGGCCATTACCTGGCCCTGACCGAGGAACGTGGACTGGTCCTGCAGGACAGAGAAAAGTCCGACACCACAGCCACTGCCTTCTGCTTTAGGGCCTCCAAGGTTGGTGCTTTCTATCCCTGTACAGATATAATTTAATTATTCTTTTTTTACAACTATCTCTGATGTGCCCTTTGAGCAAGGCAGTTACATCACCAGAAAGCTGCCCTGTTAATGTAAATAATTGCTCTTGGTCAACTTACCTCATTAAAAGAGGATTCAAAATATCTTTCCCCTGACCACTTCATCAGAGACTCCTGAGATGGGGCTGTAAGCTCTCAATGAGCGCATGGCTTGCCACCATAAATTGACCTTTTCACAGCTGCTGAGTAGACAGCACTGTAAATGCTGGAGCAAGCATTCATGTTGTCAACTGGCTTAATTGCTGCTGGCTGGGTTATAGCCATTTTCAATTAGGAAGGGAAGGGACACTTTCATCACAACTACAGTATTAAGATTCAATGTAATCCATATGGGGAATTTCAGGATACTTTGTGTTCCTTCATTTGCCTTTGCTTTTTTCTTTCCCCTAATTACCCATCCTTTTTATCCCACACTTTGTTTTGAACTCTCTCTCTCTCTCTCTCACACTCTGAGGGTGTTTCAGTTCTTCTGTTTTAATGGTGTGCATTCCAAAAATAAAGTCTCACTGCCAAAAATAACTCTGAGAAAGGAGCACATGGCTTACTTGAAATTCAGACTGAGAATAGATATTTTATTGATGCTCAGATATGTTGTGTTTACTTGTAAATTGTGCAGTTTCAACACAGGTGATTTGATTTCTTGCCGTCTTATTGTGATTCCATGACTTTGCAAATTGAGCCAATTATTTCCTCTTAACTGTTTCAGAGCCTCCACCTAAATCTATTGTCTATCAAAATTAGACCTGGATGAATCTCAGTACAATAGGCTAATGTTTTTATGTGTATATTTTTGTTTTGAGCCTCACTCACCTGTAGGGATCTGTCTTAAATTTGTGATAACCTCTATAGTTGATTTTCTGGATTTACTGTTTATTCTTGCATAAGTAATCCTACAGTATTATCCCACCCTGGAACGGCTGCAGCCACATAAACAGCACAATGGCATGAGTCACCTTCCGAGCACCATTGTGTCCCTCTATATCCTTTTATCTACAACAGGTACAGAATAAAATTCCCCTGAGAGCTGTCCACTTCTGAGTCTTCAATTTTCCAACCCATCCCACGCCTGACAACAAAGTGTAATTGCCCTCAGTAATCACTATTCCTGCAGGACCCACAAGCTTTTTAGGATTACTGGAGGTTTTTGTTGTTTTGAAAAAATAAATACACTGTAGTACATAGAAACTCTCTCCTTCCACCCACTGTACATGCAACCCAGTGGCAGTTGGTTCCTGTATCTAAAAAGGTCAATGCTTTGCCATGTTGAACATTGGCATTAATGTGTTTCCCGCTACTTGCTGTCGACTGCAATCAGCTGCATTGCTCCATCTCTCCTTAGCCAGAAACGCAGCAGAGCTAATGAGGCTGGCGGCAACCTCCCGGCAGACCAGCAAATGCACTCTCCTCAACCTGCCTCTCTGATTAATATCTAATCACAATATATCTTCATTTGTCACATGTTCATGGCTGTGAGTTGGTGTCTCTGTGTGTGCATGTGCTTCCTTTCTCTGTGCGTGCATTTGCTAACGTGGGTATGTGCCTCTCAATGTGACCACTATAGGAAAAGGGTGACTCGGGCCCAAAGAGGGACATTGATGGCATGGGAGTACCAGAGATCAAGTATGGAGACTCTGTCTGCTTCATCATGCATCTGGCGACAGGACTATGGCTGTCTTACCTGGCACCTGATGCCAAATCTTCTCGCCTAGGACCCCTGAAAAGACGGGTAAATACGATAAAACTGTTATTTCGAAGCTCCAATTGTACTAACATTTACTCGCATATGAATTTCCATTCAGCTATGCACAGACAAGTGCCTGACCCACTTGGGCTTGTTAGAAAAAAATACTGTTGCAGTGGTGAGACATTTGTTAGACATGAACATAACTTCTCTATTATTTTGCTGTGATTTTGAATGCATGGAAAATACTGTTCAAAATATTGCAACCCTGGTTTCTGTTCCCATAAATCACAATTAGTTGCGGTCTTCTGGACATGCTAATCTGTTGCATGCTAATCAGACTGAAAGCGTCCTGTTGGCAAATTATGAATCAATCATTGCTCTGTTGCATAGTGATACTGATAACTATGTATATCATATCTGGCATTGGTGTACCTATGTGTTAACTGTAAGGTCTGGAATGCCTGCTATTGCTGGTCTGTAACACCTCGAAGCCTATGTGCATGGTAGTAAATCACACCCAGTCAAACCAGTGGGTTATATGGCCGTTTAAACACCTCCCCCACCCAGGCAAATATTTATCTTTCTCTTTACTTAAAAACATTTTCTACCCTCGATATTCTTGACACAGTTCCTCTCTCCTGACGCCCACCCATCCAGCGTAAATGATGTAGCAACCCATTTAAATGTGATAATGGGCCACGTGGAGGGTGACAGTTAGTTTTGGGTGAGACGGGAGGGGGATTAGGGCGGCACACAAACTCTGCTCATCACTGGGCACGTCTCCAGGGACATTGAATGCCACCTCGCGCTGGTGCCAGGCAGTCCCTGCAGCCTTGGCAACACGCCAATGCACCTGACATGTTGGAGGTGATGCTTAGTCTACACTTAAATCTTTTCACCCCCTCCCTCTTCTTGATTATGCTGTCTGATTACAGTGAGTCAGGTTTCACTGAGCTGTGGTGGTGTAGACAAGGAAGTTACAGGAGACTCACACTTCACACTTACCCATTACATCCTGAAATGGCTTCTCTTATACGTGTAGCTTCTTGGTCAATATCTTGTATAATATATGCTTGTGTCCTACATTAACTGTAGTTGCTGTAAAAATGTGTATAAAGTTTATCATGCACTTATTTGTAGCACAAGTCTGATTGGACAAATGGACGATTAGAGATGCCTGGCTGTATTGTTGCTTCATAAAACTGATTGTGTTGTTATTGTTCAGTATGTAGTTTCTTCTGTATTAGTAAAATGTGTATTTCTGTTTCCTGGTCTAGGCCTGTCTACATTCTGAGGGCCACATGGACGATGGGCTGACCCTGCAGCGCTGCCAGCATGAAGAGTCTCGGGCTGCACGCATCATCCGTAACACCACATTTCTCTTCACCAACTTCATCAAGTAATGACGGGGTGACAAAACACTTATACAGCGTTAATTCTTGCTTTGTCTATTTCAAGTTTTGACCTTCCCTTTTCTTCCCTCCAGAGCCTTGGACAGTACTGCAGAGGGCGAGTCTACAGCGGTGGCTGGGTACGTTGAAGAGGTGCTGCAGACGCTGAACGATCTGATCCAGTACTTCAAACAGCCCGACTCGGAGTTGGAGCACGAGGAGAAACAGTGTCTTCTCCGTTCGCTCATCAAACGCCAAGACCTCTTCAAAGAGGAGGTGAGAGCGTAGGAATCAAGCTCATGTTGATTTTGAAGTTAGCATGTGAGGGTAATTTAAATTCTTGACAAGCCAAAGGATACTTATTTTACTCATTGCAGCAGCTTCAGTTTAGATGGCAGTTTAAGGAATATGCTTCTGGTGTCATGAGGGGAATCTCAGATTATTCATGTCAATAACATTGCTTTTCTTTTCTTTTCTCAGGGGATGCTGGCCCTCTTGTCCAAATGCATTGACCGAATGAACCTCTACAACAGTGCTGCCCACTTTGGAGAGATGGCTGGGGAGGAGGCGGGCGCTGCCTGGAAGGACATTCTCAACCTCCTCTATGAGCTCCTGGGTAAGCAGGCCTGAGTGATGGATCACATGAAATATCCACATCTTCTGTCAACGCTGTCAGCTGTTGACCCTGGGTAGACATGCAGTATTAATCTTCCCACAGCTTCTTCACCGAATCCTCCTCTTCTCCTTTACACTTCACACTCTACACTTCTCTCCCCTGTTTTCCTCTCCTCCTTTGTTCTTTCCTTTCTCCTCCATAAACTCCCTCCACTCCTCTTGTTTTCTGTATGCCACATCTGGAGTTCACAGCTGCTGACAGCCTTTACATGACATTCATTTGTTATTATTTGTGACAAGGGAGTGGAGAGGGAAGCAAAAACAGAATGCCTTCTTGTATGCTTCTTGTGCAATCTTCCCTGCCTTCCATCTAGGTCACATCCTTCTCTCAAAGCAGTGTGGACACATTACAAAGCATTCAGCTGAATATTTGAAGAAATGATGGCATCGTTAACAAAATGCCAGCCATCACAGGTGCTGGCATTATCCTGTTCTGTCGGGGCCTGTGTTGAGTCATGAATATTAAAGATTTGACCCTGAAAAAGTTTTATTTTGGACAGCTTTTTCTTAGGTAGTTTGTTTTGCTGTCATTGGAGCTTTCCCATCAACAGCTTCCCCTCAGCTCACCTTGACTGCCCTTATATTCATCATCACCTCCCCAGCATGTACTCCCACATGCACAGACATTACACACACACACACACACACACACACACACACACCCACAAAACCCACAAATACACTCCTCGGATTTCACTCTAGCCTTCCCTGTGGAGGGGTCACCCACCATGATGCAAAGGCAGTCTGGTGAAGTGGGTTTTGCGTGATGAATTGTGCAGCACCCTTGGTTGTCCTGACCTCCTCTGCTCTCCATAATAACTGTTGATCTGTTTTAAAGTAAAGTACAATAGTAATTTAGTGTAAGTTAACTACCCAGGTGGTCAGCTTACCTATTTAATCCATCATAGTAAATCATTGGTTTTGGGGCTCCAAGGCCAAATTTAACTCTTTCCAGAGCACTGCAAATAGGGTGCTGAATTTACAGTGTTTAAAAATTAAAACTGGTTACATCAGCTATTTAAAAATTGTGATATTTTTATGTTTATAATTTGTGAATTTACATGGATCCAGTTAATTTAGGAGTATTTTCCATGAGCACATAGCTGTTTTGTATTAGAGATAAACAAACTAATGTCTTATAATGCATAGTTAGAGTTGAGGTTAAAAATTCTCACAACAGTCTGTTTCACCTCTGACCACACCTCTGGGTGTGATTTAGAAGTGTTCTCTTTTGCACCTGTAACCACACCCTCTAGTGATGTCACAGGGTTCTGTAGTACACTGCAGCAAGTTTAACCACAGGGGGTCAGATATTAAAAGATTTTCAGGGGGTGTTAAGTTACTAGTATGTATTATTGCGTAGGCATGTATAAGCAATTACAGATATTTTATATAATTTATTCTATGTGAAGATGAAAAAGTGCATGTTTCGGTCATAGAACCAGCACAGCTTTTTTTTAATGAGATAGGTTTGTTGGTCCTGGATTCAAAAGCAAACGGTCTCACATTTCGTTGCCTTCATTAATATGTTGCAAGAATTATTATTACCAAAACCTTTGTCTTCTGTATTGCTTAATGCTGTGTATGCTAATGTAACAATAATTTAGCCTCAGGTTCTCCTCTCTGTCTCTGACTTTTAATTTCACATGCACATTCTTCACAGTGAACGTTGCCCTTGCCTTGTGCTGTGGCTCTACCCATGCACTTGTATTGAAAGACAGCTTTCCTGAAAAGGCAGAATTAAAAGAGATTCAACAGCCATCATTATTCCTTTGGCACAAAGTGCTGTTAAATTGTTTCATGGGCATTATCTGTCTTGTGTCCCTGAATCCTAATGGTGAAAAATGAGAATGTAAAGTAATAAGGAGGCTCCTTAATGTCACCACGGTGGCAGAGAAAGGGCACAAGGAACACACCTCAACTTTTTATAGAGCATAGAGCTCCTGACTTCACTGTGACTTCAAAGTCTATCACGTTTATTTTCTATTACAAAGACTTCATTACAGTAGGTGTCAGGTGGTTTTCAGAGATTTAATGAATTTTAATATCTACCTGTGGATCAAAGATGTCAGACAATGACTTTATGTTCACTGGAAAATGGTGGCCTGCTTTTCATTAAAAGTCAAAGTGTCTGCAACATCCATTCCAGTCAGCTGCCTGGATCTGATTTTACACCTTTAATCATATCATTCATGTCTTTGCTAAACCTTGTGTGTATTTTCATTAAACCTTGTAAAATCTTTGTCCTTTTTTCAGCCTCACTGATTCGTGGTAACAGGAACAACTGCACCCAGTTTTCCCGCAACTTGGACTGGTTGATCAGCAAACTGGAGAGACTGGAATCTTCATCAGGTATCATGGGAAACACTTTTCTTCTGATCCTTTGTAGAAAGTTTGGAAAAAGCCCCAAACACTGATAGCATTACACTGAGTGTCAGAAAAAATGCTCAACTGAGGCTAAGATCTGGTCTATTTAATATACATTTGTTCTGATGATAACAAATATTTTGTGTGACCTCTTAGGAATCCTGGAAGTCCTCCACTGTATCTTGGTAGAAAGCCCAGAGGCTCTGAACATCATCCAGAGAGGGCACATTAAATCCATCATCTCTTTGCTCTACAAGCATGGACGCAACCATAAGGTGGGCAGAAATATGAGCGCATAAATATTAGCAAATTGTATATTTCAGACTAAATGTTTACTAACATTAATTTCTATTGCGAGCACATTCAACTCCATGTATAACTATTATTGATTGTGATAGTGTCATTGTAAGACTAACAATATAGTCAAGTCAATTTTTATTTAAATAGAGCCAATACACAACATAAGTTATCTCAAGGCACTTTCCAAATAGAGCAGGTTTAGACCTTCTCTTTATAATATTATTGACAGAGAACCAACAATTCCCACCAAGAGCAGCACTAGGTGACAGTGGCAAGAAAAAACTTCCTTTTTAAGAGGCAGAAACCTCGAGCAGAACCAGACACGGGATGGGCAGCCATCTGCCTCGACTGGTTGGGTTGGATTAGAGAGAGAGTGAGAGAGAGAGCAAGAGAGAGATCAGAGGAAAAGAACAAGAATGTGCAATGATAGCAATAAAATTAATAGTGATAGTAGCGGCAGTAACAGCAATAGTAATGTAAAATGTAATGCTAACAGGCAGTGAGACTGCATAAAAACAAATTGTTGAATGGATGAAAAAAAGGAGACGCAGCTTTGCTAACACTGCCTTCAGTGACAAGAATTTTATAAGTTAAGGTCGGCCTGAAGGTGTTTACACACTTGGCTCAGCTTTCATAAATCTTGGCTGCATTTTGACCTTGATGCTAAAGTTGGCATGTTAACATGTGTACAGTTACTATGCACAGGATGAGTTTTTATCATGCATAGCTCACATATAGTATGGTAACATGTTAAGTGAAACATGGTGACATTTATTAGTAACAGCATCCTGCTGAGATATTTTACTCTAGACCAAATTGTGGGACTCGCAGACAGTTTGAGATTTCCATCTTAAGAGCCGCACTGCTAGCATGGCTAAGAAATGCTAAGCAGAGAAACAGGTGAATTCCAACTTGTTGAACTTCGGGTTTTGCCTTGGTAAATCAAAATATGTCCTACCCAGCTGTAAAATACAAATATCTTGTACAATCTTGTGGCACTAGTGATTTCAGCAATGTTTTTGTATGTAAAAGTGTTTTGTAAAATGTAGGGAATTTCATGAGGTTTCTCCTTAATTCTAATCCTATTTGAGTGAAATTTTTGTTTTTTATTCTTGTTCAAGTTCAAGTGCAATCCCAGAAGACAAAACAGAATTTGACTGTTAAGCCCACTGTGGCAGACATTAGCCCTTTTCTGGGCCTCCAAATCCTTTCTTCCTTTTCTACTGGGTGACGGCAACAAAGCTAAACCCCCTACACAGACGCTAGAGCCTGAGAAAGAATTTACATATCAGTTCATAAAACTTCAAACGTTGTTTAAAAGTCGACCTGAAAAGCTGGAACTCTAAAAAGATCCAATGCATTTAAATTTTTATCATGGCTGTGACTGAGGCCTCATATCAAATGATTTATGTTTGTCTTGTGTTTATTGACATTCCAGCCATGTGTTTTACATGCAGCATTAAATGTCACAGACTCTTAATATTTACTCCGTAAATTGTACAGGCATGAAAGGGCATTCTCGTAAACAACAGCTGTTGATCATGAGTGACAGGTGGGAGTCTACGGCCCCCTTTGACTTGAGAGCACTTTACACAAGTCTCTGCTACAAGACCTGCAGCTTTTAGAGAATAGCTCTTGATGTAAATGAGAAATAAGGTCTGGATTTCTATGCTGGGGTTTTTGAATGCACTTGAATCTGTGCAGCACATTTATAAAACAAAAGAAAGCAATAAAAAATGCCTGTCACAATTGTTATCTAATGTTTTTCTCTCTCTTACAGATTCTGGATGTGTTGTGTTCCCTCTGTGTTTGTAATGGCGTGGCAGTGAGAGCCAATCAGAATCTGATCTGTGACAACCTTCTTCCCAAAAGGGACCTGCTGCTTCAGACTCGACTGGTCAATGATGTTCAGAGGTAAGGAAAGTGTTGATACAGCCTCTTGATGATTTTATTCATCAGCTTTGAAATAAGTATGGGCTCAAACATTTTAGACATTTTGAATGGGTTAATGGGAGGAAATACAGGGCCACTATTTGGAAATAAATAAGAAAGGTTCAACAGAAAATCCCCTCATAACTTGTCATCTTTGCATCATAACAGTTTCTGTTTTCACCTCCAGTATGAGACCAAACATCTTCCTGGGCATGGCTGAAGGTTCAGCTCAGTACAAGAAGTGGTATTTTGAGCTGGTGATCGACCAGGTGGATCACTTTGTCACTGGAGAGCCGACCCACCTGAGGGTGGGTTGGGCCAACACTAAAGGCTACGCTCCATACCCTGGTGGAGGAGAGGGATGGGGAGGCAATGGTGTCGGGGATGACCTGTACTCCTACAGCTTTGATGGACTTCACCTGTGGTCAGGTAGGCATCTCAGCTTAAATGTTTTACTACTAACTGATCTTAGATCACATGACAGAGATTGGAAACTTGGACACAATTGGAGACATGTATATTTGTGTGTATATATAGAAGTGTCACTGGTCACCAAGTCGGTGTTTGTTGTAGCTCCCTGGGAATTGTAAAGTTTTAGTGAATCTAACTTCATTAAGGCAACTTTTAAAGGCCTTTAAAACCTATTTTTTCAATCAGTTTCCTGGCATGAGTGGTGAAGTCCTACATTGGCCCAAGTTAGATCAGTTGTGGTTATTTCACAAGAGAGACTTATGTATGTTGTTTTTTACACTGGTTTGAAGTAGGCCGGGCTCTGTTCGAAAAGGGTGATATCTCATATTTCCTGGCATAAACCACAGTTAAATCACATTTAGAATCAAAATGCAATGTGACAGTTGTTGTGTTGTGTGATTTTGTTACCAGCACTGTCCTGACAGTTGTGATGAAATTGTTGAAATTCTGATTGTAAACTTTAAAAAAAAAAAAAAAAAAAGTAGACTGATATGCAGCTCTGCAATGAAGCAATTCCCGGTTAGTTTCTGTGTAAAATTCTAAAAGAAAGTCGTAGAAGGACTTTGTCCACTCTCTAGGTTGTTTTTTTCATTCTTCACATACTGAAGGACAAAGTCATAGCACTGACACTGACATAAAATTCCTACATCCAACCTCCACTTGACACTCCTCTTTGAGTAGTTCCCTCCCCCGTCCTTCACTTCTTCACATACTGTACCTTCCCTAAGGACTTTGACTCACATGTCTTACATCTTAAGTTGCACTTGAACACTGCAAAGCCCATTCTCTGCCTGCATAAGAGGAAATAACTAGTCAGTAGTATGTACTCATATACCCAGCTGTTAGTTTGGTGCTTCATGCTTAAAGTCCTTTGAATACCCTCTTGTTTCTGCTCTCACCGTGAAAGAATAACTCCATACCTTTCTAAATCTACTGAAAGACCCATCACCTCCCCTCATCCATTTCATGTCATCCCTTTTAAAGCACTCATCACCCATGTCTGCTCCTCTCTCTTGTCCTCGCCCATCATCCTGCCCTACATTCACTATGACTTTGCAGCTCTAACAGCCATCCATCCTCCCTCTATTTTTCTGCCCGGTGTTGTCCAGGTCGAATCCCGAGGGCCGTGGCCTCCATTAACCAGCACCTGCTGAACTCAGATGATGTGGTCAGCTGCTGTCTGGATTTGGGCGCTCCCAGCATGTCCTTCAGGATCAACGGGCAGCCTGTCCAGGGCATGTTCGAGGACTTCAATACAGACGGATTCTTCTTCCCCGTCGTCAGCTTCTCTGCAGGTGTCAAGTAAGGCTCTGCATTTATAATTAGGAAACAAGATGAAGCGGCATTCCCAACAGAGATGCTCATTTTTATTTTTTGCTGCAGGTGTTTTTATACTTGAGATGCAATTACAGTTTGTCAGTGTTTGTGGTTTGAGATATCAAGCAGTGATGCAGTGTTAAATTAAAAGGTTGCTGAATTGACCTCACGGTAGTGATTATCATGAGGCCAAAAACTACCAATAAAAAAAAATTCACTAGAAAACTGATCTTTTCTTTTTAAAAAAAAAAACCCACCTATATTTGTTATACTTTAATCAGATTAATTTTTAATCGGATTCATTTTATCTGTTACGAAGTACAAAATGATTTTGTGAATGAAAGATTTATGCCAGCATAAGAAGGTAGATAATCCTTGCCTTTGGGTGGCTTTACTGTAGCTTTGGTATTATGTAATGACACAGGTGTAGAGTGCTGTCTCTTGAAACTGTTTGGGTAGAAAATAAAAGTGCTGGTTTCAGAGTTTATTGAAAAAGTAAGTAAAAAGACATTCTTTAAATACCTACAGTGAAGAGTCAGAATATAATTATGTAACATGATTATAATGTATTATATAACTTCTCATCCCAGAGTCCGTTTCCTGTTGGGTGGGCGCCATGGAGATTTCAAGTTCCTGCCGCCCGCTGGTTACTCTCCATGCTATGAGGCGCTGTTGCCCAAAGAGAAGATGCATGTGGAGCCTGTGAAGGAGTACAAGAGAGACCACGAGGGGGTCCGTGATCTGCTGGGAACCACCCAGTTCCTCTCTCAGGCTTCCTTCATCCCCACTCCTGTTGATACCACCCAGGTAAGGATAGGATTTATAAATTCTATTTAAAAAAAAATATAAAAAAACATAATGTTAATCAACTGTAGTCTCGCATGGCCAGACCTATCTCCATACTTCGTTATAACGCTGTGGCAGCACTGGAGAATCAAATATAGTCTTAGATATACGTTATAGTCAAAACAGTGCAATTGTAGTTACTTGGTGGGCCAGTCTACCCCATAAAGTTCTTACCGTCTCTGTCTGCCTGTCATTTGGGGTGCACATGAGAGCGTGACGTGTGCATTCCAGCAGATAAATTCAGGACGTTGCCTCATCCATGCACTCGCTGTTACATGGTCTCTCTGCTTAGTGTAGATACTAAATTCAAAGAGTTTTAACATTTACCAGTCACATTCAGCATTAACCGTGGTCTGTAATTCAATACTGTTGGTGGTGTGCTCCTCCTTAAAGAATAGTTTGAAAAGAAAATGAATCCTGTTATGTTTAAGCCATTGGGTTTCATTTAGTTTATGTTACACACTGGTTATATAGTATTCAGTGCTGTAGATACTGAGAAGCACAAATGCAGAATAGCTGCATACTCTCTACAGTCAAACAAAGCCAAAATAATGTGATGGATTGTACAATCCCCAGTAATATAACAATTGCATAGTTAAAAGAAAAAAATGAGAGTTTTCGTTTGTTGGCCCATTGGCATTTTTTTTTTATCATCCAACCATCTGTTTCCCTTCTCTCTCTGCAGATTGTTCTTCCCCCTCACCTGGACAACGTCCGGGACAAGCTGGCAGAAAACATTCATGAACTGTGGGGGATGAACAAGATTGAACTGGGCTGGACCTACGGCAAGGTAAACCTGCTATTCACCATCACTTTCAACACAAAAAACAAACTGGGTGTATTTGGAAATGGTGAGTGACAATGGTAAACTCCAGCCATCTCCAGTAAAATGTGTGTTAATGTGCCATTAACTTGTGTATCTCATAACAGGAAATAGCAGTAAGATGTATTTAAAAACTCAAAGTAATCTTTTTGAAGAAGTTGAGAGTTTAGTTCTGCTGACGGGTGAAAATGTTTCTTCAGTTTGAGTGGTCTTCCTGCTTTCAGATCAGGCAAAGAAGGAAATAAAGGAAACAAGGAAAGCTAGATCGGAAGGATGGATAGAATGAGGGAAGGAAAGAAATTTGAATGATTTCCACCAAAAAATAGCTGGTTTCTTTCAAAGATGTTTTCACCTGGACATTATGTTAATGTGTTAAGTTAGTGTGTTTCCAGCTTCTTTCACTCTTGCAGCAAGCACAGCTCAATAAATGCTTTATGTGATAGAAAGCAGAGAGAAACTTGAAAAAAAAAATGCAAATAAGTTGATGATTATACACTTGAGTAGAAAATAGAGTTATATTTTTAGAATCCATACCGCAAAACATCCATATTTAAAATAAACAACAATACACAAAAAATCAAAAACAAACAAGAAATAGAGAGCAGATCTATTAATGGTTAATAAAACAACAAAAAAAAATGAAATCTCCAGTGTTTCAGTATGTTTTTTAAGTTGAAGGTTTGCTTTTTTGATACTAAAAAGCAGCAAAAATATCCCTTTTTGACGACAGTAATTTCAAATGTAGTTAGTACAACGTAAATGATTCTGTTATTATAAAGCTGGTATGTCAGATGGGAAGTTGCTTAATTTTTATTTGGATGCTCAAACATATTGTTTAGGGTTAGGTAGTTAACTGCAGTTAACATCCAGTACCCCGAAGATTTTTTAATCCCCCGTTTCCACAGTTTCTCTCTAACTCGCCCCAATCACTTCGCTGTCAGTCACTCTTCCTGTTCACTGCAGAACAGACAGACTGTTAAAAGTCTGATCACACACGCTGCCTCTTTTGTACTGTAGTGGTTATCACAGAATCATTTCCCACTGAGGCTGTTGTCATAGCAGCCATTTAACAAAAACTTAATGAGTGTCTCCCTCCGCGAGTATGACATCCACATTAATTAACACTAGGAGAAAACTCTGTTTAAGGGGGGGGGTTACCAGTTTAAGGGAAACATTTAGGTCCAAACAGCTGCTTGGTATTTAATTTTGCTTTAACAAGCCTTTATCACACGCTGAATCCAAGACAGAAGCCTCTTTGGACAAGTAGCAGATACTTGGCAGACAATGATAATAAAGTTGGATATTGCTTCATTGTTTTCTGTGTGAGTGCACGGCCTTAGTATATATTGCTCATACCTTTTGTGCACCTCAGTTGTATTTAACCTTTGTCAACAGTAGATAGAGCAATATCAGTAAAAAGAGTCACTGGGAGCGTACTGTTAAGAGTCTGGGCGCAGCAGTAAATTTCTCTCAAGTCAACTCTCTCGTACAGACAGCTGAGCCTCTTGCTACTGCGGCTCTCTTCCCTGAGCTTATTCAGGCTTGTCTCGGTTTCATTAAAAAATCAACACCTGAGGCTTGAAGTAGTCCAAGTGGAAAACAAACCAATATGAATCTGCCAACATCCACTGTAAATAGATTCAGCTGCTGTTTCCGTATTTTTATGTTCTGAATATCAAGCCATGCTTAATCATGTTTACCTTTGGGGTGTTGTTGCCTTTAAACCTGTAGCAGTTATGGATAGACAATCCTATAAGAGAAAGAAAAGGAGTCCGGTTGTTGTGAGATGAAACATACAGTAAAGATACCTGACTCCTTTCCCATCAGGTTCGTGATGACAACAAGAGGCAGCACCCTTGCCTTGTGGATTTTGCCAAGCTGCCTGAAACTGAAAGGAACTACAACCTGCAGATGTCCAGTGAAACACTTAAGTAAGGCAACGCAGTTTGCTAAATAATCCAATTACCTATTTGTGGAATGGCCCCTGCTCCCTGCAGAATGCAGTGCGAGAGCAGATTAAGGCTAAGATTAAAGCAGAGCTTGTAATGACTTGCATCTTCTGAGTGAAGTCCAGTATTGATTTTTTTAAAAATCTTGGGTCCAACGCTTATTTGAGCCAACTACTGAGTCATCTCACTGTAAAAACATTTGGCTTGGCTCAATAAAGCGATCTCCTGTTACAGTGAGCTTCAATCGGGTATGGAGTTTATCAATTACATACTACTACCAGCTGCCGTGGATCCACACAGCCAAGACTGACTGCTGTTCAGAGTGTTACTGTATCGATTCACTGCGATTTATCAGTGACTAATGACCTGTGTTAAAAATGTAGCAGTCTCTCAATGGATTTTGCTGGTGTAAGGATGAAACATAGTCATCTAACAAAGTGTAATGGGGCTTGAGTATTGATGTCATTATGTCTTTATCTCGCTTTCGTTTCATACTTCTCTTTTTTCCTCAGGACCCTCTTGGCACTGGGATGCCATGTTGCCCAGGTCAATGTTCACGCTGAGGACGATCTGAAGAAAATCAAACTACCCAAAGAGTACGACATCCTGCTAAAAGTTTATTTCATCATAACACTACCTGCATATCTTATCATTTCTTAAATTACAATGGTGCAAAGCAAAACAAAAATGACATTTACAGAATATATAGTATGTGACCAAAAAAAAAGTCTTGTTGAAGCAGTGTAGATATTGCGATGCTGTGCCGTCATCTTCATCCCGTGGAACTGTCATGTTATGTTGTCTGCAGCTACATGATGTCTAATGGATATAAGCCTGCGCCACTGGACCTCTCTGATGTGAAACTGAATGCAGGTCAGGAGGTTCTAGTTGATAAACTGGCCGAGAATGCACACAACGTGTGGGCCAAAGACAGAATTAAACAAGGATGGACCTATGGCATCCAGCAGGTAAATGTAATTTTTCTCCCCAAGGAAGGAACTGGCTTTAGATTTGAAAATAAAATGAACTATTACACTAACAGTTACAATAAATGACAATCCACAATGAAAACCTCAGCTGGATTGCTTTACTTCTTTTATTTGTACCTACATAATTGTGTATATTCTATTAACATATTTACTTTCTTGAATTATTATCTTTTCTTGGTTTGGGTCAGGATTTGAAGAGCAGACGTAACCCTCGCTTGGTGCCATATGCTTTATTGGACGAACGTACTAAGAAATCTAACAGAGACAGTCTGAGAGAGGCCATCAGGACCATGGTTGGATATGGATATGACATCGACCCCCCAGACCAGGAGGGTGAGACCCTGCTGCTGACACTGCTGCCACATAAACCTATTAACTCCTAGTTTAAGTTTGGCTAATAGATAATTTGGATGTACACTACATCCTTAGTAAGTCATAGTTATTGCAATACATATTTTTTTCAACTTTAAAATGAGCACACAAATCCTGATAACCCTCCTCACCTCTGCTTATTTGGTCAGTCATTGTATAACTTACTGTTGGAAATATCAGTACATGTGTGTCGATCATGGTAAAGCCTCATTTTTACTGTCTCTCCATGGCCACAGCCGTCCATATGATGGATGATCAGAGCATCGAGACCATTCGCTTCTTCCGCGTGGAGCAGACATATGCAGTGAAAACAGGGAAGTGGTACTTTGAGTTTGAGTCCCTGACTGGAGGTGATATGAGGGTTGGCTGGGCCAGACCGGGCTGCAGACCTGACGTGGAACTGGGAGTGGATGACCAAGCCTTTGTTTTTGATGGATACAGGGTAAACCAAATGTGTGATTTTTTTTTTTTAAGATGACTAACAACAAGTTGTTTGAAAGATTTTGACTTTTCAAGGACTCAATTATAATTTTGATGTAATGTAAAATATGTAAATGAAGTACAAATTAGGAATCCAATCATCCAAACACATTCAAACACAGTATATGTATCTATACCGATAGAACTGATCAATACCTATTCAAACAGTAACAGAAGTGCATGAAGTAGTGCACGTAATGTGAAAAATTAGATTACCGTTGTTTTCATAATTTTGCTTGCTGCTACAAATTTGCTTTTTATTTTTTAAGGGTCGACGTATGCATGTAGGCAGCCGCTACTTTGGACATCCTTGGAAAAAGGGCGACGTGGTTGGTTGCATGATCAACATGGAGGACAAATCCATGATTTTCACCCTGAACGGAGAGCTCCTGATCACCAACAAGGGCTCTGAGCTTTGCTTTGCTGACTTTGAGACAGAGGACGGTGAGGGCTCCATTCTCATGAGTTTTAGCGTTAATTCATTAATTTATTCTGTGCGTGTTTCCACCACAGTGTCTCCAGAGGTGTGACTGGGTTTGTTTGGCAGTAAGCATGAGGCAAAAGAAAAAAAAAGTACAAAATGCTAATGATTATACAATTTAATGAAGTCTGTTGTGGCATTGGCCCATTACTCTGCAAATGAACCATCCCTCAGGACAAGACAGTCACATAGGAATAAAGTTAAGTCATTAAAATTAATTGTTATAGTTTATGTATGATGGATTCTGCTGTATAGACAGTTTTCAGACTGTGCTTACATACGTGACTGTACACTGAAAGCAGTCCGTGAAGTCAACAGACTAATTAAATGTAGATCTTGAGGGCAAACGGATAAATCACATTGTTGTTGCTGTAGGATAACATCTGAGTTAATTTTGAATTAAAAGTGCAGAGAGGTGCAGGTTTGATGACTGTCTGATATGCCACACTTCAGAGAAGATATAGACATATATTAAGCACAGGTGTGTAATATTTGCCATTCTTTTCCTGGTGAGTGGCAAACCCAAGAATGTCCCTTACCTCTTCCCAGGTTTCATCCCTGTCTGCAGTCTGGGGATGTCTCAGATCGGCCGGATGAACCTGGGCAAGGATGCCAATACTTTCAAGTACTACACCATGTGTGGTCTGCAGGAAGGCTTTGAGCCCTTTGCTGTCAACATGAACAGAGAGATCACCATGTGGTTCAGCAAGCGCCTCCCCACCTTTGTCAACATACCCCAGGACCACATGCATGTTGAGGTAAAGTATTTCCAATATCATAATTTTTGGGTCAGCTGACTATCAAGGCTGCATGTTAACAGCATCATCTGGTGTAGTGGCTAAGATGCTTACAGTTTCACTGAAACATCCCTGGTTCAATTACAACTGGGGACCTTTGTTGCACGTTATACCCATTTCTCTTTCTCTTTATATTTACTGTATTTATCAACACTGTAAACTGTCAAGTAGCCTTCATAAAGTAACAGTAGTGTGGCTATTTTCCAGCTTTTAATCTATGCATGCAAATGTATCTGTAATGAACAGTGCAGCTGGGGTTGATGGACACATCGGTGGTGTGTGTTGCTTCTCTCCTTTGGGTTTTGGTTCGCCCCGACTCACTTAATTCCTCAGGTGACAAGGATCGATGGAACGGTGGACAGCCCTCCCTGCCTCAAGGTCACCCACAAGACGTTTGGCACCCAGAACAGCAACAACGACATGGTGTACTGTAGACTGAGCATGCCTGTAGAGTTCTACTCTGCAGACAAGTTACTGGAGGAATCACTGAAACTCAGGTCAGACATCAGTGCGACATTGTATTAGCAGTGGGAGTGATGCAAATGAAAATTTAATTATGGAGGAACAGCAGTGGAATTGTTTTCCTGGACAATGACTGTTCTAGTAGCAATGTTATATTGATAAATTTGATCATTTAGACACAATTTGCACTTATTTGGTCCGCCTGCAATACAAAAAATTAAGATGAAATTTTGTTGCTCTACAAACCTGCTGCTGTGTTTTTGTTTCTGCAGCCATCCTCCAAAAGAAGATGGAACTATGGACTATGGAAGCATCACAACTGTAAATCAACTCAAATTTTCAAAGATATGCATGACATCTGAAAAATATTGTTATGAATGGCTCTGTTCAATGAGAGTAACCAATTGTACTCTGTGTCCCCCTTTTTTTAATGGCAGTACTACCACTCAGTTAGAGTGTTTGCTGGACAGGACCCTGCCTCGGTGTGGGTGGGCTGGGTCACACCAGACTATCACTACCACAGCAAGAGCTTCGGCCTCAGCAAGACGCGAACAGTCACTGTCACCCTGGGAGATGAGAGGGGCCGAGTCCATGAGAGGCAAGTTCCCTTTTATTTATTTATTTATTTATTTATTTATTTATTTATTTATTTAAAGAGAAGTGTGGTCAGCAGATTTGCTTTGTTCTCTAAGGAAATCAGGGAATACAAGGGAATTTAATGTGCCACCTTTATCGTGATTTAGAGAAGGTCAGATAATATGGGTTAAGGGTCGCAGTGTGACTCTTATTTTGTACAGAACCCCTAAGGACGCTGTGAATAGGTGTTTTCAGAAATGGATTTCCTTGTGATACTTTGGTGTTTTCTCACACTACCTTCTCCATTCCCTTGCATCACTTCTTTCTCTCTGCAACACTTTTCCTGTTGTCTTAGTGTGCTTAAGGCAAAGTTTGAAGTAAAACTTATTAAGCTGACTCTTTATATCAGGATAGCGCTGGGTGTTGCAAAAGAATGTAATAATGTGAGACATGTATTAATGGCTATGTGGTAGTATTGTGAGGGAATCCAATTTGGGCTGCACAGAAACACAGAAACTATTGCAAGAAAAGGCAAAGATTTTTTGGAAATTATTCTTGTTGTTTTTCTTCTTCCTCTTCTTTTTCTTTCTTTTTCTTGTTTGGTATTTCACAGACTCTGCAATTAGCAAATTACTGTAAATGAACAAAACATTGCTAATCTTAACAATCTGAATCATGGTTTTATGTTCAGATTGATCATCTGCATTGTTGTTAATTCAGTGAAATTAATACAAGTGTTCCCGATTGATGATATAATTATTGCCTTCACTTGCATTGGTAAGACTTAATGTATAAAAAGAGCAATCTCCCTCTGAACATGCATTTGATATTACAAGAACAAAAGAAAATCAAGCATATTTATGAAAAAGAATGAAGTCCAAGCCCGGTTTTTCCATTGTGGTGCTTGATGTAAAGATAGAAAGATATGCAGGACTTCAGGTTACCTGGCAAATTATACAACCAAAAAACCAGGTCAATTAATACCCATATTATCATCATTAAAATCACTTCAAGTCAAACGTTCAATAAATAAATAAATAAATAAATAAATAAGTAATGTCAAAATATGACTTAAACGTAAACTTAGTTTTATAAGAGTGGTAAAGTTATATTTCCAGATTTCCTATAAGCCATAATTTGCCCTTAGCACAACAAAGACAAGACATGACATATCTTTTTTTATCAGCCAGTCTCCGTCCTCCTTCAGTATTCAGTAGAGTAAATGGAGAAGAGAAGCCTCCGGGTGTGACAGAATGAATATGAATGAGGCAAGAGTCACAAGTCAACACAGATCGATGAATGTGGCACATAATGAAAAGATATTGTTGTCCTGTGGATCCTCACATTCACATGGATTTATGCATGCCAGGTTTATTTTCTACTTGTTTTGCTGCAGTGTCCAGAGGAGTAACTGCTACATGGTGTGTGGAGCAGACGCCGTTGGCCCGTCTTCCTCCAACCGCTCCAACTCTGACCTGGAGATCGGCTGTTTGATTGACCTTGCCACCGGCCTTGTCTCCTTCACTGCCAATGGAAAAGAGCTACCCACAACGTATCAGGTATATTAGAATAACAAAGCACAGTAGCGGGGCACAGAGGACTCAGGCACAAGGGCAGTCCAGCTTATAAACTTATGTATGTGCATGTCATTATTGTGTTATTTTGTATGCCAACTGTAAGGTGGTGTAGAGTTTTTCTTTTCCAATCCATCTGAAAAGCGAAAAGAAAAGGACTGGATTACTTCTCCGCAAGACTTGGCTCCATAACTATTACATTTAGAGACAGAGGACTTTAGAGTGTTTTTGTTCTAATAAATCATTTGGATAGATGGCTCTCGCTCATATATATTTGTATTGTCTGCACGCACTGAAAATATATTCCCCTCTGTCTTCCTTTGAGGTAACGTAAACAAATTTGCACTGCAGTAAATTAGACCTGCAGAAAGGCAGCTAGGAAATTATACAGCTGAATTCTCTCTGTTTTCAATATCAGAGTCATAACAAAGATAGACATCTGCTCAGTAATCTTTGTCTCGCCTCGCTGATTTCAGGTTTTTAACGCTTGGTATTGAACCTGACTAGACATCAAAATGATTCCTTGAGAAGCTTCTATCAACCAAGTCTTGTTCTGTTCTTATTGTCTCCTTTTCTGTCTTCTTTTCACTCCTTGATTTAGTCGTGAATTGGCATTTTTTAAAAGAAAAGCCCTCTGAGGAGATCAGGAGGCTTTTACCCTGATGAAAAGCTTCTTGTCCTGTTACCGCATTAATGCGCTGGTTGTATTTTCCTCTCATTGTATTTATCTTTTGTCTGTGATTGGTGTCAATACACTAAATCATACTCATTGAATTGGCATTTAAAACAGCAGCTAATCCATGGGCTTAGACGTTAAATACCTTCTGACATTTGTCAAATTTGCCAATTTCAGTATCAAGGCTGCATTAAAGAAAATACCATTATCCCAGATTTCACAAAGGCTTCAATTCAGGAAGGATTAGACTATTCCTATCCATCATGCAGTGTTGCAGCACTTTTTTTGTTTTCTTTTGGTAGATTTTTAAATGCTATGAATTGACTGTGAACATAAACTGAATTGAGTAAGTACGTGATGTGGATGTTGAACTTTGCTTTGTCTATTTTCAGGTGGAACCAAATACCAAGCTCTTCCCATCTGTGTTTGTACGCCCCACCAGTCCGAACCTCTTCCAGTTTGAATTTGTCAAGATCAAGGTGTGTTTTTCTTTTTTCCTAATCTTAACATTAAGCATGATGTGCTGTATAGTAGTGTAGTTTTACACAGATTTAATCACTCTCTTAATCACTCACTCCTAACTTATTCCATAACCATAGCCTTACACTTCACTTCCCTCACAGGGGTCAATAGCTCAGCATAATATGCAGAACAAGCATGGGGCTTCTTTTTATTTATTTAATAATTTTTTTTATGTCACACATCTTCAATAGTCACACGCTGGTTAGCAGACCCTCATTTTGACTCCTTGACCCATATAGGAGGTTTTTGCGAACATTAATTGAGTATTAAGCTCCATCTGCACTGGGAATAGTAGCGGGTGTAATGAGACTGTGATCAAAGTGCATGTTCTTTTATATATATAAACTACTTGGGACGATACGAGGATAAAATTTGTGAATGAAATATTAATGAAGTTAAACTTCATTATTCTGTTCAAGCATCCCTCAGGGTCCTCAAACCTGATACTGAAGGCACCACATATTTTAATCACTTAGAAATTATTTAAGAGTCAAAGTGTTAATTCCAGCAAGAAGAATATTACAACAGGAAGCCCATGCTCCATCCACAGGTTAATATTGTTTGCCTTGAATTAATATGATCTTTTCTCTCTACTCTCTATTTGCCTTCCTCTCCTTCTCTTCCCAGGATGCCATGCCACTCTCATCAGCCATATTCAAGAGCGAGCACAGGAACCCGGTGCCACAGTGCCCGCCTCGACTGGATGTGCAGACAATCGTGGCCGTGCTGTGGAGCCGAATGCCAAACACCTTCCTCACTGTAGAGACAGCTCGGGTCAGCGAGAGGCATGGCTGGGTGGTCCAGTGTCTGGAGCAGCTGCAGATCATGGCTGTTCATATACCTGAGGAGAACAGGTCGGAACATGGATGGATTTGAGCTTTTAATATACAAACACATACCTCTAAGATTCAGACTTTTGACTTGTTCTTTCCTACACTGTTATCCTGTGCTTGCATTATCTGGAAAAAAGTTATTGGTCAGCAGTGTGGGATCCAAGAGGGCTGTCTTGCTGCTCTTATAATTATGATTAACAAGTGGTGTGAACATCTCATGCACATTACTAAATGAAAAGCAATCCATTAAATACCTTCGTAATTAATTACAATGTGCAACACAATCGTTAAGATGATTACTAGTCTCCCTGGTGCTGTAAGTGCAAGTGTTGTCAGTAAATAAATTTCCTCTCTTGCTTCCAGTTGCCAATGTGAAATCTGACCTGTGACACACAAAACATAAAACAATGTGATTCTTGATCTTATTTATTCATGGTCTGGTTATGTCCTGTAATTTGTTGGATAATGTAAATACCTCATTAACTCAAAATTAATGTTGTCAAGATTTGTTGCTATTTATTGTGATGTTAAAAGTTGAGAAACGACAACTTTTATCTGTTTGATGAGTAGATGTGTTTAGGAGCACTCTATACCAAAATTGAGGGCATAAATTACAACAACAATCTCCATCATTGTGTAATCCAGTGTAGTGTAATTTTATATATCATGATATCAATATATATCATGAAATAGTAAATTATGTGGAATCAAGATTGTTCTGTTAATGGATGAATTTACAACATGGGAATGTTTTGCTTTTGTCTATTTTAGTTAATTAAATAAGACTTTGTAACATTGTTGCAAAACTCTTACTGCTCACAATGATTAACAGCATTTCCCTTAATTGCCTAATGCACAGAGAGACAGTATAAAGGAGAGTTACCATCACATAAAAGCTATAGTCTGATGGTGAACACATTCATAGCATGCCACGGCTTATACACCTTATTGCCTAGTGCCTTTAGTAAATACCGTTGTAATAGTATTGAAATTTAAGTTTGCCTGCTAGTATGTACTGTGTAAATAACCCCTTGTTTCCCCATTATCTCATTCTTTCCATGTCTTTCCTCCAGGTGTTTGGATATCCTGGAGTTATCGGAGCATGAAGACCTGAGGAAGTTCCACTACCACACGCTGAAGCTGTACTGCGCCCTCTGTGCCCTGGGAAACACTCGTGTAGCTCACGCCCTCTGCAGCCACTTGGACCAATCACAGCTCCTCTACACCATCGACAACCAGTACCTCTCTGGCATGCTCAGAGAGGGCTTCTACAATGTTCTCATCAGGTGTGTTAGTTGCACTGCCAGTTACTTTTTTGGGGAAAATGATCTTATTTATCTACATTTCATTTATGGATGAGTAGAAAATGTAGTGGTAAAAATAATAAATGCAGCCGTTAGTGAAACAAAAAAAAAGCTTACACTGCTGCAAGTGATTGATATTTGACAACCTCCACTTTCATGCACAGAAAAGAGAAGAAGGTGGGCAATATCTTTACTCATCAAATAATCTAATGATGATCTATGATAGCATTATTATAATACCAACTCCATCACAATTTACTGTTAAAGTGATGGAGCGGCACATAGGACCATAAAGTAAATTTGTCATATAAATCTTAATAACCCCTCTGTGATGTATTTGTAGTGAATGCTAATACATTCTCAAGTTAACTACACATGGACATAACTGGACTAAACCATACATTATGAATGTCACCTGGTACTTTGAATACATAGCGTTTACCTCCATTATCACTGAATATGCACTTTTAAATGGAGAATGTTAACATCTCTGTGGGTGGAGAGTTTTGTTTCCAAATTGTGATTAAAGGCTAAAAAGAATTTGAGAACTCAGCATCTTAGCAGCTAGTCGGGTAATCGCTGAGTCATGAGTATTGATCAACAACCCTGTCAGTATATTATGGTAATTTTGTGAAGTAGGGCTGCAGAAATCTTACTAATTGCACATTTATACCACTTAGGGAAGATTATTTTTAAACCTAAATCTAGAGTGCTGAATGTTTTTTTTTTTCCTGATACGTATAATGGCCAAGGAGCAGAAGATGTATGTAATGATTGAACTTATTCTTCTTCTCATTGCCAGCATCCATCTTGAGACTGCAAAGGAGGCTCGCCTAATGATGAACAACGAGTTCATCATCCCTGTGACGGATGAGACGCGCTCCATCAAGCTGTTCCCAGACGAGTCCAAGCGGCACTCACTGCCTGGTGTGGGACTGAGCACTTCCCTCAAACCTCGGGTCAACTTCTCCCCTGTCGGCATCATCAACACCAAACGCCACCAGTACCTCTACAGCCCTCAGATCCCTCTGGTCATCCTGAAAGAGAAAGCCATCAGCATGCTCACTGAGGCTGTGCAGGGCGGAGGCACGCACATCCGAGACCCAGTAGGTGGAAGCGCCGAGTACCAGTTCGTCCCCATTCTGAAGCTGATCGGAACGCTGTTAATTATGGGCGTCCTAACCAGCGAGGAGGTAAGGCTGATTCTCCTCCTGATTGACCCCAACGTGTTCGGAGAAGCCACGGAGGGTGAGGAAGGGAAGGCGGATGAGGTGGCCGAGGCGGGGGAGAAGGAGGAGGTGAGCAAGAACGAAGAGAAGGCCGTGGAGGCGGGAGAAGAGGAGACCAAGGAGAGTAAAGCGCCAGCTAAAGGTCTGCTGGAGAAGTCACTGCCCGAGTCTGTCAAACGCCAGGTGATGAAAATGATCATGAAAACATTCACACGTTTCAGTGATTTTTGTACATGACATTGAAGAGTTGCATAAAAAATAAAAGGTCCATCACTTATCTGCCAGGGTTTTAATTAAATTTTAATTTTACGCATCTTATTTTCCAGCATTCGATTCGGTACAGTAGTTCCTCATTTGTCAGTAGTTTGGAGCTTTTATGATTTATCTCATACTGAGAAGTGACTAAATAACTGCAAAGCAAGCCAGTGACTGAATACTAATGTTCCCGTTAATGACAAAAAGTTCACAATGCTGTTAAGATTAAAAGTTGATAAAAACAACTTGCATGACGGATGTACATCTCTTGGAAATTGCAATAATATGTGAGGTTTCTCTGAAGTCAAAAAAACTTTAAATAAGTTTATATGAAAAGAATCATTCAAAACCCACATTAAATAATACAGACACAGAGAGAAAGAGAAACTTTTAATACTTATTCTGCATTCCTGCTGAATTCATCTCTTTGAATGGATTTCATGAATAGGTTTCTGTTCTTTTCAGATGTGTGAGCTGCTGCACTACTTCTGTGACTGTGAGCTGAAGCACCGCATCGAGTCCATCGTCTCGTTCTCCGACAGCTTTGTGTCCAAGCTGCAATTCAACCAGAAGTTCCGTTACAATGAGCTGATGCAGGCGCTCAACATGTCTGCCGCCGTCACTGCCAAGAAGACCAAAGAGTTTCGTTCCCCCCCGCAGGAGCAGGTATAATTACTGCAGTGGACCAAAAAAGCAAATAAGAAATTGTTTACATCCCATTTGAGATGTAGTTAATGTTCTGTAACATATTATTTTAAGGCAAAACCCCAGAATGAACACTCAACCCTTAGGGTGAATGAAAATCAATGACCGTGACTGGAAAAATCAGCAACAGCAACTGGAACACGAGGTTTTGAAGGTTTTGTAGTTGTGCCTTTTTAGTTTTCAGTAGTTCCTTAACTTTATTTTCAGCTGGTATACCAAAAAGTAAATTTCACCATATGTGATGCTAAATTGAACTTGGAGTGAATTAGCTGTGCAGTGAGAGTTAAACAGCTGGCAATTAAGAGTAGGAAATTGTTATTAGACCCAAAGGGGAAATTTACAGTATGCTTTGTTCAACTTCTCTCTTTTAAAAAAAATTTACAGCTCTTGGTGCATTGTGAAAAACTGCAGAAACAGCATCAATCCATCAAACCTACAGCTCAGCCCTAAAACTGTTTGCAATGGTTGGTGCAGGTTGTTAAAGAAAACAGAATATATAAATAAGCAAACAAGAACGGAAACGCAAAGTCAAAAAAAACAGTTTGACCAGAGTATAGATGCTGCTCGGAAACCTAAATCAAACCAGCAGACAGAGCAGTCTGTGCTATCTGAACCTTTCAGACCAAAATATCCCCCTGAGGGTTCGCTCGCTCTCACAGCAGATGTTGAAGCAATTGGTCCTTTAACTCTAAAGAGGTCAGACTCAGGTTTCTTTGTGCTGTGCCATCTGGGCAACGGTCAGTCCAGGGACAGACAGGACTGTGTAACCCTTATTGTTTATTTGGATCCTCCTGATGTTGTTACTCAGGTAACAACTAATGAACTAATGTTGTTACTCTGGTAACAAATAATGTACCTTCAGAAGGTCCTTAACTTGGGATTGTAATAATTTGCATTTTTGGGACCAATAAAAGAACAGCAGTTTGACAGTATTATGTGTAGCGCAATGGATACTGGACTTTTGACACTGATAATGATATTGATATTTTAAAAATCCAATAACAATGTAAAACATTGTTATTATTATTATTATTATTATTATTATTATTATTATTATTATTAAAATAAAAAAAATCAAAACTAATTTGGCATTTTTCTACCACAGTTTCTTGTTCCCTAACAGCTGACATGAACACTGATAGGACATATCATCAATAAGCTAATATGAGCAGAACCCAACTCGTGTTCGTCTTAATATTTTACTGTTTGATGATCAAAACTTTAAAATCTCTTTTTGGTTTCTTACCATCTAAAATATAATAAGCATTGATAGAAGCAGCGGAAATATTTGTTGAGACCCTTTGATAAGTTTTGGATCCTGTTGCTCAGTTAATCAGAATAATACAAACTAAAGCGCATAAACAGGCCTCAGTTGTACCTTTCCTTACACCACATGCTTTCAGTGTTTTTCAGCTCAGTGTGTAATAATTGTACAGAGCCAGGGGCTCAGATCATTGTACCTAATGAGTAGACTCCATTTAACAGCCATTTATCTTTTTAGTGTGTCTCAGAGCCATAGCAGAGAGAAAGAAAAAGGTACAACATTATTCTTCCTGCCCAGCAGCGAGAAAGTCGCACTCGTTTCTTTTCGGTTTGTGGGCAGATTTTGTGTTTATGTGGTGAGCAAAGCTCTTGCACACAACTCAGCAGAAAGTTGAGATCTACATGACTGCAAAGCTTTCATGTGCATATTGTTTTATGCCCCCCCCCCCAGCTACACTCCCTGAAAAATAGGCAGTAGTGGTCAGCAGCAGGTGTTCTGTGTAGGCAACATTCCCCTAGATCGCTGTATGTTCCTCCCATGGTTTATTAAAAAGCAGTGACAGAAATAGACATCAGAGTAGCCTACACTGGTCACTGCATTTACTTAGCCTGAGGAAGCATCTCATTTATATTTAGTGTTTTATAGTTAGCTTGTGACACACAGCAGATTTGCTGCTGTTTAGGATACTTAATCATTAAAAATTATATTTCTAAGTTTATGAGCAAGAATTACTTCAAAGTTTTTATTTTGTGCTTATCACTAGACTTAATGAGAAACACTTCAGACCAGACTGGAGACCACATGAGTTATTCTTCTGTTGAGTGCAACTCCAAATAATAATGTTGCTGTCCTTTCTGTCTTTCTGCTGTGCTATCTTTCTTTTATTCATTCTTTCGCAGCCTTGTGTGAGAGATTATTTCGCCCTTCTCTCCCTTCTCCCTTGTGCCTCTAAAACAAATTTGTTGTATTCACTCCCCCCGGTCTTAGCTCTTCTCATCTTATTGTTTTGTTTGTCTTTTTCCTGCAGATCAACATACTGTTGAATTTCAGTGCAGGGGAGGACTGCCCCTGTCCCGAGGAGATCCAGGATGAACTCAACTCCTTCCATGAAGAATTGCGACTGCACTGTGGTACACATATTTTTGATTTCAGTTGATAATCATGCTTTCTACTTCAGGCTCAGTATTTTCTCATACAAACTGATTCAGCTCCAACATGTTTCCTCTTGACCTTTGACCAGAAAAAAAAAAACAAAGCAGTAGTTTTTGAGATGTGATTTTAAAATCATAAGCACTCAACATATGTTTAGAGTGAAATAGATCCTAACAGTCACAGTGTCCAGGGCCTGATATGGTATCAAATAAAAAATGCAACATACTGGTGTCTAAAATTGCTACACTTGGCCCTTTTTAATACATTTGCACTTTAGAGCCAGTACACTTCACTGTGTGCACATTTAAGCTCTTGATGCGAAATCTTAAAATAATGTTTGACAGAAAAGAGTTTCCCCTTGCAGGAATTCCAGTTGAGGAGGAAGAGGAAGAGCAGGACACTTCGATAAAAGGCCGTCTCCTTGCTCTACTCTACAAGATCAAGGGTCCACCTCAGAAGACAGAGGAGGAGCCCACAGAGACCGAACAGGCTGCTCCTAGTGAGTAACTTTAAAAAGCAAAGAGGAAAATGGTGTAGTAACCTGAAAATATACTTAAAAGTTAGGAAGAATACACAACGCAGAGACAGATGACTATGTGTAGTATATAACACGTGCACAGAAGGCATTGTACGAGTTGACGGTCAAACCACATGAGAACATTCAACATGTCACAATATTTAACCCCTATGCTATAAAGGAAAGATAAGTCAAAATGATTTCAGTTTAGTAAATTGACATCTGAGGAATTCCTGATTCCATGTAAGCATGTAGCAATGGGTGAAGTCTCAACTTTAATCAGTTCAACCCACTTACGCATGATTTTTGTGCAGCTGCCATTATCAAATCAATCAGTCTTTATTTCAAGGTTTGATGGAAAGACAGTAAGCCATAACATCCAAAACATTTTACCTTTCTTTGAAACTTTCATTAAGCATCACATTGTTATTAAAAAACCTCAAAATGATTCCTGACTTCTTCATCATAAGTGAGATATAGAACATAAGACATTGCCGGGCTACAAGTTCTTTGCTTCAGTCTGGGGTCAGTGGTTTCAATATTCTTCCCTGCTGCCCTTTGCTGAAAGCCTGGTTGTTCTGTACCAAATAATAGAAGACTAATGGACAGTCTTTGCAAGGACTCTCTGCTATAAATTTTAATGCATTACTCCAGCCTCCCACACCTAGCCTGCATTATTGAAAAGCTTTATAAGTGGACAGATGATGTGATTGAAGATGATTCTGATAGACATGCATTCTCTACATTATATTAAGATCATACTGAAATGGGTATAATACATGCTGTGTGAGGAAACAAGCTGCTCTTCTTTCAGTGCATTATGCTACCATTTTAACATGTAAATGTTATATTAATGAATCATCTGAACACTGACTGAAAATGCCCCAAACTTTGGAATGAAATTAATTACTTGCAGTTCATCATTTAGCATAAAAAACATAGAGAAGCCACTAATTCCCCACTTCTGCTTATCAATGTTTGACAATGTAGATGTGATTTAAAATAAACAAGTTTTGTTCCTAAAGCTACAAAAACAAGCAGTCTAATCTCAATAGACAGAGTTTTGTGGGGTGTAAAAGAACCCTGTGGCAGGATGATTGAATAAAGAATAGTGCCTTAATTTTAAGAGTTAATGGAATTACATAAACGCTAATACAATTGTTAATCCTCAAATTGGTCGACTGTTCATTTCCAGTGGAGTAGTTCCATGTTTTGTCTGCTGATAACATACCTCTCATGGTTTTTGATCTTTTAAGTCTTTCGATGACTGAGCAGCTCACGTCCACTATTTAAATACCAGATGTTCAAACAACTAATTTAAATTGATTTTGGGGTGCATGATTAAATTTTGTTGTAATGGAGGTGTTTTTTTTTTTTTTTACTCTTGGTGACCACCATGTAGTGCTCAGGAATAATCCTTTGGTTTCTACTCCTATATCATGTTGCCTTACTTCAGATACACTGACTGTATCTTAATAGAATTTATAAAAAAAATTGAACAAAAGTGAATGGGAGCTTTGATAGTTTGTTTTTTGGTGTTTGACCTTCGCTTAAAACTGAGTTTGGAGCAGCTACAAAAGATTTTTAGCAAGTACACCATATTGACTGTGTGTGGTCATTTGCAGATTAGCCTGCAGGGTTTTTTTTTGTGTGTGTGTTTGTGATGACTCCCATGTGAGCCACTGTTTAAGACAATGCAGAGCAGATGTGAATCTGCGAGACGTTCACCTTTGAGGCAGCTGGCTCTCTCTCTCTCCTCTCTTTGTATCTGTCTTGTCTCTCATTAGGATTCTGCTTGAATCTGACCCCTTGTTTGCTACAGATGTTGGACTGTTTGACTTAAACACTCAGAGTTCAGAATAACAATGTTATCATTTGGAGAGGTGCAGCATTTAGCCACAGCCCACATTTATCACCCCATGTCACTGAGTTCCTCTGTAGTTTTGGCTCGTTTTATTGTTATCTGTCATCTGTGAGATTAAAGTTTGATGAGACTTTAAAATGACGGTTTGGAGGATCACCCAGATTTTACAGCTGTAAAAAAAAAAAAAACTCCCCTCCTGGGTTACAGTTTAATTTTCATCTATCTCTATATAGCTGTCTTGTATGGCTGTAAATGTGGATAAAATGCATGAGGTTAGACCTGTGTTATTCCTGAAATGAAAAACATTTGTTAAAGGGCCTGGGGAACAGAGTCCATAGCTGTTTCTAAAGAGTCCCTGTAAACAATTCCAAGGAAGTCCGTCTGGAGTAAAAGGTTTGAAGGACGCGAAAAAGTCAGTTATGCCATAATCGTTATTAAGAGATAGTCTAATTACTACAGGAAGAAGAGGGTTTAGAGTAGTCGTGGCTATTTTGTTAGTTGCATTTTGCTTCAAAATTTCAATCATTATCTTGTAGTGTCAACATTTTCGAGTCAAGATTAACTAAATTATGATTGAATGTTGTTTGTTCTGACAAGTCTTCAGTCTTTCAAGAGGAGGGACAATACAAATAATAGGTAACACATTTAGAGAGTGTGAGAGATTTACAGTCCCATTGTACATGCAACGTCCAAAAATTGATGTTCGATATATGAACACTGTGTAAAAAACAAATAAATAAATAAATAAAACTTTCTCTGATGTACTGCATAAACAACAGCATCATCAGTATACATTAAGGCATAAAGTTTATGGTAAGGTCATCTCTTCAAATTAGAAAAGCAGAAGCACAACCCACTCCTTTCATGAATTAAGAAAAACTACTTCTGCTTGACTCATATTTCTGAACCAAGCATTTCTTGCTTGGTTGTGAATTTTTCTTGGTGATTTATTCAAAATCCTGGATCGCACAAAATGTTTCACTTATTCTGCCACCATGGCTCCATCTCTTGAGTTCCTTATTGGCTGCTCTACTAAAGTAGATAGCTAGTAGTTGGCTTCCTCTGCGTTTTCACACATCATGTGTCATTTCAGATTGTCCTGTTTGCTGAATGCTGCTGCTGTTAAGTATGGGGGTGGAAATATTCAGCTTTGGGGTTATGTGGCAGCTAGTGGTACAGGAAAGATTGCATGGATAGAGGGAAGAATTGATTCCACTAAATATCAGTAAATTCTGGATGCAAATGTCCTGCAGTCAGCCAAGAAAGTGAAACTGAAAAGAGGCTGGTTTCTACAACTAGACAATGATCTAAAGCAAAACTCAGAATCCACCATAAACTAATTCCAGAAATGCAGGCTGAAGCTTTTGAACAGCCTTCACAGTCCCCTGACTAAAAACATCATCTAAAATCTGTGGGTAGATCTGAAACATGCTGTGTGTGCAAGAAAGCCTAAAAATATCTCAGAACCTGCAGGTGATCTGCAGGAGGAGAGGGTGAAAATCCCTAAGACAATGGACTCAAAGTAAAATCAAATTAATTGCTAATGAAGTATTTATGTTTCCTTTTGGTTTTTCCTAGAAACTTCCTCTGAAGTAGTAACCACCAATTTTAGCCTCTCTAGCCTTCTGGTAGGGTGTGTTTATGTGTGTGTGTGAGTGTGTTTGTGAGTTTGTGCCTTGTATGCTAGCCTAAAAACATTACTCCACTGTGCTCATACCATTGAACACTTGTTGTAAATCTAACACATTTTATTTTGCACAGCAGTATAAGACATTGTGAGTGCAGTGGCACAGACCAGCTGACTAGAGGTGCACTCTGCTGCCTTACAAAGCTCCAGTGATAGTGTTTAATAATGCTTCTAATTTAAAGCTACAAAAACTTTCCATATCAATATTCCCAAATGCACTGAAAGGTAAGAGTTGGAAACTTAACTTAACCCACCTCTGTCAGATCTTTCTGTTTTAAAAGGACAAAAAATAATTGACAAATGACCAGTGGCAGCACTACAGCGCTTTCTTTGCTATCCTTGTTGCTGCATTTTGTAGAAGTCCAATACACACTGTTTGTTTAATGGTGGTCAGGTGTGGTGCCTCCATTAACCTCTTACAGCAAAGCAGCACTAATTTTCTACCCCTGTAAAATTATTCATGTGTGGATGTTGAATTCTCACTTCTCCAGCCAACCTGAAAGAGCTGATCTCCCAGACCATAACCAGCTGGGCCCAGGAGTCTCACATCCAGGACCCAGAGCTGGTCAGGGTGATGTTCAGCCTGCTGAGGAGACAGTATGATGGCATCGGGGAGCTGCTCCGGGCCATGAAGAAATCCTACACCATCAGTGCTGCATCTGTGCAGGATGCTATTAACCTATTGGCATCCCTGGGTCAAATCAGGTCTCTGCTGGCAGTGCGTATGGGCAAAGAGGAGGAGAAACTCATGATTGATGGACTCGGGTAAGGAAATATCTTGCAATAGATGCAGTGACATCTTTCTAAGTTTTTAAAGCAATGTAAATGGTAATGTAAAATATGGTTGCTTAAAGTTTTATTTATTTTTATTATAACTGACTTTGACAAAATTCCACAGTCCAGCAGTATTTCCAATGTGCAGTGTATTAAAATTTTGGAATGCAAAATACATCACAACCTTCAGAAACCACTTTCTTGTGTTCCCAGTGACATCATGAACAACAAGGTTTTCTACCAACATCCCAACCTGATGAGAGTGCTGGGCATGCACGAGACTGTCATGGAGGTCATGGTTAATGTGTTGGGAGGAGACAAGTCACAGGTGCGTGCTGACAACAATTCGGTAACACTTTCTAGCTCAGTCGGTGCAACCCAGTGCTGCAAAACTTTCACTGTCATGAATGTAAATTGTAGTATACAGGCAATTTGAACTAAAAGTCCACTTTAATGCTAGTTCTAGAGCTTTTCACCTCACAACACAGTCCTCATCATCAGCAGATTGAGTTTACTCAGTTGCCATGGAGCGGTTGCTCAAACTTTTCAGTTTTGAGCACCTCTAGGACTTCTCAGCCATGTTGAATTAAAAGCTTACATGACTAGTAGTTTGCCACTAATTATTTTCACTATTGATGCATCTGTAGATTAATCTTTGTTAATCTTTTTGTCAATAAAATGTCAGAAAAAAGTGAAAAATGTCCAACACATTTTCCCAAGACCAAAGGTGACATGTTAAAATGTCTTGTTTTGTCTGACCAGCAGTCCAATTACAGAGAGATTCAATTTACAAATATATAAAACAAAGAAAAGCAGGAAATCCTCACATTTTAGATGCTGGAACCAGCAAATGATTTTTTTACTTGTAAAAGGAGCTCAAACAATTGATCAATTATGTAAATAGTTGCAAATTAATCTTTTGTTAATTAGGTGGTTTTGGCTCTAATCTTGATCATATTAACCACTGGAGGGAACTTTTAGTTAAGTGGACATGTTGTAGTTGTAATTCATTCTTTTGAGTATTAGATTGAAATGTCCTGAAACAGGCTGAACGTTTTAATCTGCAAAATGTATCCTAAGAGATCCCAAAAGCAACAATCTAATACCCAGAAAAAACCACAGGGGTGAAGGAGAGGGCAGAGGAGTAAACTGGGCATTGGTGGGCATGAAAAGGGTGAGATGGAGGCCTCTCAAGCCTGTCCTTTTTGGGCAGTGCTGACAGAAGCTGGAAGAGATGGGTGTGATTTAATGCCACGGCCAGTGCCAAGCATGAATTGAACCTCAGACAGACAGACCTCAGGGAGACATTCAGGCCTTCATATCTGACTCTGGCAGTCTGATCACGATGTCTCAGAAATAAATTCCAGACCAGTTTACTGCCACTTGATATGTGCAGTTCACTTACTGTGGCCATATAAAGTGGCAGTACCACAGCTTGTAAATGTATATCCGTTTGCAATATTTACTCTCTTATTGATTATCTGTGCTCTTGTCTTAGTCATGGCATAGTACTGTATAATATCAAACCAGGATTGTTTTGGGTTATGGATTTCTCAGTTATGACTTTCATCACACAATCAGGACTAATGCTGATAATTTGGTCAAGGATTAATTTAAAAACGTAAAATAAAAAAAAGTCAACCACACAGGCAGCATTAACACAGAGAAATCTCTCACCAGATTTAAACACATTCATAAGGTGAAAATGCTTTGGTTTTTAGAAGTGGAAGCATTTGGCATGATTGAAATTTGAACAGTCATGAGTGTGATTTTTCTGTGCTGTGCATATTTGCTGTCTCATTTGCTGGAGGTAAGATTCCCTTCATTCTGGAGTCTTATCAGTTCTTCTGGCAGTTTAGTTTCATCTGTCATGGACAAAAATTACTTCACTCTTAGATTTATGCTTAGACTTAACCCACACAAGATCTTACACAACTAAAGGATGACACAGAGGTAATAGCATTAGATGCGAAAGGTGAAATGATTTTCCAGTTGTTGTGTTCTCAACAGAAAATACATTTTGTTTATTGACTCCATTATAAGTGTTTTGATAAGCCTAGACCTTTAACAGAGCCAAACATAGACTATAAGACTGCGCATCATATCAAAATTGATTAAAATCCGCCTGAGCTCTTGCAATCGCTTCTTCAGGGAGACGCTTGATATCATCTTCAAAAATATACCCTCTCCCAGCAGCTTTAGAATGACTCGTATATATTGTATTTTGATTGTTGAAGGGAAAATTTAAGAGTTTCAGTTTCACATAAAAAAAAACAAAAACTGACGGCCTACTTTTACTTCAGCACGTCTTTACTTTTGTGTTTTCATTTCCTCATCCACAGGAGATTGCCTTCCCCAAGATGGTGGCTAGCTGTTGTCGTTTCTTGTGCTACTTCTGTCGTATTAGCCGGCAGAACCAGAAAGCCATGTTTGACCACCTGAGCTACCTGCTGGAGAACAGCAGCGTTGGACTGGGTAAGATTTGATACATTCACTAATTGAGACTGTTTACACTCCTGGTATCTGTTGACAACCATCTTACAGCTTTTTCTTTTGCTTTTATGTAAATATAATTGTGAGAGAAGAAGACTGAGGTTTAAAATGTATGATAGAGAGTAAATATGAGGGATGAGCAGAAGAAACTGCAGAAAAGCAGACTTTCAAAAGGGGAAGGTGAAATGATGAAAGGAAGTTGGGGAGGTATAGTGCAAGAGGGAAATGTTAAGAAAAGTATTTATAGAGATACTTTGACATTTTGAAATACCTCCCCACATATTTGCCATGCTGCTCCTAAAATTATGCAAATGAAAGCAATAGGTGCCATTTGCTGGAAGAATTCTCAGCTAATTGAAGTGCAGACACAAACTCATCACCCATATTATGACAAGCGGCTAGTAACGAAAAATAACAGGCTGTAATTCAAAATGTCAGGGTATCGCTTTTGAGAATGAAAGGGGCAAAGGAGGAGGCAGCTGATGGAGAGGGAGAGAATGGCAGCGAGCAGGGAAGGGAGGAAAATGGGAGACGGGGGTTATTTAGTCATGCGGGGAAGGACTGATGAGTCACAGGGTTCCAAGTGCTGCTGCTGTAAACTAAAGCACCTGCCTGTGAAAGAGGAGAGCATCACATAGTCTGAAGAGGACAGATGAATTCAGCACACCACTCACATGAAGCATTTTGATACTCATAAATCACACGCGTCAATGTGAACGTGTTGGGAGATATGCCTTGTGCTTTCTGTGGGTAAATGTTTGTTTATTTTAGTACTTATCATCCCAAATGGTGAAGTTTTCCTGCATGAAGGACATAGTTATAATTATAAAGCAATTAATTGTTATTTTTTTCAACTAAATTGCCCCAAAACATTATGCACTTCATTTTGAGAGTAGGTGCCCAATGGGAATGTAACCATTTATGTAGGGAGGGAGTGTTTGTCCACATTGAGCCACAGAGGATTGATTAACTTTGGCTTTTCTATGAAGAGGTTACTAAAAAAGTGCACAGAATACAATATTAATGCTCATGTAGTCAACAGGAATCAAAGTTGTCCATTAAAATGGACACAGTTCATTGCTGAAATATTCTGTGCACAAATATCAGGATGACATTTTTAATAAGAAATCAGCCTTTATTCAAAGGTCAGCTGGAGATGTGAACTGGTCTCATCAACAATTAAACACTACCTGCTAAGTTAAAAGAGAGAGATTAGAGAATATCAAGATAGCATATGTAGATACACTGCCCCCTGTTGTTTAGAATGAAATGCCTTTTTGCTTTGGTGGTGACACTTTGTCTGTGTGTTTAGCCTCTGAAGCTATGCGGGGCTCCACTCCGCTGGATGTCGCAGCGTCCTCAGTGATGGACAACAATGGCCTGGCTCTGGCCCTGGAGGAGCCTGATCTGGAGAAGGTTTGTTACTTCTGCACTAAATCACAGCACAGCAGTGAAAACATAACTCACTGCAACTGAATGACTGAATGTGCAGAAGAAACAGACATAGGGTAATATTTGTCACAACTACACCATAATTGACCCTTGAACCACTTTGCTCACCATTAAAACTTGACGATCAAGGACAAATATTTAAGGTTTATTTTAAGTACAAAAATGTATTTGCTACATGAATTTATTTTGTTTGCAGAAATGTGGAGTGTGAACAGAAGGCTTGTTACCATAGCTGATAAATATTGTACATGAAATTAAGTAACTATTCAGCTATTTAGCTCAGCCATACAGCTCTGTCACTAATGGTTTCAGGCTGATTACATAACCAGACAGTGGCTATTCTGTTTATTAAAGCTGACCTCAAGGTATTTGTCGTTCTAGCAGATGAATCAGTCATATTATAGACTTAGTTTAGTGTTAAATACTATTCCAGGCACTGTAAAATTATGAAATTGAAACCTATTATGTTTAACATGCTGAGAGGAGAGTAGTCCATTTGGTTTTATGGATAATGAATGCACTGAAACAGCCTTCTAGTCAAAAAGCAGATGCACCTACTCAGCGAGATGAAATTAGTCTTCCTGATATTCTAATAGTCTTTTATGTGGTTCAATTTTCACATTATGTTGAGTAAGTTCTATATTACATATTGGAATGATTTGAATAGCAAAATGATGAGCAGATTACTTCACGTTATTAAAAACTGAGTTCATTTCTTATTAAAACATCTCTTCGCTGACTTATGTAAGTCTGATAGAAATGGAAGCCTCATGCCACCCAAGTTTTTTTCAGTCAAAAATTCAGAATGATTTTGTGACAGTTGAATAAGCAACTTCAGCAAAAGCTTTCAAGTTGTCACTGTTACTGACAATGACAGTCAAAAAGACAGTGTGCCCAAGATAATACCAACGAGTGAAACAGACTTGTTTGTGTGTTTGCGTGTAGGTGGTGACATACCTGGCAGGTTGTGGTCTCCAGAGCTGTGCCATACTGGTTGCTAAGGGTTACCCAGACCTTGGCTGGAACCCCATCGAGGGAGAGCGTTACCTGTCCTTCCTGAGGTTCGCAGTCTTCTGCAATGGTATGTTGACTTTCATACTGAGCATGTGGAGAAAATCTAATCGATACACAATGCCTTCAGCCATCAACACTCATGGTGTAAAAGATAGCAATACAGCAATAAAATTGAGTCAAAGGAGACTACAAGCTGAAACTTTCAAAATAAGATCTTGTAAATGAATTATGAGGCACATGATGCATTTAACATGTTTATTAATCCATAAGGAAACATACTACTTGTTTTGACAGAAATGTCCAAATGTGTTTGCAGACAATAAAAGCTTTAATGGGGACCTGTAATTGTAAGCTTCAAATCGATAAATTATACACTTTGAAATATGTTAATAAATTTGTATAACTATGGTTAACATACAAACACAAGGTGATATTGCTACAGTTTAGATTATGGCACAAAAGGAAATTTTAGCTTTACAATATGCTACATGTAAAAACCCAACACAGTATCACTCTGAGGTACACATTATCTGTGTGAATCTGTTTTTGTTATGTGTGGTGTGAGTATACAGTTAACTTGTTTGTGTGGCATGTTGGGTGACGTGAGTGACACGGTTATTAAAGTTACAGGTAGAAAAATGAAAAAAAGATTGGAGGAAATCCCAGAATCTGCCAGCAAACTTTGGCTGGAGTGATGGAGTGAGTTAATGGTCTTCTTTCCACCATCACCATTTACCAGCAACTGTGCTCTGTTGCCAAGAATAGAAAATGCACAAGTGGAAATCTTAGTTGGCGCTCCCTGAATATAAATATATAGATCTTTTGAAAAGCAGTGGACATCATGTCCAGGGTTTCCGCCTTGAAGTTTACTCTGATCTGTCCTTTTATGGATAATTTAATCATCTCTTCATAAATGCCTGTCCCTTTGCCTGCTGTATTTGTATACCAGGGGAGAGTGTGGAGGAAAATGCCAATGTGGTGGTGAAGCTGCTGATCAGACGCCCAGAATGTTTCGGCCCCGCCCTGAGGGGAGAGGGAGGCCAGGGTCTGCTGACTGCTATGAAGGAGGCCATCAAGATCTCTGAGGATCCTGCCCTGGACCTGCCAAAAACCTCGGCTGGAGTCACTACTGCGTAGGAATCCACACCAGTTTCTCACATATCCTTGTTCCTGTCTGGGTTGAAAAGCCTCTGAATCAGCATTTAGATCATCAAGAGACACTAAAAACTCATTGAGTGGCATGAAAGTATTCAGTACTGATAAAGTCTCCCATTATCTGTGTCTTTGTGAGAGTTGTTCCATTTAATTAGATTTCACAGTGTGTTTCTGAGCACTGCTAAACCAGCGTTATTCTTAGTTATTACACTCTTTAATATAGCCACATTTGTATGTGGCTCTATTCACATTACTGGGAAGAGATAGAAGTTTACTACTTCGTGTAAGCTTGGACAAAGTTATTTGAAAGAACAGTGAGTTATTGTTCCGTTTGAATGGAGAGTTTGGTCGAGCTGCTTTGCTAAACAGCCAAACAAGAAAGTAATTATAAAGGAAAGATTTTGCAGTAATTAAACACATGTAAAACATCTTTTTCATTATCTTAAAATAATGACAAGATGGTGGTGTATTTAATGTATGTCAGATACAAATTAAGTTGTTTGGTGTAATCTTTTATATACTTGTGCTAGGATATGCCTCATCCTCTCCTACAAAATAGTCATTAATTTATAAAAAATTCCTTCCTTTCCAATGGAAAAAAAACCAGTGACATTAATTTGCCTGTTTGCATAAGTCTTAAATACTGAAATTGAGACATTTTAACTGCATTTTAAGACACAAGTTTATCCTGAACACATCAGACACAGAGGTGCTTATCTGTTTAGAGGCTCAAGAGAAAGGAGTATAGCAGCCTTGGCATTGTTCAACGCTGTGGCCAGTTTGTAGAAAGTGTTGGTGTCTGCCTGCACACATTAGTATGTACAGGCTGTAATACATGGGCTGCATTTTAATGGAGGAATGTTGTTATTGCCTGAAGTGAGAATAGAAATTGGGAGAGTGGGCAAAATCAATATGTATATGATAGTGGCCTGTAAGGAGATCACATATTCTACCAAAAAACATTGTTAGAAATGCTCACAAAATTGTCCATCTATTGCTTCTGTTTCCCCACTTTATTCTTAAATTGCCTGATTCTTCAGCAATCAGGAAGGTTTGCAGTATTCAAGAAAGATAGTTATTACAATGACAGATTAATGTTTGTCTCTGTGTGTGTCAGGTCTGGTGAGGAAGAAGGAGAGATTATCCACATGGGCAACGCCATCATGTCCTTCTACTCAGCTCTCATTGACCTGCTGGGACGCTGCGCTCCAGAGATGCATGTGAGGCTCAACTGGAGCGGAGGAATAGCACACTGTACAATGAACTGTAACCTACAATATGGACGACATGGACATTAATGTGGACTTGGTTAATGACTCAGACAGTTTTAACAGCTTTATATCAGATTCAAAATGATTATCATAATTAAATAATGATTGAACTTGATGCATTTTTCACATCAGCTGTCATGAAGACAAGTGTCTCTACAATTACCTGAATGAAATGATGTGGTGTATGTTTTCGTCTGTTACAGCTGATCAATGCGGGTAAAGGTGAGGCGCTGCGTATCCGAGCCATCCTGCGCTCTCTGGTTCCTACTACGGACCTGGTGGGTGTCATCAGCATCCCCCTCAAGATGCCTGTAGTTAATAAAGGTACGGCCTTTGTGGCTCCTATTTTATTTGTTTGCTACCTGAAGTTATGCATGCAGATAAAAATGAATTAAGTTGATCCTGGTAGAACAACAAAACCAACCAGTGTTAGGTTTGAAAATGCTAAGGGTACTGGGAAAAAACTTGTAATAGCAGCCAAAAGTGAGACAGAAAATCGTCCATCTGATACAGAAAAATTGTGTTTGGTTTGTATTCAAAGCTGAAGCTGTGCTCAAACACAGTACTCAGCAATTTAATTTAAATTGTATATACACACATGTCAGACACAAATATTCTCTGCTGCCTACTGAACCAACATACCACATTACTATCTTGAAATATGAAAAAAGTAGATTTTACTTGTATAGTATGTCTGTGACGGCTCCAGATCAAAGCAACTAAAACATTTTCATTTCTCTGCACTGTTGGACTCATTCAGCTCTGCCAGATGGATGTATATCATTTTAAATAACTGTGTCCTGCCAGTGGGCATCATTCAGGAGTGAATACCTGTTTGCATCTGTGTTTCTACTGTGGGAGAAAGTCATGCCTACAAGCCGTTTCTACTATCGAGCCACTTTGTGCTATGTTCTAAAATGTGCTTGTATTTATCATAAAATAACCCTAACCCTTACCTAAAAAAAAAAGAATATATATCTATACATATATATATCTATATATATATATACATATATATATATCCTCAGCAGCAGTCACACCAGAAAATTAACTTAACACTCAGTTTTCTCTGTCACAGTTTCTAATAAAAAGCAAGCTGTGTCTTGAATGAGCTCATCACATTTTGCTTTTGTCAAAGTTTCCACAGCTTACCACTTTAAACTTTTACCTAAAATACACTCTTGCAGCCAATCCCCTGTTTCTACATCTTGTGGTCATAAACCATGTATCATTAGATTCAGTAAAAATGAACTCTTGAACTGTTTGTTCCTCTTTCCCTTTGTCCTCCTGAATTCTCCAGGTACTGCTCAGCATCCTTGTCTTGCAAGTCTATTTTTTTCTTTAAAAGTATATTTTGATCATGACAACATAAACTTGAATCTTTTCCTCCCTAAAATGTGTTTAACCTTCAGATGGCACAGTGACAGAGCCCGACATGTCAGCCAGTTTCTGTCCGGACCACAAGGCCCCCATGGTGCTCTTCCTGGACCGAGTGTATGGCATCGAGGACCAGAGCTTCCTGCTCCAGATGTTGGAGGTTGGCTTCTTGCCTGACCTCCGAGCCTCAGCGTCTCTCGATACGGTGAGTCCTAAATAACTTTCTCTACGTGTCCCTAACCAGCCTTCACCTTCAAAGTCCCATTTTGTTACTCACTAGCCACCAAAACATTAGTGTCCGTTTCCTAAAACAGTACGCTTTAGTCTTTTTAACCCGTAACTGTACAAATGAAAAGTACTAGCCGATAGCAGGCGTTATATCTGTGTCGTCTTCTCTGTTCCTATCACTTTTCTTACTGAAACTTTTTCTGGTTATTTAGTAAGTGCACACAGTTAAGTTTAGGTTTCGAGTTTGCTCATTAGAAGTGTGACAGAAGCAGATAATCTCAGCAAACATAAACACTGATTGCTCAGTACATCGATCAGAACAAAGCCTCGTCGTGACTGGCTCAGAGCTGGCAGAAGCATTCACACAATTATTGTTACAATCATCAGCTTAGAAACATTAAACATCTGCTCATCCTCATGAGCCTGAGTAATACGATCAGTTTTCAGTTGTCATGTTTGACTTGTATTTAGGGATATAATAATCCCTGCGGCAACGTCAGAATCACCACTGACCCACTGAGAATAATTCACCTTCTTCTCCTCAGGAAAAGTTATCACCATTCACATAAAACATCACCGCATTGGTTTAAAATTGGATTATCTTTGACATCATGTAAACCCTTCAGATTGGGTCAGTTTGTCATGGTGATAGATGTACAGTGAACAAATTGAGTTTGTCACTGACAATCTTTTTCTTTTTTATATGAAGAGCGGTAGACTGGATCTAAATTGCATTTTAATTAGCAAAATCCATGGCCTTGCAAATGTTTTAAGAGGAAGGAAATGCATTCAGTGCATTTGTTATACCTTAAGGAGTATTTCGGCGTGAAACACTGAATCTAAACATGCATTTTGTTTAGAAGAAAAACTCCTTCAGCATGGCTAAGGCTTGTGTTAACATATTCTCTCTTTGACAAGCAGACTGTCATTCCTTGAAAACAATTTTGAAATAAAAATTAGCAGTGCAAAATTTCATCTGTGATTTGTCTTTCATTGTTAGGTTTTTAGATTTATAAAAACTGTGACTGTTCCACTTTTTTAACCAAAGTTAAACCTGAAGTTATAAACTTAAAGTTTTAACCCCTGTAACTGATCACCAATTGTTTGGTTTTGTCAATTTCATATATGAATGCTCCTCTATAACAATGGCTCTTCAAGTCTCTGTTTTGTGTCATCAGTCATTGCTTCAATAGCATAGGTTTCTGTGAGAGATAATTTACCTATTGCAACTAAAATTGCATGCCTAAGGTAAACTGCAGCATCACCACCACCATCGCCCGACACCCACAAAAAGTCAGATTTACATGTAAGATCATACAGAAATCCTTTTAAAAGGTTATTTCTATTCAGTGCCCTTTTCAAAAAATTCCCAAACGTGACATCAGGGAAAATGAATTTTTTTGACTCTGCTTTCATTTACTTTTTTTTCTACCTGAGAACCTTTCAATATGTCTTTTTGCTGTTGCCAGGAGCCTTTATTCACACCAACGTTCTATTAATTTTGACATGTGGAGACTTTATAGTGCCTCTGTATCCTTCAGCTGCATGTATTATTCTCTGTCCCACAGGAGGTGTTAAGCACCACTGAGACGGCGTTGGCCATGAACAGGTACATCGGCTCAGCCCTGCTGCCCCTGCTGACCCGCTGTGCCGCTCTCTTCGGCAACACAGAGCACTACGCACAGTTGATCGACTCCACGCTGCAGACCATCTACCGACTGTCCAAAGGCCGCTCGCTCACCAAAGCCCAGAGGGACGCCATTGAGGAGTGTCTGCTGGCTATCTGCAAGTAAGGGCCTGTCAAGCTTTCTCCAGGCTCAGCTGAGTGAAAATATTAGAGGGGAGCTGGAGATTTACAGAGGCTGCACCCTGTTATTTTTCAAACAATGCTACTGTCAAATGGCTTGTCTCAGGCTTTAGTGTGACACATATTGAACAGCCCTCTGTTCCACTTTGATAGAGCATGAAGCAAATCACAAACTACAGGAAACAATGAGCTTGAGTACACTAGATTAAGAACATATTACTTAGGGGCTAAATTGACCAAGCTTTTGTGCACTTTTAGACTCAAATCAACTGCTTCAATGTTTTTGTCTTCATTACATTTACACAGTGAAAGCAGGTTAATGTATTTGTTTTCTAGGAATTCATATTCTTGCTTATTTGATTTGTTTATTTTGCCTAATAAATTCAGTCAGCATGTTTTTTTGTTATGGCACATGGATATTTATTGTGTAAGATGTGCACTTTGCAACAAAGAGTCATACTGAACAATTACCATATTGTCAGTTCAGTTTTATACGTGCCAAATTAGGCACCAGCAACATTATTCTTCATTGACAACCCCAGTTAAGGATTTTAACCATGTACCATTTGGCTGCCATTTTTGATGTCTTTGACCTAGTTTGACCCTGAATCCTGCAGCTGGGTGCATTCAATGTGTCTGCTACATACTTTAGGCCCAAAGTTTTCTTTTATATTATAGAACTTGATGCTTTTTAATTTTTATCAAATATTCTTGACTACGAGTATTTGTACTTTTCTGTTCAGGTGCTCAACCTGATTTGTAGCCCAGTTGAAACTTAGATAAGTCACTTACATTGCTAAAATGAACTTGTTTGTGTCTGCAGTTGAACCTGCAGTTATTTTAATTAATCCATGTTTTTATTGTGTTACCTGTTTTTATGATATCTACACAGTATCCACTGTTGTATTCTTTTAATGAAATAATAAATCCTCAACTTCTTCAAAGGCATCTGCGTCCCTCCATGATGCAGCAGCTGCTTAGACGGCTGGTCTTTGACGTTCCCATGCTCACTGAATACTGCAAGATACCTCTACGGGTGAGACACTGGACACAGTTTGTTGTCACTTATGTTTGATTTATTAGTTGAAAGAGTTATGGGATAATTATAACAATCACAGAGGCGTCTTGTATTTTACAACCCATTTATCGTCCTCACTTCCTGTGTGTTGAACACACCTCCCAAGCATTTTGTTAAATTTGTCATTGTATATTTTACCCTATATAGATATAATATACAACATTATGTTGATTTTGCTATGAAAAAGTAAATCGTACTTATTTTTCTTTGAAAGGAGTACTCTCTCGTCATTGGTTTCCAAGAATATTAAACAAATTTTAACCCAGATGCTTATGTTTTCTTGTATCTCTGATCTCTAGCTGATGACCAACCACTATGAGCAGAACTGGAAGTACTATTGCCTGCCATCTGGTATGGGCAGCTTTGGCATAGCCTCCGAGGAGGAGCTTCTCCTCACTAAGAAGCTATTCTGGGGAATCTTTGACTCCCTTTCTCACAAGGTACAACAAGACACTATGTTTTGTAGAATATTTATGAAGATGAGTCGACAGTATGTGCAAGAGCCAAGAAATTCTTTGTCATTTTGTATAGCTGTTATTGCTCTCTGTATTTTCTTCCCCTTACTCAATTTCCTTCTCTGAGAATATATATGAAGTGTCAGGAGACAAGGCAATATTTTCCTTGTATCCCTCTCTATTGCATAACAAAACGTTTAGTAGTCTAGTCGTTTTTGCTCTCCTGAAGATTTCCTCTGTTTGCTGCTGTTTTTTAATATTCTGTTTTCTGAAAATCTTGAGTTTTCAGCACTTGAGTCTGGCTCTCCTGAGAGAAAAGTTCTCAGTAGTCAGAGGTAGTGAAGTGAAAGCTCAATGAAGTGCTTGTGAGCAGTGCAGCTGAGGCGAAGCCAAAACAGATGAATCATTTATCAGTCTGTGACAGGCTGTTGCCTGGTGCAGACCATTCCAGCTTTCTGTCTTTCATTTTCCCTCCTTTTCCTTTTCCTTACTTGGCTTTGCTCTGCTCAGTCTATCCATCTAATAATCTAAACAGACATGTCCTCAGAAATGTGGAGAAAATTGTGAAAAAACAGTAACCCTCCCTTTGCTGTATCTGTCTCTTGTGTAGAAGTATGATGCTGAACTTTTCAAAATGGCCAAGTCATGCCTGTGTGCCATCGCTGGAGCCCTCCCTCCTGACTTTGTGGATGCCAGTCTTGGCGCAACACTGGAGAAACAGGCTTCAGTGGATGCACAGGGTAACTTTGACCCCAAACCAACCAACACTGCCAAGTGAGTGGTCTGAGAATGCACTTACCTTCTTAGAGGCAAAATATTGTAATTAATCAATCGTCTAAAACTGATCTGTCAGGATTATCTTTTCGTTTAAAAACAGCAATTTGATTAAATTCTGTGTGTTTCATGATTGTTTGTCTGCAAATCAAAACAAACCTGCACAATATACAGGTAAAATTGACTTTGTAATGACAATAAATATTTAAACGTTTCTTTACTCTCCAGTATCTCCCTTCCTGAAAAACTTGAGTACATTGCCAACAAATATGCAGAGCATTCCCATGACAAGTGGTCCTCAGAGAAGGTTAGTCCCACTGTGGTCTTTGTGTCTTCCTCACTCATGCTGACATTTAATGAATGATGTATGCAATAAATACAGGTGGTAGATTCCGTATGAAATGCTATGAAATGACAACTTGTAATTGTGGTTTACCTTGTCTGGTCCAGTAGCATGCCTGACCAGTCACTACTCTCAGTATATTAGTATTTCTACCAATGATTTTCTATACCTGAAATGCACGCTGCTACGTGACCTGTAATAAACTGTTGTTGCAGGTGTCAGCTGGCTGGAAAAATGGAGACAGTGTGGATGAGCAGGCGAAAACCCATCCACTGCTGAAACCTTACAAATCTCTGAGTGAGAAGGTACATGCAGTTGCTGCTGGTACTAGGGGAGTGGTACACAATCTCTTACTGCTGAATGTATATCAAATATTAGCTTTTTTCATCTTTTAATGCAGAAAATATTTGCTTAATCGGCTTCTCAAGTGGATGAAAGTTTTAGTTATAAAAACAACTTTCCTCAGTGGCACAGACAGAAATAATGGTGTTGGCTGCATCAATGGGCAGAGCCACAGTGTCACAAATCTTTCAGAGAACAAAAAATGTGTGAAAACTTGTAGAAGGAAACTGGTTAAAAATAAATATCCATGTTTTTATTGACTTACCTAAATATAAGGACATTTTGTACCCGATCCAAATTAAATTCAGTCATAGTGACTGTTTTTGCATGGCTTGACTATCAATTAAAATAAAACTCCACTAGGAAAATAACCTAGAAACCAACATCCTTTTAGAAAATGTTTGAACGTTGTTTCATTTCTAGATTGGATGTGTTTGTCTGACTTAAATGTTTTCACCTAAGTTGAACTGTCACAGCTGGTGGGGATACAGTCCTGCATAAGATTTTAAGGCAAAAAGTGACAAGACTTTTGTGTGTGTTGACTATGCAGGAACGAGAAACATACCGTTGGCCAGTGAGGGAGTCGTTGAAGAGCATGTTAGCTATGGGCTGGAACATTGAGAGGACCAAGGAGGGAGAAGTCATGTTCCAACAACGAGAAAGTGAAAAACAACGAAAGATCTCCGAGTCTCAGGTAAAATCCTGGTTTATGATCCACTTGCTGAAATAATACTTTGCACCACAGTTAGACAGTATTGTTGTCACACATGTTTTCTTTGTAATACTTCTTTACTAAATCTTTAACTGACAAAATTCACAAGCTTCTCCTTTTTAAGGTTGTTTTTGTCCTCTGTGTTAATCAGCCTCAGCTTTTGTTGTGATATTTTTTGCACTGTGTTCAGCAGAGATCATTTATAACTGGACTCCATTAACAAAATAAATGGGAGGACCACTCCCTTCCCTGTAAGAGTAATACACACAAAGCAGCAAAGCAAATAGCTTGAATCAATAATGGTATCTCTGAAACATCCAGCTTAATTTATCATAGAAATGTAATATTTTTTTCTGTAATCATATTTAGCCACATAAATTCAGAAAGTTGTTCAGGATTGAGAAGTAGTTGCTGCAGTTTTAAGTCAACAAGGACATAGCTTAGTGTTTTTACAGCTCAAAGTTCAGGCTGTCTGTGGCTGTCTCTGTCCCTCTTTGCCCTCACAATTTGTCTTAAAGCTAATTGTTCAGTTCTGAAATAACACAAATGTGTGTATTTCTGACTGAAAATATATTTACTGCTAAATTTACCTTTGTTACTTTCTTTTGTCATAGATCAACTTCACCTTCCAGTGTGTGTCTCAAAAGCTCTAATATGTTATGTTAATGTCTAATAATAATATTATTATCATTATTATCGACAGAAATCTGAGAATGTCTTTTTAGATTTTCAGATATATTGTACACTTAGACTTTCTCTGTCTCACTTTGTAGGTTAATGGATTCAGTCCTGCTCCGATGGACCTGCATAATGTCACTTTATCTAGAGAGTTACAGGTTGGTTTTCATTTGACTCTTGAGAATTGTTGCAACATATGCTCTAAGTCAGAACTGTACAATAGGAGCGACAGTTTCAGTGTCTGAAACACAAAGACAGAATGAAAATGTTCAGATTTGATGACACTCATTCTGCTGTTTCTGCAGGGCATGGTGGAGGTGGTTGCAGAAAATTACCACAACATCTGGGCCAAGAAGAAGAAAACTGAACTTGTTAGCAAAGGTGTGCAAATGGACACTTTAAAAAAACCCATCCTGGAAAAGTGAATTTTATGATATTATTTGTGTGAAATGTATGTGTTTTATATTTGATTTGACCTACCAGGAGGAGGGACCCACCCACTGCTGGTGCCCTATGATACCCTGACAGCTAAAGAGAAGTACAGAGACAGAGAGAAGGCCCAGGATCTCTTCAAGTTTCTGCAGATCAGTGGCTATGCCATCACAAGGTCTCCTTTCACTCCCATGTCATTTATTGTAGAAATCAGTAAAAAATAATGTCATATAATGTTGCAACAGCACAAAACAGTTTTAAAGATTTACTAAATTGTATATTTAGGGCAAAATTTAATCCTCCTTAATCTCCTTAAAATAGCATTGATTTCACATGGATTGAGGGTTACATTTGAGTTTAAATTACAACATAATCAGCAGTGTGTTTTATTTATATTGTCTTTACTCTTGGTAATGTGATGGGGAATCTTTTCATCTCAGAGGTCTGAAGGAAATGGAGCAGGACTCATCATCGATGGAGAAGCGTTTCTCCTTCAAGTTCCTCAAGAGGCTGCTAAAATATATTGACTCTGCCCAGGAGTTTATTGCTCACCTTGGTGAGTGTGTGACATTTTAAACACAGATACACTGAGCACTAAGAGGACCTGAACATTGATTGACATTGACCTTGCTGCTCAACTTTGCTGTTAATCCAGAGGCCATGGCCACCAGTGGGAAGACGGACAAATCACCTCATGACCAGGAAATTAAGTTCTTTGCCAAGGTCTGGAAATCCACTAACACTTGACACTTCTTGCAAATGAACCAATGAAATACTGATGAATTTACTTTACTCTGCTGATGTTTTCATCTGATCGCTGCATTTCCTCTCTCCAGGTGTTGCTTCCTCTGACAGATCAAACCTTTAGGAACCACTGTCTCTACTTCCTGTCCACACCCAGCAAGAGCTTTAGCAGCTGCGGTTGTGCCTCCAACAAAGAGAAGGAGATGGTCACCAGGTACTGTACAAAAGCAATGCATAGTGTGTTTAATCAGTTCTCCCATTGTCATGTTTTTGCTCGTCAGAGAGTTTTCTTGCTGTATGTATAATGTCCTCCCTTTTATCTCGGTGAAGTGCATAAAAAGAATTCCTATTTCATATTTTCATCAAACCTTTCCTCCCTTGTGCTTTGCTTTTTTCAGCTCTTCTTTGTTCTCTCGGGAGCTTTTTGTTCATTTCTTTTCTTATTGTCTGTCTTTTCCAGCCTGTTCTGTAAGCTGGCAGCTCTTGTCAGACACAGGATTTCTCTCTTTGGTAAGGTCGGCACTGCCTCTGTCTGTGTGCTTGTGTGCCTCTTCGCTTTGAATCTCTTCATATATCTACACTAAATGTCTCTCTCACAGGGAGTGACTCAGCAATGATGGTGAGCTGTCTGGACATCCTCACTCACTCACTTGACACCAGGTAAGGAAAAGTCATTGGTACTTAATCGAGTAGATATTACTGCTGTTGCCTGTACAATGAACAACACTAACAAATGAAAATGAATCTTTTTTGCTCCATCTTTTTTCTCAGAACGGTGATGAAATCTGGCGCCGAGCTGGTCAAAGCCGGGTTTAAGACTTTCTTTGAGAATGCAGCGGAGGACTTGGAGAAGCTGGTGGAGATGCTGAAACTGGGGAAGTTCATGCAGTCCCGTGCCCAGATGAAGAGTGTCAGTCAGAGCATCAATTATGTGACTGTGGCTCTGCTGCCCATCCTCACTGCCCTGTTTGACCACATAAGGACGTATGAGTTTGGAGTGGACCTGCTGTGTGAGTTTGTACTGTATTTCCATAGACACACACCATTCTCTTTTTCTTTTTTTTTTTTTGTATTGCTCGACATAATTCACAAACTTCGTCTTTTCTAACAAACAAACACAGGCCTCCTTGTTTGTACAAGGAGGCATGTGCCTAATTTGTTTGTGAAAATATTTTTCTCCTCTTGTCTGATTGCAGGCTTAGGGTTAAAAAAATTAAGTAACAATATTGTATTGTATTGTATTGTATTGAATTAAGGACATACCAAGTAACTTTGGAGTTGTCTTTCTCCTCATGTCATCTTTAAGTTCTGACACTAGTCATACGGTTTTGATTGGAAATAAGTGTCCGTTTAATGTTTTCTTGTCTGTTTCAGTGGATGACGTGCAGCTGTCCTGCTACAGAATCCTAACATGTTTCTATTGTCTGGGAACAGGAAAGAACGTCTTTGTGGAAAGGTAAGAGGCTTCTCCTTTTTTAAGGTTTTCTGTAGCTTTGCAATAGGATGTAATTAAATGGCTGTCGCTTCTACACATGATCAACACTGTATAGTTGATCATTAAGTTTAAAAATCTCTGGTAATGATGAATACTTGCTGTCATTTCCATGCTCTATGAGTTAATTAATATCATGGTAATACACAAACTACATTGTGCTTGTCGCAGTTAATTAGAATATGGCTGCTGAGCTCGTTCATTAACTCATGTTTGTGACAAATACACTCAGGGCTTTAAGGGTGATATGTAGTAGATCACGTACTCTAGTACATTATACACTGTAGTATCTACAGTGATATGTGTGCTAAATTTTATGTGAAACTGTATGTGTTACAAATGAAGACAGAGGTTTTGATTTTGGCCAGGTAAGATAACAGCTGTGTGTGTGTGTGTGTGTGTGTGTGTGTATATATATATATAATCTATTATAGATATATATATATATATACATACACAGTATATGTGTATATGTGTGTGTGTGTGTGTGTGTGTGTGTACATTTGAAAATCTATTAACAGAAAAAGATTTCATGGCTCAGGGGAGAGGACACAACAAAACACTGAGTGCTGTGAAATGGTTTTCATTAAAACCACAATTCTGTACGATTGTTCTCTAACTGGCTGTTACACGGCAAATAAAACCTCCCAATACTGTTGAGAGAGAAATGTTCTCACCTTGAGCCGACTCGAGCTGTAAAATAACAAGTGAACAGGTTTGACCACAGCTGTAGATTGGCTGCCTGGTGTAAATTAACCCTGACAACACGTGGACCTCTGCAAATGCTGTGTACAGAAAGTCTAGTGGCAAATTGTCCTAATACTTAACTTTAAGATTTTTGCATGCCAACACGTCAGCTGGGATATCAGAGATCTTTCCAAACAGAAAAACAAGTGTTTGAAGTGTATTAATATTGTATGTTGCAACAAGTTATTATATACTTTGTTGGAGCCATTTGGCATATCAGTAATTTATGTATTTTCTTTATTTGAATTTATGCAATGTCTGATTTGAATTATGCCTGTCATGTGTTTGAAGTTGTTTTTTGTTATTATCCGGAAGAATATTATGACCTGATACCTGACAGGCTGAGGTGATTTATAGGTGCGGTATGCCCTTTAATGAGGGGGATAGGTGAACAGGTGTTCACGAGAGCAGAAGGGCAAACAATTTTTCAACCGCACAACATAGAAATACATGCGACTAGTAGGCCTTCGAATATCTTTTGTCTATTCTTTTATTTTATTTCTATTTATATCTATTTCTTTCTATTTTTCTAGCCCGTTCTTTTCTTTCAATGAATAGATATTGAATCGTGACATAAGGAGAGAATGCTTGTTGATATTCTTGATATCCGGATCGCTTCTACATACCTACATTACATATACTGAATATATATCCAGGCATCTTCCTGCACTGGGGGAGAGCCTGGCCACCTTGGTGGGAGCCATACCTGTGGCGTTCCTGGAGCCCCACCTTAACGCCCACAACCCACTCTCTGTCTTCAACACCAAGACCCCTCGAGAGAGAGCAAGTGAGTTTCCAACTGATCCTCCTTTATATTTTGATTGTTATATTACTGTGGATATACTTTCAGTTCTTTTACCACTTTCAAAATCCAGATTTCTTTGAAACAGTTTGTCAGTTTGTGTCCAATCACAATGACTGATGTTTTTCTTTTCTAGTCCTCAGTATGCCAGACACAGTGGAGGAGATGTGTCCAGAGATGCCGAGTCTTGACAGACTCCTGAAAGACGTGAATGATGTCTCAGAGTCTGGTGCTCGCTACAGTGACATGCCACAGGTCTGAAGGGCTGATGGGATATTTGAATGTATACAAACTGCTGCATGTCTGAGCTGTTTAGACCTACAAAAAAAGATTCACTCTGATTTATAATGTCATAGAGCTTTTGGTGCCAAAAATAACAGTGATCTCCTCTTGATTGCCTCTTCTGTCATTCATACCTTCATTCATCCTGAGATTTAACCCTCAGCCTGTATACCCTGCAGGTCATTGAGGTGATCCTTCCCATGCTGTGCAACTATCTGTCCTACTGGTGGGAGAAAGGTCCGGAGAGCTCACCTCCAGGTTCCCAGTGTTGCACCATGGTGACCTCTGAACACCTCAGCATCATCCTGGGAAATATCCTCAGGATCCTCAACAACAACCTGGGCATTGATGACGCACCCTGGATGAAGAGGATTGCAGGTGACAGGCTCAAGGCTGTTAGAGAAATTAATGTGATCTGTCTGGGGTTCTCAATGGTCAAATTATGGTTTTAACAGTAGTGCAAAGTCAGGGGTTGTAATGAGTTCTTTTGGGATGTCAGGTAATGTCATTTTACAAATTGATCACTTTATAGAAATATATATCTACATTGCATGAGGTGCTGTTTTTCTACACAGAGGTAGAAACTAGCCTGTTCATCCTTTTCCTATTTGAAAAACATTAACAAACAAGGAAATGGTCAAATTTAAGGTCAAGGAAACACTTTAGTATGATAATAAAAACCCTTTTGAATAAGGCAACCCATATGGGAACCTGATAATAATAGTAATACATTTACATTTTTAGTGTCCATTTTTCAGTGGGAGTTCAAGAAAAGCCCAGTAACATAGTTGGCTGCTGAAGAAGCATGGCCTGAGGCACACTCACTTTTTAAACCCACATTTGAATATTGTACTTTGAACACATTTACAAACAAGAAAATAAGACAAGGGGAAATTCACACTGTATCCTATATTTAACTATTCTCTGGATAATATTTCCTGATGTTAGTCCCATTGCATTTGGAGAGACTGAGGTGAACAGCACAACTGCTGATCTTAAAAAAAGTTACTTAAGAAGAGTAGAGTAAAGTGAATGTAAAGTGATGACTGTAGTTCGATAGTTGTGACAGTTGACACCAGAGCCAATAACTTACATGGACACAAGGAAAACTCATGTCTTCTAAATCCAGGGTGTAAATCCTTCCAGACACCTGATTTATGATTGAAAGCATCAGTCTTTTTCATTGTCTCTGTCTCCAGTCTACTCTCAGCCAATCATCTGCAAGGCTGGAGCAGATCTGCTGAGAACCCACTTCCTGCCAACACTGGACAAACTAAAGAAGAAGACAGTGAAGGTGAGATCTTAAAATATACTGTACATGTTGTTACAGTTTTGACATTGTATCCGCTGCTCAGTAATACTTTTGCTGACTCCATTAATAGCTGCTGAACCTGTATTGTATATATGAAGCTGTCAGTAGTTGGAGGAGCTAGTCTGAGAACATTTTGCTCATTCACATCATCTTCTGAGAGTAAAAACACCTTTGTTCCACTTGCTGAATGAGGACGCAGAGATGGGATTACCACCATGGGGTTGGAAGGGGTCGTGTGTGAGGACATTTAGTCTAATGAATTGATTTCCAAAGATGAGCTGTTGATGTGCTGCGAACGTAGGTTGTGGCTGAAGAGGAGCTGCTGAAGGCCGACAGCAAAGGTGACAACCAGGAGGCAGAGCTGCTCATCCTGGATGAGTTTGCTGTGCTCTGCAGGGACCTCTACGCTTTCTACCCCATGCTTATCCGTTATGTGGATAACAACAGGTATGACGTACATGCTCACTTAGCTAGAATGAGCTTTCCCTTCTCCTTCTAGATATTATTGGGTATTTATGTATGTAGCAGATGTAGGCTGGTTTCAATGTGCGAATGCTTGCGTAGGATATGAGCTTCTTTGTTGTCCCTTTCCTTCACAGATATAACATGACATCCTGTGAGTCACTTGGTTTGTGTGTTTCCTCCACTCCAGGTCAAGGTGGTTGAAGGAGCCTGATGCAGACTCCACTGAGCTCTTCAGGATGGTGGCTGAGATCTTTATCCTCTGGTGCAAGTCCCATGTAAGCTTCACTGTATATATCACAATATGGCTTTTGATGGGAGGATATTGGTATTGAGGATTTATTTCCTAAGGAACCTCTTCTTTTTGTTCTCTTCATGCAGAACTTTAAGCGTGAGGAGCAAAACTTTGTGGTTCAGAATGAGATCAACAATTTGGGCTTCCTGACTGGAGAAGGCAAGGCAAAGATGTCCAAGGTAAAGATATAGGATAATACATAGGATGTGAGTGAATACACTAGATGTTTTTCTTTTCATTTCCTAGAACATTGGCACTATAATTTATTTGAGCCAGTCCCACATACGAAAACATCCTGCTGCTGCAAATACTCATCTGAGCACCACATGCATATTAATGTGCAACTGAAAGTAGTCCTTACATACTCCTGTGTTAGTAATATTTTCTAAAAACTACAGTGGCCAGCTGTTAAAGAAAATTAGTGAGGCTTTTTAAAAAATGAAACTTAATATTTGTGAACCTCTTTAAACATTTACGACTTTGGTAGGAATACCTTAGGGCTGAGTACCACAAAAGGCAGGACAGTCCAGAAGCATTTAGAATCACTGTGGTTTTGATGTTTGGTTTGTTGGGATTTATTTTAAAAAAAAAGCCAGCCTTATCCTTAAAAATATTAAAGACTGAATGGAAACAGCAATTGAGGAATTAATTTCCTTAAATTTTTACTACAGAACAGAAGGGAGCAACATTGACAAATATTCTCTTTGCTTGAACTTCATATAGGTCAGAAATTGAGCTCTATAAACCAGAAATGTCATTAACCTGCCAAGAAATACTCAAGATATTACTACTAATCTACTGGTTGAGATGATCAGACATTAAAAAAAAAAATCATCTTTGAGACCCTTTAGATTTGAAATGTTGAAATTGTTGATAACATTTACTCAGTAAAGGCGAGGCACTCACAGGCCTTCCAAGAAAAACTCTTTCCCTTCAGAGACAAACATCTTCATTCTGGATGAAATCTGTCTTGTTATAATGAACCCAAGAGATGGAGCAGAGTACATCTCAGTCCTCTCTGGGTTTAATTTGGACTCCTCTCACTTCTCTCCTGTTCCCCTCATCACTATGTCAGCACTTTAGAAAAGCACAACCTGAATACTTCTGGAGGGAATCCCCAAGCGTCCCTCTCCTTGGTACTATATTTCAGAGACTCTGCAAATGAAAGGAAAAGTCCTCATAAGCACTTTGCCTGTGTTTTTAATCAGTTCCCTGACATGCGCTGAACGAGTTGAATATGCAGATGTGAGATGTTCTACAAATCATCTGTATGAGTTCACACCTCTTAAATTCACCTCTACATCGAGGGTTTACGACATAAGACATTTCATATAGATATTTGTCGTAGTAAAGTTCGGTCATATATCTGGATGTTGACAGTGTTTGGTCCAGCAGCTGCTCAACTAGCTGTCACTGTGAGACTGTTTATGAGTTTTGGCAGAGCTGGACAGCTTATTTATTTGCACTGTTGAGCTGTTTTGACATGATCGCATACAGTGGAGAAAAAGTTCCTCAGCTCTTGATCCTGAAGGACTCTGCTGTTTATGTTGACGCAATCGGGGTCTCTAATATGTGATTCAAATTAATGTTAATGTTCAGAGGGTGTAACACACTTCCTGAGCCCTTACGGCAAGTCCTGTCACAGACAATATTGCCTATTATGCTATTTTAAATATAAAATTATCAAAATGCTGCTGAGTGAAAACTGGAAAAACCAACAAAACAGCATCATTCTGAAGTGAGCGATCAAAAACAGAGAATGTGATTACTTACTTTTACTTTTGGAAATAAACAAACAGTCAAACAAAACAGACAGCACTAGAAAATGTTTAAAAATGTCATTCATTTGTTGATATGTTATTTTCATTGGTGCTTGATGGTACACAATAGCATATTGTAGCATACAATACAAATCACAATAAAACACTGTCTCTCTCTGTAGTCAGGTGGAGACCAGGAGAGGAAACACAAGCGTCGCCGTGGTGAATACTACTCCATCCAGACCTCTCTGATTGTCGCTGCCTTGAAGAAGATGCTGCCCATTGGTCTCAACATGTGCACCCCAGGTGACCAGGAGCTCATCTCTTTGGCCAAGATACGCTACAGTCTGGTAAGCTGATGAAATATGACTTTTGCACAGAGCTTTTTGTTCTCTCTTAGTATTTAACTAAATAATGATAATTCATATTTTAGGGTAATGTTTTCTACGCAGAGGCTCCAACTTGTACATTTAATCTTTCTCTTATCACATGTCATCATATTCAGCCTTATCTCCAGTTATCCTAGGTCTTATAATTTCATTCACTGATAGATAATTTTAATGAAGTTGGAGTTGAGGCTCCAACAAAGTTAATCATTGAAGCTTCCTACAGTGCAACATTCCTAATCTTCTATCAAAGATACTTAATGAGATACAGTATATTGGAAGTCAGAATCACGCCTCTTGATCAGTCTTACGTAGCTTCGACTGTACTTGTACTGACAGGACTATCTTCAGTCTGCATGGTATGCTTTACCAGCAGTTTAACCACCACCATAACCATTTTTTTTTTGTTTTTGTATTATAGAGACCTCAGCTTCTATTTTATTTTGATAGGTTTTATCCAGAAAGAGTTGAAATAAATTAAGACAGAGCATGGACTTGATACCAATTTAAAATTCCTTTTTTGATGCAGTAGATATAAAGTATTTCTAGAATGACAAATGTTGTTCAAGTCCACTGTGATGGCTACTTTTACTTTTTAATGTATAACAATGGTTTAATAACACATTTTTCTATGTTATGTTGAATGTGCTTCCTTTCATAGAAAGACACAGATGATGAGGTGAAGGAGCACTTGCGTCAGAATCTCCATCTCCAGGACAAGGTAAGATGACGTTCTGTGTAGTTGTAATTCCAGTAGCAAGAGCAGTAAAAGGAATAATACATGCATCAGCACTGTTAAGTATATTGCTGTAGTTCAGTTATTGATTTGATTGTTCTTGTGTTGTAGTCCGATGACCCAGCAGTCCAGTGGCAGTTGGACCTATACAAGGATGTGGTGCTGAAGAGCGACCTACCTATAGACTCGGAACACACAGTGGTCCGTGTCCAGAGCATCTCTGCTGCAGTTTTCCATCTGGAGCAGGTAAAAGCACAGCCTTCACTTTAGACCTCTCATATTGACAAAACATCATTAAATATGGAAAATACATTAAACAATAATGGGGTTGCTATTCAGACATGCGTTTGATGACAGACATATCAAATGAGCTGATAAAGTATTAGCTCACTGCAGCACAGACGGCAGCACTTACTCTTTGTATGGAAAATGCCTATTGTAGATGACACACAGCCATAGCTTGTAGCGATGAAACACTTTGCTGATTAATTCATTATCCAATTCCAGCTTCTCAAAAATGTGAAGATTGAACCTTTTGAGGTTGTAGACTTTTGATCAAAACCGCCTTGGCAGTTGTGATGGTCTTTTTACACAATTATCTGACATGAGCTAAACAATTAAATGAAAAAGTGACCTACAAATGAATGGCTAATGAGAATAATTGTTAGTTGCAGCCTTGCATATAATTCTGAGACTATACTTAATGCATTATCACAATCTGTAAGGTATTGTCTTGATAAAATGCTACATAAAGCATCTTTTTATTGTAACTACACTGTTATTCCCAACGTTGCATCATTTCCTTGGCCCTAAGGTGGAGCAGCCTCTGAGGAATAAGAAGTGTGTGTGGCAGAAGCTGCTGTCCAAGCAGCGTAAGCGCGCTGTCGTGGCTTGTTTCCGCATGGCTCCACTCTACAATCTACCCAGGTGACTCTATTTTACACCTGTAACACTCACAGAACTGATATACAATGTCAATAATTAGATATTGACATGAACTATTTAAGCAACCGAGTTAAGACATTGCTTTGTCTCAATCTAACCGTACATAACAAGCAATCACCAAGTAGTCATGGGGGGGTGGGGCATTTTTTCTTGATTGTGTGCCCATGTAAACCCCTCATCACCTCCCTAATGACATTCTCTCCTCTGTGTTGTTTTTTTGCATAACACTACCTCATCCTCTCTCAGATACAAAAATAATAATTACTTCCTGAATGGCTATCGGGAGGTTTGGCTGGAAAGGGCATTCAAAGCCTCCAGCTTTGACCGCCTGTTCTCCCTGCTGACGGTAAAGTGAAACTACGGGGCGAATGCTTCATCTGTTCAACCCCCTACCCCCTTCATCCACCAGGCTGTGGACCGATCTCTGCCTAGCAACCAGTTGTTTCTGCACTGTTGATTCTGATTGGTCAGCTAGAATGAGCACAAGAATTGATGGAAACAAACTTATTTGGAAAGTGGAAACACACTGCAAGCTGCAGGCCTCTGTTTCATTTCAAGTGAACCCTGAAGGAAGGAATGAAGAAAGGAGAGAAGAAGAAAGACAGAAAGAAATCTGTTAAATACAATCTTGACTTTGATAAGTTGGCTAGATGGTTTACAACATTATGTTTGGTTACAGTAAAATATAAAAAGTTGTTTTATGTCATTTTGTTTCCTGCCATCTATTGATGATTTAAAGATTTGTTTTTTTATCTGACATTTTGTCAAAAGTTGTGCAGTTTTACAACACACACTCTTTGTTAAGGAATATGTGTCAATCTAATAATAACAAGAAAAAAACACAAATTGTTTCACAGATCTACTGACGTGTTGGAAAACTGTATATCCCTCCTAAAGTGTGCATGTGTAATGAATTTTACAAACCCGATGGAAGTAACTGCAGTTTCCAAATGTGACCAGTCAGAAGAGCCAGTGGGTCCCACATTGACCAATCACCACCCTGCCTGAACTGCACTTCCTGTAACCCCTTCCTTCCCCCTACATCTCTCCTTCCTTCCTCCTCCAAAAACTCACCAGAACCCGCCCTAATGCCACTGTACCTCCCTCCCCACTCCCCTCCATTCCTCCCCACCTCCCCCCTCCCCAGGCATCGCGCTATCAACCTCTTCATCCCGGCCTATGAGAGACTTTGGATAGAGGCAGAGGAGTACTCCTTTGAGGAGAAGCTAGTTCAGGATCTGGCAGTAAGTACTGGGCTCACCTTGCCCTCGTCCCGCGTGCCCTGCGTTGGCACCCCTCTGCCAGTCCTGTCTGCCAAATGCTTCTTTAGCTCCGCGCCTGTCGAGCCTTGGGAGTGCGCCCGGGTGGGGATGTCGCCCAAAGTGCCCAGGGGCCCCCACTCTAGGCGTGCAAAACCCTTCAAACAGAGATCCGTCAGGGGTCAAAGGCTGCATGACCAACTCAGGAGACACAGGGCCAGCTCCGGCGCTCACAGCTCTAGAAAAGCAGGCTATGCCTTTCTGACAGCAGTGGTAAGGAGGGCCTTTCACTACAGTAGGAGACTGTCACTAGCTGTTTGGCTGTCAGATCTGGATCCAACCCATCAGTTGTCTTTTCGCTGTACTCTGTAAGTCTGTAGTGTGAGTGTGAAGGTGACGTTACAGTACGTTTTGTGGCCGTGACGTCAGTGGCATGCTCGCGTAGTCATGTGAAGACCACATTTCATATTAGATCTTTGTATTCAGATGTGCAGCAAAATCATCGACACCAAAACTGTGAACAAACCATTGAACCAGATTAAAAGACAGCTTTAGATACAGTAGCAAAATTATCAGATTTACTGTTCTTGTTGGGAAGAAGATTATTTTTATTGTTTTATTCTACAAATCTGTCAGATCAGTTTAGACTGGAGATGTGTGTAGCTGTGATAGTCCCTCAATGTCAGGCTCCTTTACTGTCAGGACCATTCTTCATGTTCAAGTCATATCACCAAATGGCTTACTGCTTGCATCTGTTTGCTGTAACATGCATGTATTGGAGAACTGGTTCCAACACTGTTCATCATCCACTCTTAACTTTCCTTGTCTTGTCCTCTCCACGGATCACCAGGATATGACAAAAACCCATCTGCATGCCAGTGCTAGTTGAATGTTAATGACTCATTTCAGTGTTTTTGACAAATGTCGGTGAGTACGTGAAGATAAAGGAAATGTTGAATGTTGTGTTGGGATGACAAGTGATCACATAATACTTGGGCAGAGGTAACTGTTCACACCTGTGCATTCCTGCAGAAAACCCCCATGAAGATTGTGGAGGAGGAGGAAGAGGAGGTGGCTGAGATCCAGCCCGACCCTCTCCATCAACTCATCCTCCACTTCAGCCACAACGCTCTGACAGAGAGAAGGTGAGGGAGTATGAGAGTGAGTCTGTTACAGTGGACAAGCATTTTAATTTCTATGTTTCACAAGACACGTGCTTTTATTGTAGGATAAAATACAGTACACAAACAGTAATGCAGTGTGACTTAACTTTTTTCAGTTACTTGGAGGAAGATCCTTTGTATATTGCATATGCAGACATGATGGCAAAGGTAAAGGACTTTTAAATTCTGTTTATTGATAAATAATTCTGGTAAAAGTCTCTACTCTTGCTAAATAAAATGTAACTTGAGCTTTGAATGATGACCTTTGTGTCTTTAGAGCTGTGCAGAGGATGAAGAGGAAGAAGAGGAAGAAGGGAAAGAAAAGACATTTGAGGTACTTAAATTCATTCATAGCCCTCAGTAGCAACTTTTATCACAGGTAAAAATGTGCCTTTTTCCATTTACTCTGTGTGTGTGTGTGTGTGTGTGTGTGTGTGTGTGTGTGTGTGTGTGTGTGTGTGTGTGTATGTGTGTTCAGGAAAAGGAGATGGAAAAGCAGAAGATCCTGTATCAGCAGGCAAGGCTGCACGCCCGTGGGGCTGCTGAGATGGTGCTACAGATGATCAGCGCCAGTAAAGGTAATCATTATCTGATAATTTGTGCTCCAGTCAGCTACACAGCCAATTTACACTCTTATCCACTATTATCCTTGTTAGGCATGTCTTGTACAATGTTTTCTGGGCAGTTTAAAGTGAATGATCGAGACGTTCCTGCTCTTTTACAAGTACTTCAAGCTGACTAGTGGCCTTCTATGTGATGTTGGATACCAACCACCCATGGAGGAGGTTTTTCTTGGTCCACAGCTACTTAAAACATTTTATTTTTTACATATAATAATTAGTTATTTTATTTTTGGTAAATAATTTTTTCAAATGATGGCTAATCTTCAATTTAAAAATATATATTTCAAAAATAATATTAAGATAGATTAATGCAGAAGCCTCTGAATTTCCACAGGATTTTAATCCTTAGCATCTTTGTATCCTGAGTTTGACTTTCTGCTTTTATCTTACATTCTTCTTCTGCCATCAGGTCGTCTAGGCCCCATGGTGACCTGCACCCTCAAACTGGGAATTTCCATCCTAAATGGAGGCAATGTGCAAGTTCAGCAGGTCAGGACTACATCTGAATAATTTAGTATTGATCTAATTTGTTTTATTTATTCTTCTAATTCCTCTCTTTAGGTAACAATAATGTCTACTACATAGTAATTCCATACAGACTGTTCACCAGCTGGTGCACCATGTGGTCTTGACAGGAGCATGTTTAATGCTTTTCTTGTCTTTTATCACAGAAAATGCTTGTTTACCTGAAAGAGAAAAGAGATGCAGGGTTTTTCAAGAGTCTCTCAGGCCTGATGCAGTCTTGCAGGTACTGTGATATAACTGTGCTGCAAAAACAGGAAACCTGCGCAGACATCAAGTGCTTTTATTTTACTCTAGAATGTCTTTCCTTAGTGTCCTGGACTTGAATGCATTTGAGAGGCAGAACAAAGCAGAAGGTCTTGGCATGGTGACAGAGGAAGGTTCAAGTAAGTGAAAACATGTCTTATTAGATGTGCTACGTTATTTTCTACCGGTTTTCTCTTCTTAGACTTCTAAGCTCCACCTTTTTGACACAAGTTTGTGTTGAAGTTCAGTACATGCCTGTTGAAGCACCTGACTTTACTCTTGATCACAGGACACCAAAAATTTTCCACCCTTTTCCCCTGACTAAGCTAATGCTGAACCATGACAACTGTATAACCCCAGTGTCCATTCAAAGCTCTTATTAAATGCTAGTTCCTAATTAGTAGTTTCTGTATGGCCTCGGTAGTTAAAACAATCAAAATTGCATTGTTATAAATGTAAATTTTGATTAGTACAAATAGTTTGCTGCTTGCGCTACAGTCTTGAAGTCACTGAAGTCGTCAGTGTGGTGTCTTTAATGTCGTCTTTTGTAGTCATCAAAGCAGGAATGAGCCTAATATATTATATAACACTGTATTACTAAGTATGTACAGTGGAGTCCAAAAGTCTGAGACCACAAATGGGGAAAGCAGTCTCAGACTCTTAGACCCCACTGTATTCCAGGGATTTAGCAAAGGATAAACTTTCCCTTCTGTCAACTGGTGATATTGGGGGCATTGAGGTAGAGAAGAGTAAATATAAAACATGCAGTCACAGACGACATGGTCCAGCATTAATAGCAGAGCTTCCGTCTCGCTCCAACTTACAACAAAACACTCTCACCTGACGCCTTTCACATCAAACTATGTCCGTCTTTTCATCATTCAGCCCTCTGCTAAACATTTTCACCGAGTTCTGTGTTTAACAATTCACTGTTACTACTCGTGTCTCTGTTACCGTTATCAATTTTTCACCATGACTGAACTCTTATTTGATACTCATCTTGTTAGATGCAACATAGACACAACCCAGGCCTATGATTTATTCCCCCCGTCTGAAGCAGTTTTTTTAACTGCATGACTTTGTTTTTCACTCGTAGCCAGTATATTCATATCTCTTCGTATTGTAACTCAATGTCCTCTCTTTTTGCTTATGTCTTCGTGTATTGTTTGTCTCCTTCCTGTCATTTTAAAAACCCATCGATGGCAGTCCACACTGAGCGGGGTAAATAGCAAATTTAGATCATCCTGATATGGCTATGCTTCCACCTGGAATGTCTCCTCCACATCTGTGGTCCATACTCCCTGCTTTATTTCATACCAAGCCTCTTCCTCCCCCATGCCCAGATGTCTGTAGGGACACACTGTGCATGCCGACTGTTAGAGTGTACACAGAAAGTGGATCTTCAGAAACCATTGCCTGTCCTTTTGTGTGCTATTTGTTCCCATTCCCTTCATGTTAACATTTACTAATGCAAATCCTGTTACTGATGCTGAAATCTGTTCTAAGGCTATCAGTGCCATCTCCCACGGGTTTGACTGAAGGTCTGTGGACTCTTCCACAGCCTAAGCAAAGCTTTGTCTTGCTTTGGACTTGGGGCCTATTTCACAAAGCTGGTTTCCATACAGGTGTCTAACTTTCACATGGTTTTATCTGCTCACAGAAATGTATTTTCACTCATTTTGTATAGATCTGTTGACATGGTTATCTAGTTGATTTTTAAAGTGAATTCTGTAACCACGTCTGTCCAATGCTTTTTTTCTGAAATGATATCCCTCAACAGGCCCAATCCTGGCCTGCATGTGAAAGTTATCAGGCTTCCTCCAGCTTATGGAAATGTCCTAGTGTTTCACTGTTGTTTATGTAAGAGCATTTTTATAAAAAGCACTTTGGATTCAGTTTTGAACCTGCAATCTAAAGGCCCTGGACTTCAAAAATGTTTTGAACATGAAACCTGTCCTGCTTGCCTCATTAATTGCTTTTGAGGGGAGTTTCACATATTATAAGACCTCCTCATGTAGAGTAAATAAAGACTGAAATCACTCTGTGTGGGGTTTCAGCTGTATTCACCAAGATATATTTTCTCCCAAGGCTCCAAGGTGCTACAGAATGATGAGTTTACTAAAGACTTGTTCCGGTTTTTGCAACTTCTGTGCGAGGGGCACAATAGAGGTGAGGTTTCATTTATGTGTATTTTAAATTCATGATGCGTTTTCATCAACATGATTTTATATTTTATATACTATTGGACATTAAGAGGATGAAAGGATGAGAAAGAAATGACGAGACTGATGATAAAAAATATTTGTGTCTGTCAGATTTCCAGAACTTCCTGAGAACCCAAACTGGAAACACAACCACAGTCAACATCATTATCAGCACTGTTGACTATCTGCTCCGTCTTCAGGTGTGTAAAACACACATGCAAAGTCACAAGAATGTTGACCGTCTCCGAATTTATTACTGTTCTAACCATCATTATAACTGTATCAATTTGCTAATGTTATCCTCCTCTTTAGGAATCTATCAGTGACTTCTACTGGTACTACTCTGGCAAAGATGTCATTGATGATACAGGAAAAATCAACTTCTCCAAAGCTTTATCTGTAGCCAAGCAGATATTCAACTCACTGACTGAGTATATTCAGGTAAGAAGCTGAGCCCTCCGCAGCAATATTAGCAATGTTGAATCTGCAGTATAAGTCGCTAACAGCTATCATCAAATAGCTTATGTTTTTTTTTTCTCTTCTTTGCCATCATCTGTCTTTTCTACTTGTCCTCTTTCAGGGCCCATGTATTGGGAACCAGCAGAGTCTGGCTCACAGCAGACTGTGGGATGCAGTAGTGGGCTTCTTGCATGTATTTGCCAACATGCAGATGAAGCTATCTCAGGTAAACTAAACTCTTTTTGTACTTCTGCAAGATGTTTTACAAAAACTAAAAATAAGATATGTTAATAAAAATCTGTCTCATGTCACAAATATCCATTTATATGTAACTCATGTTGGCTGTAACATGGAAATAAGATATATCTTTGGAAATCACTAGAATACATAGTTGTAGTTACAAGAAGTAACTAGACTGATACATTGACATGGCCAATATTTTCAGCCCATTTCAAAAAAGAACGATGAAGTCCTAACAGACCTTTTTAAACTCCCAAATATTAAAAACACTATGTATTGGCCTCCAAAATCCTGTATCAATCAGGACCAGGTTCCATGTGCAACTATGACATATTTATAGATGTACAGATTATGACATGTGAAAGTATATGTTACTTCACTAGGTAATTCACTAAATTTTTACCAAACTAATAATGAGCCTTTATTTGAAAATGCTCTTGTAGATGAGGCGTTAACAATAAAACTTTGTGTCCCAGTGAAGCTTTAAGAAAATGTCTCTTATCTCCCTTTAGGATGCCAGTCAGATTGAGCTGTTGAAGGAGCTGATGGACTTACAGAAGGACATGGTGGTCATGCTGTTGTCTCTGCTAGAGGGTAAGAGCCTGAGGCTGCCATTCAATGACTAAGAAATTATGAGAGACAGTGTAAAAGTCATTGTTGGCTTAACATCTTGACATATCTGAGATGAGTCTACTACGTGTCTATATTGTTTTGAGTAAAAGTTATGGACTACATAATGCATTTTGTGTTTTATTTCTGAAATGAATGTTGTTCCCTCCTCAGGTAATGTGGTGAATGGAACAATTGGAAAACAGATGGTTGACACACTGGTGGAGTCTTCTAACAATGTTGAGATGATCCTCAAATTCTTTGATATGTTCCTCAAACTGAAGGATCTAACAACCTCTGACAACTTCAAGGAGTACGACCCCGAGTTTAAAGGCATTATTTCAAAGAAGGAGTTCCAGAAGTCCATGGAGAGTCAGAAGCAGTACAGCCAGTCTGAGATTGATTTCCTGCTCTCGTGTGCAGAGGCAGATGAGAACGATATGTTTAATTACAAGGAGTTTGTGGAGCGATTCCATGAGCCAGCCAAAGACATCGGCTTCAACGTGGTAGTCCTGCTGACCAACCTGTCTGAACACATGCCACACGACTCTCGACTCGCCACCTTCTTGGATTTGGCAGAGAGCGTGCTCAGCTACTTTGAACCTTACCTGGGTCGTATTGAAATCATGGGCAGTGCAAAGCGCATTGAGAGGGTATACTTTGACATCAGCGAGTCGAGCCGTGAACAATGGGAGAAGCCACAGGTCAAAGAGTCCAAGCGTCAGTTCATCTTTGATGTGGTCAATGAGGGCGGAGAGAGTGAGAAGATGGAGATGTTTGTGAATTTCTGTGAGGACACCATCTTTGAGATGCAGCTTGCTTCACAGATCTCTGAGCCGGATGAGGTTGAACAACCTGAGGAGGAGGAAGATGAGGATGGACACAGCATCCTGGAGGAGCTGGCTGCAGAGGAAGGAGGTGCCCTGGAGTCTGCCTCAGCCTTCTCCACTGCATGTTGCGCAGTGAAGAAGAAGGTTGCGCATGTCCGCCAAATATTTTCTATTAAAAACGTACGCAAGCAGTTCAAGAAAATCAAGAAACTGACCATCAAGGAGATTATCACAGGCTTCTTCTCCTTCTTCTGGATGCTCTTCACTGGCTTCTTTAAGGGAATCTACAGTCTCATCTTTGGTTTCTTCCACGTCATCTGGTCCTCCATGTTTGGTGGTGGCCTGGTAGAGGGTGCCAAGAACATAAAGGTGACGGACATCCTTGGGAACATGCCTGACCCAACCCAATTTGGTATCCATGGAGATGTGATAGAAGGAGAGAAAGTGGAGGCTATAGAGTCATCAGGAAACTTAGATATAGCCATGGCACCAGCAGGGGACATAGCAGAGGTGGACATGATGCTGGAGATGCTGACGATGCCTAAGAAGGAAGGAGGGAAACATCTGGAGCCTGGCCTGGGTGACGTTTCTGAGCTGAGTGCAGAGACGTCCACTACTGATCAAAAAAAGGTTTGCATTCAATATTCAATAACTTCCTTTGTGTGATTAATGATTTTAAACTCTGTAGAAACCTGCCTTTCATTATCACTACCATTCAGTCTCACAGCTCATTGATATGTATAACACTCTCAAGCAGAAAGCTGCTGCCAAGCCTGTTGAAACTCCTGAGAGCGAACCAGAAAAAGCAGAGTGAGTATAACTGAAATTAATTATCATACAGAATAAAAAAAGAACTGTTAAGTAAAAACTATAATGACTACTACAGCACAGAGAACCAGGAGAAGGAGGATAAGCCAAAGGAGGAGGAAGCTAAGGAACCGGTGACAGAGGAGAAGCCCAAGACCAGATTGAGCCAGGCTAAAGAGCCGGCGCCTGCCTTCATGTCCAATATCTTTGCTGCTCTGGACATCTACCTGACCAAGATGCTGGTGAGGCCGGACACTGTTCTTTCAGATGGATTTCTTTGTAGCTTTGCTTCTGACAAATTCTTCAATTAAATCTTTTGGGACTCATTGTTTATTCTAATAATTGTTTCTGAAATATGAATTGTCAATTATAGAACAGTCATGAGCTGGTCTATTCTTTTCGTTACAGAACTACCTGGCTCGTAACTTCTACAACCTGCGTTTCCTGGCTCTGTTTGTGTGTTTTGCCATCAACTTCATTCTGCTCTTCTACAAGGTAACCAAAGCAGAGCTGCAGCCATTAGTGGATAGATGGATTGACTGATCAACAGAAAATTCTGATCAAGTCAAACAAGACTACTATTCTGACCAGAACTTGAGTGTCAACTTATTTGAAATACTCCTGTCATGAAAAAAATTAAGCTAGTGTGACAGTTAAGAAGTTGGATTTAGTCACTTGAAACAGGTATTTTCTGCTCATGGCAGAGGGGTACCAAAACTGTAGTTTTTTAGTATAGTATAATAGTTACTAATAGCTCAAAAAAGCATTTGAGGGAATCTGACACACAGGTGTAAGAATTGTATAATGGGGAAAAAATGTAAAAATTAATAAATAAAATGCTCCAGATTGCAGCAATTTTTATTTGTCTACATGATATGTTTCTCTCTTTAGGTCACTGGTGAAACTGATGAGGACACTGATGATGAAAACCAATGGGGTGAGGAGGAGGAAGATCAGGACACACTTTTTGACATGGATGAGTTTGTGCTTCAGGAGAGCACTGGCTACATGTTACCAACGCTGCGCTTCCTGGCTATATTCCACACTGTCATCTCGCTCCTCTGTGTGGTCGGGTACTACTGTCTGAAGGTGAGTATATTTATGATGCTCTTACTGCTTTAAAAGTCTGTCTTCACATGGCTGAGCGTAATTTCTTTGCAGATGATACCATTGTTTATGTGAAGTTACAGTTTTAGTTACCCATCTTCAAATTTTGCTTTTAGGTTCCTTTGGTGGTGTTCAAGAGAGAGAAGGAGATTGCCAGGAAACTTGAATTTGATGGTCTCTACATTACTGAGCAGCCGTCTGATGATGACATCAAGGGCCAGTGGGATCGACTCGTCATCAACACCCCGTGAGTTGTTCCCAACATTAACATGATCATTTAACATCTGGATCATTTAACAACCTTTTTTAAAATATAAGGAAAATAAGTATTTAAATTTCATTTAACATAGCTGTTTAAACAATTTAGCCAATAATTTGTAAAGTGAACATTATTGGCAAAATTATGTAAGCACTTTTTTTGGTTATAAAACTGTGGACTGGAGGATTTATTTTCATTGGCAAATGCAAAACAACTAAAATACGATATGTCCAAATTTTTTAGGTCTATATGTGCAAAACAGTTGAACAAGAATAATAAAAACATGCACCGCTTACAAGGGAATCATCATCATGCATATTTAAAAATAATAAATCTGTCAGTAGCTGATGCTTTAACTAAAGACAAACATGCAATTTAATGATCGCTTTGTGCACAGACAGGACAGAAACTGAAAGTGTCATTCACCTGCAGTGTTTGTGTTGATGACACATCAACCTGATATCTGCAGACAGCTGTTAGCTAGTGTTAGCTACTTCCATGACCTTACATCTCATACACAGAGAGAATATCCTCAACAAACACAGGGTTCAAATCAGTGTGCAGTGTTTTCTCAGTCTCGCCCTCTCACAGATGCCATAGCGGATTTGTTCAAAAAAAGGAGAAACTTAGATCAATCAGTAAAGAAAACAGTCACTAAAATAAAGCATACAAATAACATCTAAACTTTCTAGTTGAGGCCAGAAGAATTAACTAATAGATGTATTTTATCTAACAGCTACACCAAGTCCTAATTCTACATTTCATTGCAGTTCTTTCCCCAACAACTACTGGGACAAGTTTATCAAGCGCAAGGTGAGTAGAGAGACAGTATTTCTGTAAGATACTGTGACTGACCTGTTCTGATGAACTTGTGCATGATATAGAGTTATTAACATCTGTCAATGTTGACAAAGTAGTTACAGCTGATTCACCTGATTTCTTAGACACAAAAATATAAGATAGAACTAAATATGTAGTAATTTTATATCTGGATTCCAGGAGACTCATATCAGGAGTTGTTGAAAGTTTTCATATTCAGACTGCCTAATTTAAGATTTTGTTCCAGGAATCCATGTTAGAGGATTGTTGTTGTAATATATGCAGTGATGGTGGTGTTTCATACATTCTCTGAGATAAAAAGTAGTTAAACTGCAGTAAAATTCAACTCTCGTTTTCATTGCTGTTTGGTGTGTGTGTGTGTGTGTGTGTATGTCTATAGGTGATCAACAAATATGGTGACATGTATGGAGCTGAACGCATCGCTGAGCTCTTAGGCCTGGATAAGAGTGCTCTCGACTTTGACCCCACAGTGGAGACTGAAGAGAGGGAAGCCTCCTTGGTCTCCTGGTGAGAAGTCAATCCCTCTTACTACTCCAGTATGGATGTGGACATGAAAAGTGAAAGTCTTTGTGTTTATATAACATGACGTTTATGTATATGCAGACAGGGTGACTTTTTAGACTCTAGTGGCCAAGAACAGGCTAAAAAAAAAGAGACATATCAGCACTAACCCAGGTCATCATAGACTGACATCAGCTGGGGTAGTTAAAGTTGGCTTGGCTCAGGCCTGGAAGTTTGACCATTCCCTGACCTGAACATGTGCACTGATGCTAGTGGATTCAGGAATTAAAGTCAATCCCTGAGTTTAAACACAAGTATCTCCACATTTTACCGATAATTAGCAGGACATGGACAGAGTGAGTGGAATATCAGCTCTTACTCCAAATTGAACACAATATATTTATAGAAAACCAGACTGAACTAACAATCTTATGTTCCTCAAAATATCAACTACATCTCTAGATATTATTTGAAGTTTGCATGCTAGCAACACCATATCGTTTTCTCATTGACAGGCTGAGCTCCATTGATACAAAGTACCACATCTGGAAGATGGGTGTGGTTTTGACTGACAACGTAAGTTTATTTAATGTATACTAAAAGCACTTTGTATTCACACTACTGTGGGGGAAATAATGTTTCAGTTGTGATCAAGGTTAACAAAGTTGTTTTGTAACCTGTTTAATCATTTTCCAGTCGCAATTAATAACAGAAATAATTAAAATAAGAGTAACGCATAAAAGAAATATAGAGTAAAAAAATTAAAGATAAACAAATTACATATAATGCAATTTAAATGATAGAAATGTGTATATTCTCTGTGTGTAGTCACTGCAATTTTTCAGTATATAAAAATGTAAAATCTACATATGTCAATATGTACAATAGTATTGCAAACTATACAATAAAAGTGCAAATATAGAGAGCAATGCAACCACCATTAAACCTATCATCTTTCACTAATGAGTGGCCTTCTGTCCCTGCAGTCCTTCCTGTATCTGATCTGGTACACCACCATGTCCATCTTTGGACACTTCAACAACTTCTTCTTTGCTGCTCACTTGCTGGACATCGCCATGGGCTTCAAGACCCTTCGCACCATCCTGTCTTCTGTCACTCACAACGGGAAGCAGGCAAGTAGTTCAACCAGCAGAGGGAGGCAGAGTACAGATTAGAAATTCAACAAGTCACTCCACACTAATCTTTGTCTGGTAGAAAATCTTTTTCTCAAAACTTGAATATGCCCTTTTTAGTTAGAAAGTCTTAAAATTTGTAAAACATTTATGGGGTAGACTCTGCTTTTCTGTAAACAATCTGCATCTATATGTTCTCTGTGTTAGATAAACAACTAGCATGATGATTCATACTGAACACCAACATAATCAAATCAAGAAATTAACTTCTGGGAAAAAGGAAATAGACACAGTGGATATCTATTAAGACTCAGTCATCCAAGTCACAGGATATTTAGAAATGAACAGTCATGAGAAATAAATTATAGGAATTAAATACAAATAAAAAGGTGACTGGATTTTCTGTTTTATTCTTGAGGGTGTTAGGAATGAGTCATTCACAGTTTGATGTGAGAAATGTATTTTATGGTAAAGGTGAAGCAGCGTTGAAGTAACTTGTATCTGGTTTTGTGGATTTGCTTCTCACTGTTGCTGCTGATATGTTGTTATAAATGTGGTCACTGAAGGAAAAAGACTGGTTTAAACCAGTAACCTCCTATAAGGGGTACTCATAATCCCAAAGGGGGTACTCCCTGCAATTGCCAGGGGTACTTTTATTGTAGAATAGGTCAAAATAGAAATTACAATCTGATTGTAAAAACTACTCAGATGATGAGTCCACTGTAAGACCTGAAACACAAAGTGTTTAAAGGAGGTAAAAACTAGTTGGATGATGAGCAGGTAGGTGTTACAGTTAGCTAAACTGTTTTTCATAAATTGCTGAAATAGATGCTATCAGTGATACATAAACAGATCTGATAAATAATTACCTAAAAGGAATGGATAAACATTTCTTGTAGGTAATTATTTCAGCTGTTCAGCAAATTATGTAAATAACTACCTACAAGGAATGGATAAACATTCTTTGTAGCTAATTATTTACATAATTTGCTCATTTGCTTATAGTTTACATAATTAGCTAATTTACAGTCAATAAATGCTCAAATAATAGTTTAGCATTTAATAATATTTGAGGGTCCATCTGACAAAAAAGCTTGGGAACCAGTGGTTTAGACGATCAGTCTGACAGTGAACAGTATGCATATGTAAATTGCAGGGCATCAATGGGGCATTAAGCAGTTCTGTCTCCAAAGTCATTGAATTCTGATTAAAGCTGCCCTGAAATCCTCGATTCAGCTGGAGAGGCCTTGAAAACCTTGCAGTTCTTTTGTGAACCACTCTCCCCATGAAAAAAAAGTCATGTTTATCCAGTTCTGCAAAAAAATTACCCTCAAAATCTACATTTAAACAAGACAAGGCACAATCCTTTGTGCTTCCGAAGAGGCTGCTGTCTCCTCAGCTTTCAGCTCAAATTGTCACTGGGAATAAATAAAGGTCAAATAAATTGTTTCAGAGCATCTAAGCACCAGATTTTAATGACTTTTCTCTCCTTCTAGCTTGTGCTGACTGTGGGTCTGCTGGCTGTGGTCGTCTATCTCTACACTGTTGTGGCCTTCAACTTCTTCAGGAAGTTCTACAATAAGAGCGAGGATGAAGACGAGCCTGACATGAAGTGTGACGACATGATGACGGTATGCCTGACCACCTCCCACCTCCCTCTATTGATTTATGAAATAAGAGACAAAATTGAAAATAGATGACTGAACCCACTTAATCCTGGGCAGAGTAGGAACCAGAATGATGTCTTAAACAAATGAAATACAAGTTTTCCATCCTCGGTTACCACAGAATAAGATATAGCTGCACTTTACACTCATCATTTCAGCTTAAAAAATTGTGAAATGACTTAAGCTGTATGTGTCTTCCTCTTTCCTCTTCATAGTGCTATTTGTTCCACATGTATGTCGGTGTGAGAGCTGGAGGAGGTATTGGAGATGAGCTGGAGGACCCAGCTGGAGACCCTTATGAGCTCTACCGCATCCTGTTTGACATCACCTTCTTCTTCTTTGTCATCGTCATCCTGCTGGCCATCATTCAGGGTACACAACCTTTACTATTTCATTTCATTTATCCTGGGGGGGTTCTCACATTTAGCATTGCCTTACAGAGCACAAATACAGGTGGAAATTAGATGAGGAAATGACTTCTTTATTGCCACATTCATCAGTCTCGTCATGTATTCTACATCAGTTTAATAGTTGTGTTATAGGGTGTGTTAAAGTGCTCTCCTCATAGACTGTTGCACCCTCCTTCAGGTTTGATCATTGATGCCTTTGGTGAGCTGAGAGACCAGCAGGAGCAGGTGAAGGAGGACATGGAGGTAAGATTCGGGTCCAGCCAAGGTGGAAACTGTGTATTAGGAGGAACAAAGACAAAGGTCTTTTTATAAAGTCATATGCTGATGCAGAGATGTGGAAGAAAATACTGACATTAAAATACTAAGGGTGCTTTCACACATATTTGGTGCAATTCAAACAAATTCTCGTGCATTTGCCAGGTTAGTTTGGGCTGGTGTGAAAACTTAACTTTGTTGCAAACTAAACAACCGGTCTGAGATCACCTGTAAAAGCAGGATCGCGGTTCGATTCCAGACAAACGCTGGTGGAATTTGTTTCTGGACTAAATGCAGCAGTAGTAGTGGTAGACTGTGACTGATCGTAAGAATGTCGAGGAAGCAACATATAGTACTGTGCAAAAGTTTCAGGGATTAAAAGTAGAAATGCTACCAAAAATAAGTCCATGAATAGTGTTTTATTAGTTACCCTCAAAAACATAAAAATATTTGATGTGACCGTCCTTTGCCTTTAAAACAGGTCACAGCTCCTCTGTGGATTTAGGCCGTCTCAGTGTCCTCTGTCTCCTCATATTGAGATCAGGGCTCTGTGGGGGTCAGACCATCTGTTGCTTACTGCGCTGACGATAGTTCTTTATGACTCGGGCTGTGTGTTTGATTTTGGCAGTTCCTCATTTAAAAGTGAGTTGAACTTAGCAGCCACAGTTTCTATCTTCCTCTGTATCACAGTAAGGTGCCTGTTTGTTTGTCATTATTCATTAAATGGGATGAGTTGCAGTCCCAACTAATAATGCTCATAATAAATTATCATTATTTTTTAAATAAACACTGTAGTCATTAAAATGCAGCATGACTTAATGTCAGTCACCAGAGTTGGATTTGGGTCAGTGTAGAGTTGATAATGAAGGATCATCACCAGAACTGTCCAGTGAAAGTGTTACAGATCTAAGACTTGAGATGTAGCTCTTGTTTCTTTTATCTAAAAAAGTCAGTTTGAACACAAAGCAGAACTAAAAGGCAACAATAAATCATTTTCTTTCTTCTTAGTCCCCAATTAACAAAACTACAGGTGTGAAAGCACCTGAATGCAGCAGGAACAAGAGTGTTATGTGTAAGTTGACCTCCTGTACCCTTGTATCAACATGTAAACATCCCCTCTCACTCTTCTTTCAGACCAAATGCTTCATCTGTGGCATCGGCAACGACTACTTTGATCGGACGCCTCACGGGTTTGAAACCCACACCTTACAAGAGCACAACCTCGCCAACTACCTGTGAGTGCAGCAACACATAAAATGACTTAACTTCAGTAAGTCAGAAGTCTTCCAGATTTACAACAGGAGCATATTTCACAACACTCGTGTCCTCCCATGTGCAGGTTCTTCTTGATGTACCTGATTAACAAGGACGAGACTGAACATACGGGTCAGGTATGTGACAGGAGTTTCAGAAAATATCTTTCAGCCTCAACTTTCTTCTCAGTTGCATTTTATTCTGTTCAATGCGACATAATTATGTCTGATCGATCTCAAGAAAGCAAAGAAATAAAATCCTGCACATCAGCTCCAAAGTCGGTAGGTTTTACTTGTGCAACATTTCAACCCACTTGATATGTTGCATAAGTGCAGCTTAGCTGGAGGAAGAAGCAACGCGTGGGTTTGCTTCGACTTTTTTTTTTTATATTAACTTGTTATTGTCCTGCACCCGAGACCCAAGGTATTTTTTATTTGATGTGTACACACTGTTCTCATGTCACAAATACTGAAGGAAAAGAAAAGGTTTTTTTTTCTGGAGTTCCTTCACAAATTCACCTACAGCTATGAATGATTGTTTCTGTAGAAAACATGAACAAAACATATGGATCGAAAAGGAATTAAATTGGTTCCTACAGCATAGCTCAGGGTACTGAAGTATAAAACATTTATTGATCATTGCCCTAAAAGCAACTGAAGCTACAACCCAGTAAAGGGTCACTTCATCCTAATCAAAAACATGTTTTCTATTTTCCCTCTAGAGGTATCTACCCATGCAGACAGTTGTGGTTTTCCAATATCTCAAAACCTGGCCAAATATTACTGTAACTAATCTGTATGGCAAGACATGAAGCAGAACTCTTGGAGAGTAACTCTGGTGAACTGATGCTTCAAAACTTAATTAATCAATTAGAGCCGTAATTTTTTTTTTGTCCCCTTTCCTCCTCCAGGAGTCATATGTGTGGAAGATGTACCAGGAGAGATGCTGGGACTTCTTCCCTACTGGGGACTGCTTCCGTAAGCAATATGAGGACCAGTTGGGTTAGAGAGGTGGGTCAGACTTGTGTATTGCCCCAAACACCCCTCTCTACTTTCCTTCTATCTGAAAGAGACAATGAACTTGACTTCACCATTAACACAACTTGAACACTCGCTGGACTTTCTCTGCTGCCATGGTGTCGAAAAATGTGAAGAAGAGAAAAAAAAAAAAAATCATTTCATTTTGAATTTAAATACACGTAAAAAGATAATTTAAAGAAAATAATTTTAAAACTTACAACTGATGAGTGGACGTTTGTGCATCCAAGTCCTCTTCCTTGTTACCGAAAACCGTCACTTGCCACGACGCCTCTTTTATGCAAAGTCTTCTTTTGATTCTGATTCACATTGCCTTTTCACTTGCTTAACCCCAACCTGTTGCACAATTTGTTGTGTGTAGACATTTGATACACGTGGAGGGTTACAGCATGACAACTGAATGTCTGAATATGCACATTTTCTAGTTTTAACGCCAGGATGTTAGTGTCACTTATCAAACCAACAGAATGGATGTGTGCTGCTAGTGTCGATCCAGTTAACATCAAATGAAATGAGTGAGACCTGCTCTGCCTTTCAACGCTGGTTCAAATCTGTCTGATGAAATGAAGATGGTTCTTCCAGGACCAGAGACGACTCACTTTACGTGTTTATCAAGAGCCGATGTGCCTTAAGAGAAACTATGCAAAAAAAAAAAACAAAAAAATCATTTTTGTCCCTCCTGACACAAGCTGTGTGCTAGTTCTGGATTAGTTACAAGCAGATTTAGCTCAAGTTAGTTTTGTGGCTTTTACATTTAAAAAAAAAGAAAAGAAACATTTGTTGTATAAAATATAGATGACCCTCGTGTAAATGTTGCTTAGTTTGGTTTTGTTCCTAAGCTGTGGTGTCCTGCCCGCCTGCACTTCTTTCCACAGTAGAAGAACCCCACAACAAGAGGAAACCGAAAAAAACAAAACTTGGTTCAGGGATTTATTGACGACAAGATGGTTAACTGCTGTTGTATGGCCATTTGTATGTATGTAGTAGCTTTGGTAAACCGCATTTCTTTTAATGATGGGGAGGAAATGAATAAATTAATTGACGCAATAAACCAAACGTGTTTGTGACCTCTTTCACTGTCCGTCCATTACACACTCTCTTGAGAAAATTCTGTCTCTGAAGGTGCAGAGGGAACATTGTGACACATTCTCACAAACGTTCAAGATGTTCTGTCCCGTCTCTGCACCTCCAAACATATCGTCTCTCATTAAGCTCCAGAAACAAAGCGGAGGCTAATGTGAAGCAAAGTCCTTCAGCATGTGAGGTTAATAACTGGCTTTAAGGCTGAATGTTTCAAGTAAATTTCTGTTTGGTCTTGATAGGATTTTTAAAAGGACAAAAGCCAAAGCAGAGGAGGTTCAAGTCCACTTTCCTTTACATACTTCATCAAGTCTGTCCTGGATCATTGGTGGTCAGGAGATCATGCTGTCGAGCCAGTCCTCCAGGTCCTCCTCTGTCATTTCCTGCTTGACGGAGGCCTTTGGAGGTGTGACATCTTTGTTTTTCATCTCCTCCGTCTTCTCCTCCAACACCTCCGGTGCCGCCTCCTTCATTTCGGCACACACTGCAAATTAAAAAGAACACAGGGAAGATTTTGACTCTAAAGCTTTGAAGACTTATTTTCTCATGATATGAGATTGTCTTTAACTTTTTCCATTAAATTTCTGATGAATCTGGTGAATTTAAAGCAAAAGTTATGATTTTGGAAATTTTCTTGTTTGTTTTATGGCAGAGAGTTAAATGTGAGGATGAAGATCACTCTCCTGTCAGTTAAATATGGAGTTCAAGCCAGCAGCTGCTTTGCTTAAGACTGGCTCGGTCCAAAGGCAACAAATCTGACTACCAGCGTCACAGAAGCTCATTAATTAACACATATCTTGTTTAAGATACACACAAGAACAGAGGTATAAACAACAATTAGCCATTAAACAGTGGGTTACGCGCCTGACCATTTCTCAGCTCTAAGCAGCTGTAGCTTCATATTTATCAATCTCATCGAACTCTGGCAAGAAAGCAAATAAGTGTTCTTCACAAAATGCTCCACAAAGATCTTGGAAAACAAAAATAAGTTACAAATGGGAGAGCGATAATAAACTCACCTTCCTCTGGACTGACTCTCTCCTCATCTGTAACACTGGCAGACTGGTTTCCTACAACACCTGAGACTGGTTTTTCTAAACTGAGCAGCTGGTCCAGCTCTTCATCACCATCATCCTCTGGCAGCTTGGAAGCATTTGAGGTGGACACTGGGTTTGTAGCCACGGGGACTTTCTGGTTGATGCTGAGACCTTTAAAAGTTGTGGACGGAGGAGTGAATGTGGACGTTTTGGACATTTCTTGTTTAGGTGCGGGGCTCACTGTGGGCAGCTCTACTGGAGTCAGGACCTGAAACATCAGGATTAGTGTACACAAAAAAAAAATGACAGTAGGTTTTACTATTATTATATTATTATACTATTTTCAAATCGATCAGATAAAAATAATCACTTTTAAGGAGCTGTCAGTGAATCCAATCTAAAAATTATATTTATTATTTTTACGATAGAATTATACGAATTAATGTGCAGCAAAAAGCATTCTCAGTTAATTTTCTTACTTTACCGACCCCTGAAAAGAGAGTAGAGCTGCAACTATTAGTCAATGGACAGAAAATTGATCTGCAATTGCTCTTACAATGGATTATTTGTGTTTTCAAGCCAAAATGCCGAACACACTGGTTTCAGCTTTTCAAACGTAAGGAATTGCTGTTGTTCTTATGTGATATATGACAGTTGAACATTGATGTTGATGAAAAAAAACAAACTGAAGACATCACTTGGGGCTAGCAATTAATCAATAATGAAAATAATTGTTGGTTGGTACAAGAGAGAATTTCCTTATGAGCTACAAGGGCCTGCTGGATGTCAGCTGACACAGGGCCGAACAGAGTGCGACTGAGCTTTTGCTGTCAGAGGTCCTACCTGAACCAGCTCGGCCTCCAGGTTGAGTCTCTGATGCAGAGGAACCCGTTGAAGGGTCTGGGCAAGAGCTGGGAGGTCCACGAACCCCGCTGACATCTGCAGAGAAACGAAGCGTAAAAGCAGCTGTTTGCAGCCAGACTCCAGATGTTTGTAGGTTGAAGATGTAGAAAACAGTTTAAAGCCACATTTAAATCCCACTGGATTTCCATCAGGATATGGAATCAAAAGTATTTGGAGCATTATTCTAACATGAGGCTTAAACAGCAGTAAGTATCCAAGCATGAGAAAACTTGTTTGTGAAATTTTCTGTACTGTTAAAAGTCGTCTACTAAAGCAGGTCGGTACTTGCTTGCACATAAGAGAAACAAAACAATGTATCTCTGACTCTACACAAGAAATAGCAAGAGGTCAGGAAGCCTTATATAATCTGAATGTGTTTGTTGCACTGCTTTGTATCCACAGACAAAGACGAGTGCTGGTAGAGTCAGGATGAGTGATGATAAACTCACAAGCTGTCAGTTCTGATATTCAACATCATTCTATATTATGTTCTTTTAAAAACTGAGTGAGTCATGTGGAGGTGGAGCAAGGCTACTTAAATGTCTCCTTTGTAGTTCATTTTGTGATGAAGCCATGAATATTTCACAGGAAAGATGAAAACTGACCTGCTGGTTGTACAAAGATTAAAAAGTCAGAGGATCATTAAAGTCATTTGACGTCATCCTCTGGCTTTCACAAATGTCTGCACGAATGTTTCACGTCAATCACACTTTTTCAAGATATTTGAGTCTGGACCAAAGAGTTGGAGGAACCCACCAACACACACTGACAATTCTACATTAGCTCCTTCTACTTTCTGCATTTTAACCCAGATGTAGTGTCCGCTGGAGGAAAAGTGGGTTAAATCCATAAAAGACGAACAAACAATGCAGAGTGCTGCAGATTGGCATTGGAATATAGATTTACCTGACTGGCTGTAAATAAGTCCATCTCCCAGTCTTTTTCCTCTGCAAGGCGGAATTGAGTGAAGGAATCCCCTGAGAAAGACAAAGAAACAGAGTTTGACTCATCACTGCTGCAATCAACTCCCTGCAGTGCTGTTAGTTAACTGTAGCCTGTGTGTGATGATCAGCTTTACACACACACACACAACACACACAACACACAACACACACACACACACACACACACACACACACACACACACACACACACACACACACACACACACACACACACCTGACATGTCTGAAACCTTAAACCAGTGTTTCTGTGGAAGGCAGTCAATAGCTTAGTGTAAACTGTTGATCCGGGTGAGCGCTAAAGCAGCGCCAACACGTGACGCTGCTCTGCTTCCAAAACATCACCAGGCTGAGGGCTCTTACAACTACGGAGACTGAGGCCGTGTTGTTATTAAGCAGCAGTGACAGGTGAAGACTGAACCTGATCACACTTCATCAGAGCTGTTTAGGTGTGATGGAGGAAATGGAAACAAATGAGAAAACTGCTCTGATGAACCTTTGAGTTGTCTGACTGAGCTACAGAGGAGAGCACAGTCAAAACACAACACCCAGTACAGCTGCTCAACAGGGACACTGTGTCAGATGTGAAGCACCACTCGGTGAGCTCGCATCATTTTGGGTGGAATAAACAGGGTGGTTGAATATTTTTAGATGTGGCAGAGAGAGTCTTTTACATGTTTCAGTGTTGGACAGTTAGCCAGGCCATTTCTGTAGCAACAACGTGGAGAATTGCTTTATTCTTTGAAAGGGATCAGATCAGTATTTTGGGAAATAAACTTGTTCACTTTCTTTCTATGAAACGATCAACTAAGAACAATTAGATGAGATGAATGATATCACGCTCCTGTCTGCCTGTTAAAGTGTGAACCTCGGGACAGGAGGCAATTAGCCCAGTTTAGCATGAACACAAACAGGAGAGGGCAACAGCTGGATCTCCATTCATTTTTTTTTTCTCATTCATATGCAAATTCATGCAGCAAGGGAAACCAAAACCTAATCAGATCACATGCTCCATTAGGATTACCTGTGGTGCCAGTATGAAGTCTATACTATGGGTTGCTCTTGAGTTAGTGTGTTAACAACGAAAAAAAAAAAAAATCTATTTGTTTTTGCATACTACATACCTGCTATTAATTTGAATCCTTAAAGAGTTAAGGAGTTACAGTAATTTCCCTCATTAACATTTATGCATAACTCATTGTATCTCGTTTGTTTTAGGATTTCATTGTCATCTGTCAATCTGCCCAACATTTTGAATGTAGTCATCAGCTAGCTAGATAGTATAGTAAGGCATAAAAATATAAAAAAACGTCATTGTATAGTAAGGCATAAAAATATTTAAAAAAAAACGTCATAGTATAGTAAGGCATAAAAATATAAAAAAACGTCATAGTATAGTAAGGCATAAAAATATTTAAAAAAAAACGTCATAGTATAGTAAGGCATAAAAATATTTAAAAAAAAACGTCATAGTATAGTAAGGCATAAAAATATTTTTAAAAAAACGTCATAGTATAGTAAGGCATAAAAATATAAAAAAAACGTCATAGTATAGTAAGGCATTAAAATATATATAAAAAAAGGTCATAGTATAGTAAGGCATAAAAATATAAAAAAAACGTCATAGTATAGTAAGGCATAAAAATGTCAAAAAATGTCATAGTATAGTAAGGCATAAAAATATATAAAAAAAAGGTTATACTATAGTAAAGCATAAAAATATTAAAAAAAAAACGTCATAGTATAGTAAGGCATAAGAATATAAAAAAACATCACAGTTTAGTAAGGCAAAAAAATATTTAAAAAAAAGGTCATAGTATAGTAAGGCATAAGAATATAAAAAAACATCACAGTTTAGTAAGGCAAAAAAATATTTAAAAAAAAGGTCATAGTATAGTAAGGCATAAGAATATAAAAAAACATCACAGTTTAGTAAGGCAAAAAAATATTTAAAAAAAAGGTCATAGTATAGTAAGGCATAAGAATATAAAAAAACATCACAGTTTAGTAAGGCAAAAAAATATTTAAAAAAAAGGTCATAGTATAGTAAGGCATAAGAATATAAAAAAACATCACAGTTTAGTAAGGCAAAAAAATATTTAAAAAAAAGGTCATAGTATAGTAAGGCATAAGAATATAAAAAAACATCACAGTTTAGTAAGGCAAAAAAATATTTAAAAAAAAGGTCATAGTATAGTAAGGCATAAGAATATAAAAAAACATCACAGTTTAGTAAGGCAAAAAAATATTTAAAAAAAAGGTCATAGTATAGTAAGGCATAAGAATATAAAAAAACATCACAGTTTAGTAAGGCAAAAAAATATTTAAAAAAAAGGTCATAGTATAGTAAGGCATAAGAATATAAAAAAACATCACAGTTTAGTAAGGCAAAAAAATATTTAAAAAAAAGGTCATAGTATAGTAAGGCATAAGAATATAAAAAAACATCACAGTTTAGTAAGGCAAAAAAATATTTAAAAAAAAGGTCATAGTATAGTAAGGCATAAGAATATAAAAAAACATCACAGTTTAGTAAGGCAAAAAAATATTTAAAAAAAAGGTCATAGTATAGTAAGGCATAAGAATATAAAAAAACATCACAGTTTAGTAAGGCAAAAAAATATTTAAAAAAAAGGTCATAGTATAGTAAGGCATAAGAATATAAAAAAACATCACAGTTTAGTAAGGCAAAAAAATATTTAAAAAAAAGGTCATAGTATAGTAAGGCATAAGAATATAAAAAAACATCACAGTTTAGTAAGGCAAAAAAATATTTAAAAAAAAGGTCATAGTATAGTAAGGCATAAGAATATAAAAAAACATCACAGTTTAGTAAGGCAAAAAAATATTTAAAAAAAAGGTCATAGTATAGTAAGGCATAAGAATATAAAAAAACATCACAGTTTAGTAAGGCAAAAAAATATTTAAAAAAAAGGTCATAGTATAGTAAGGCATAAGAATATAAAAAAACATCACAGTTTAGTAAGGCAAAAAAATATTTAAAAAAAAGGTCATAGTATAGTAAGGCATAAGAATATAAAAAAACATCACAGTTTAGTAAGGCAAAAAAATATTTAAAAAAAAGGTCATAGTATAGTAAGGCATAAGAATATAAAAAAACATCACAGTTTAGTAAGGCAAAAAAATATTTAAAAAAAAGGTCATAGTATAGTAAGGCATAAGAATATAAAAAAACATCACAGTTTAGTAAGGCAAAAAAATATTTAAAAAAAAGGTCATAGTATAGTAAGGCATAAGAATATAAAAAAACATCACAGTATAGTAAGGCATAAAAATGTCAAAAATGTCACAGTATAGTAACGCATAAAAATATTTAAAAAAAAAAGGTCATAGTATAGTAAGGCATAAAAATATAAAAAAACGTCATAGTATAGTAAGGCATAAAAATATAAAAAAACATCACAGTATAGTAAGGCAAAAAAATATTTAAAAAAAAGGTCATAGTATAGTAAGGCATAAAAATGTCAAAAAAGGTCATGCTGATGTCAGCTAGCTATAAAACATCAGTAAACAGTGAGAAAAATGTCCATCAAAATATGACGTCATCGTCACTGTGACTGGACAAACTACATAATGAAGACCAATGGAGACAGTCTCTACTGCAGTTCTTGCTAATTATCGGCCAACACACACACACACCGACACAGATACATCAGACAATATGGTCAATTCATTGGTGTGACTCTACATGACATCTGTAAATTAAGGCCTCAGCGATCAAAGTGTGAGCTCTAGAAAATGAGTGGAAACTGATAAAACAGTGAATTCAATTTTTGGTAATTTAGCCTGTTACTTTTTATGTCCTGTTCATGTGAAAAATTCACTGATGAAAGGGTCTACAGACTCCTGCACTGTGGCAGATTCATGTTCAGTAGATCCTTTGTACTCCACTGTATGTAAGGGATTCTCTGGTGTTTGGAGCCTGAAGCCATAAGGTGTAAAATCAATCCAAAATTACTCGCCGGGGACATGTGCATTATTCCCTCCAGCTGAGATCAAAGCACACTGATCACGAACATTAATCAGGTGTAGCAGCAGCGACAACAACACCGACTTTTTTTTTTTTTTATAATAGGTGGAGTAATGAACACAGCAGACTGTGGTGAGTCTGCCACACACAGATGGGCGGTCAGTGGGAGATCTGACGGGGGAGCTGCAGTCAGTCGCAGCCTCTCACTGTGTTCCTCTGCCCTCGCTGCATTATGTTACAGAAACCTGGCCTTTCAGACGGACGCTCCACACCATCTGCAGTTGTCCTTCATTGCTTGGCTGTACAGGAAGTGAAGGGGGTCAAAAAGGAGGAAGCTGCAGGAGGGCTTTTTTAGTCTGAGGGCCAAGTGCTTGCTGTCAAACAGGCAGAGAAAAGATGATTTATGAATAGGGGCATTATGGAGGTTACAATGTCTGCGAGGCAGGACGATAAGATGAGGGAATGGGAATGTCAGCTTTATGTGACGGCTGAGAGGGCGGACGCCTGTATGTTGGGCCACACAGGCGTCTGATACCGGTACAATCGATTGCTTTCCGCCCTCTCGGGGAGCGACCTGGGCATGTAAAACCTGGATTTGGTGGACGGGAAAATCGAAAACCATTTCTCACACCTAATTCACATTTGTGTGCATCTTAAGCAGATCTCAGATTATTTGCTATCAGCATCCTGAGCGCTGTTCATTCAAGAAGCATTGAGAAAGCTCCGAAAAGACAGGAGTAATCCACAAACTACGACTTAACGTTTTGACTAACATGCTGGGGCCTGCTGGACTCCAACAAAGCCCAGACCAGCTGCCTGACAAGGATTTATTACTATTAGACATTATCTATGCCTATTAGTTCATTATTATAGCTAATTAATGCATCTTTTTTTAGCTAATTATATTTTAAAGAAGTGATTTAAGGGCCCCTCCCCCCTACCAGGTAAATCTGGCCATTCATACATACAGTATTTTTAATGCAATTACATCACTCTAAAAATGGAAACTAAAGTCTGACTGATA